ACTGCGTCTCGGATAACATGCTGTACGCGTCTAACCTGCTTCCGGAACTTTTCCATCAGCTCCTCTGCCGCCTTGCTATATGCTACCCGAAAGGCGGCTAGTTTCATATTTATCTCGTTTGTTAGATCGTTTGGGTTGATTATATACCATATACACGGCATTCCATACTTGAGGCATAGTGACTTTATCTTCCTTCGAGAATAGAGACGCTCCTCATTTGATATATGCTGCCTATGTCTAAACGCGCTTAACTCCCGGATTAAGTATGCTATATTGCTGTTAGTAGTCGTCCGGGTCTCGCGGTACTCTTCTTCTGCTCTTTCAATCTCCTCGGGAGTAAGTCTTGTAACGATTTGCTCGACTTTGGCAAATGAAGACCTCTTCATTCGCAAGTAACTAATCCGTCGGTTCTCTGATCGAAGAAGCATATTGAATACTAAAAAAGGGAAGCTTGGGTGTGTAGCAAAGTAAGCACCTATTATACTATTACTTTAGTTACTTATTTCTATTTATAAAGCAGAAGTTTTACTAACCATGCCTCTGTAAGCAGAATCGTGCCCAGGTTCGAAGGTAAAATCCGTTCGGCTTATGACTGCTTTGGATGTCTGGACCTTGCGGTTCATCCTGATCATCTTCGTTTTCTTCTTCACGTAATATCCTAGGGCCGCCTCGACCCCATGGAAATAAACAAGGGAAAGCCTTAGGGAAGAAATCGGGATCGTTCGAATCAGCAAATTCCTCTCCTCTGCGACTGACTAGATAGGGTTCTGTATTCTTATATCGGAGGGTGCTGTCTCCGTTTGCGTCCTTTGGCTTTCGGCCTCTCCCACGCTGGGGCCCTCTCACTGTTGCTTCTCGAAGAATCCTGAGTCGTTCTTGTGGGCTATGCTCTCCAGATACCTCAGTAGCCATTAGTCCAGTTGAGGTTAACTCGGACAGCTCTTCATCTATCCGACGAGGGTCCATATCAAATGGGTCGCAATCACCCGCATGGATTCCCCCTAGCCTAGCGTTGCTTTCAGCTTCGAGGTGCGCAGCATTGGTTTCCCTATCTTCTAGACTTGCAATAACATCGTGAGCATTACGCAAAGGTTCATCAGGGCGACCTCGCTCGGCAGGAGGGACATAGTGTCCTGTACGGATTTCGTCTTCGGCACGCTTCTCATACGCCACCATTCTCTCCACAAGTCCCTGGGGTACCTCAGTTCCGGGAGACCATTCCCCCCAGGTCCTAAGATGATCCTCACTAATACTAATATCCCGGTATAGTGGGTTGTTCGCCCGAAGCCAAACGAGCGCACGCTTGAGCTTCTGGGGGTTCACTGATAACATAAAGCCAAGATCGGATGGTACTGGTGTCCGAGGACCTACAAAGCATACATGCAACCTGTCTCGCTCTTCCACGAGTGGATGAGGTAGAATGTTGGCTGCTACGCCTTGAACGTCGTTAGGGAACACAGTAATATGGCCTCTCTTGTGTTTTCGGTAGCGGCTACTTGTTGACTTCTCGACGTCGATAGTAAGCTTCGTAATCTAACCACAGGGGGTATAAATTCTAATAAGGCGCTCCTCAAGTGGTGAAAGATCTTTCAAAACATGAGGATACCGATGGATGCAGCCTAAAGACAGATTATTCACCTGGCAGGCGTATGGCAGTTTTTGATGCTGTAAGGAGGTCTTGCACTGGGTGCAAATAGCGAAGTTTGCCTCTGGCTCCTTAGGAAAGCATTCCATACAAAGGAAATGTTCTCTGTCTAACACAGGGATTTGGTCCTCCACCCTTAGGTATAATGGCTCAAGTTCGGCCCATGTATAATTGACTAGTGAGTTGGGAGGCTTTTGCTAGTAACATACTCTACAATATTCGATTTCGAGTGTAAAGTCATCATGCATGCTTTCGTGGAACGTCTTGGTCTTTTCCAGAATCGTTTTTCGGGAAACTGGTCGGCACCACGTGCGATCCATAGAGTCTAGCTTCTTCTGGATATAGCGGCGATCTGCTTCTTGTACTGTCTGTTCGATCTCCTTCTTCCTTGCTTGGTATGCTTCGGGTGTGTCTAGTAGCTTAATATAGCTAGCTTTTTGGCTTAGCTTGGGTAGTGATGGACGAATTGGTAAATGCCTTTGCTGGATAGGATTAGACTGGCGAATAGCAACTGACGGTATTTGAGTTCTTGGCGCTTCAGAAAGAATATGCTGGCTATCTTGAGCTCTCTTATGCTGTGATATGTCTAGGGTAGTGGGCGTGTTTAGACTTGATATAGGCTTAGGGTTCCACGGAAGTAGGGTTGGTCGATTACTTTGCTCCCAAAGGTTGCTACTAGCATGGGCTTGCCTATTTCCTCCACGGCTTTTCCTAGGCGTAAGGGAAATTTTACTAGGCGATGTATTTAACCCCTCGCTATAGGGTGTCTGTACTAACACTGATCTAGGTGATAATGGAGATTCGATTCTATTCGGGCTTCGGATATTGTCGAACGAGGATGGTGGTGTCGGCAGCAGATTTCGGTTCCGATTCGAAGGAACCTTTAATCCTTCGTCGAGGGATCTCTAGTAACTCTGTGTTAAAAGGGGCCCTGATAGTGATTTTATTGAGTTTGAAGGGACCTTACCATAATATTGACTGAAGGCGGTGGTCCCGGTGCTAGCATGCGACTGTGGTTTGAAGGAGAAGTCTGCTCTTCCCTGCCGGCTATTTGTCTCGGCCTCAATTCAGGCTGAATTGAAATAGGAGTGTCATTGAATGAGGAAACTGGTGTTGTAAGATGCGGCATGATAAAACTTAGAGTCGATTCAAGGATTTCTAAGGTCTTTGGAGATCAAAAAAGCTATTATATTCCTTTGACTATGGGAATATTAAAGCTTAGCAATAGTAATGCGTGTTCGCTCCATCCGCTGAAATCACCTTCTGCCCTAGCTGCAAATGTTATTACTGCCTCAATAAGAACATCTTTTCTCATATAGTATTAGCCCAAGGCGAGATGCAAGTAACTTCGTATTGCAAAGACGGATGTCTTGCTGCTGCATTACTATAATAAAGCTGGAATCATTCCTGTTCCATCCGAATAAGAAACAATACTTTGTGATCTACTAATAGAAGGGTAATAAGCCCCCTGTTGTTCCCACTTTGTAGAAAAAAGACGTAGTCTACGTCTTGCTAGTATAAACTAGACAACTTTAGGCGACTACGAGACCTGGTTCTCCTGTATTAATAACTTGATAAGGGAGCAAAGCTGAAAAATCTCCCTTCCGATGGATTCTTCCTCCGCCCCCTTATGTACAAGGTTTATTCCTTTATAAGAGTATAACCCGAATGTTTGGATTCGCCTTTCTCTTGCTCTTCCTTACGTCTCGAAAGCTCCTTCTACGTTTTATACTGGTTCCTTGCAGATTGTTTACTATTTCGCCTTGCCTCCTCCTGCCGCTATGGGTACTGGAAAGCCAGACTTGGCTGCCTATTGGCCGAAGCCCGAGCTGAACCTGCCTTCGCCATGGAGCCTCCCCCTCACGATGCTTGCTACAGGTAAAATAGTTGCCGTTGAATCTCTAAGCAGGGACTCCTAGATATTTCGGTACCAGAACTGGTCTGGTCAAATCCAGATACCGATTCATACGCCAGAGTGGTTGACTAATGTCTTCCCTAATATACTTGACAACTTACACGCCGGGGCCTTATCGCTAGATCTCTCTCGCTTCCACTTAGGAGGTTCGTTAACTACCGAGGATTGGGAAGACCAATGGTTTACTATTATCTGCGATCCCCACTTCAGTTACGTCCCCTGTGGTCTATCTGGCGAAGACGAGGTGGAATATAAACGTCTGGCATGGATCCAGGACGATGCCCTCACGCCGTAAGTTTCTTCATCCGTGGCATTAGAATACTTATCCTAAAGCTCCCTCTTAGTATTTCTGACCGTACCTGCGCCGACTTATCTCCTCGTTTCCCGATAACTCCTCCGTTCGTAACTTTCAACGGGTTTGTCGATACCCAAAAGTTCCCTCTTGCCGATGATCCCTCCGTTGGTCTCGATGAAATAACCAGGAACTCGTCAGCCGTCTTCAGGGTATGGTCTAGATTTACTTCTATAGAGGCTGCTTATACCCCCAAAACTAGATGGTATGCTAACTACGTTTACGCGATGCTTCCCAAATGCAAAGCACATATGAAGAAGAAGTGCGAGGATTACCGCGTCGAGACAACACCATTTCGCAAGCATGGAAAAAAAGCCTATATTACTGGCTATTTCCATGGTTTCTGCAACAAGAATACCGTCTTTACCTCTGATTATCCTTATAACCCCCTTGAGTTTGTCCTACTCATCGAGATTATCAAAGTTGACTGGGCTGCTGGGGAGCCTAGGCAGACCGCAGCCTCGCGCGATCCGTTTTCTACGCCGTCAAAAGGAGATATGACTGAACGTACGAAGGGAAAATTCAAGTTCGATCCTCTCGCACAGATGTCTGCCGACGCGAAAGTGCCTGGGCCTCTGTTTAATAATGGTAAGCTTGACGATTCTACTTTATTATTCTGAAAGCTAATATGCTTAGGTTCACAAGCCTCGGACGCCATTGTCGATAATGATGATCCGTTTTCTGTTAACGGCCTCCGCGACGTCGCGCCTATTAATATAAAGCGATCCGGAGAGGTAGAGACTATTGAAGACAGCAGTGATGGGGCGAGTCCAACGAAGCGGCCTAAACGGGGCAGTTTGCGTAGGAGGAAATAGTCTGCGTTGGAAAACATGAGGCATATCAAAATTCAATACTAAGAAGATCGCTATCTATGCTTGGATCCCTTTAAGTCTTTCTTCTTCTTCAACCTGAAGTATTTCCTTTTGTAGTAAATTCATTTCCTCGCTGGTATGTGCAGAAAGTCGATCAGGGAGATCAAAATCTATATTAAAATCGCAATCGTCAATACCACACCCTCTTATTTCCAACTCATCTAATCTAAATTCGTTCTGAAGAGTTTGTATGAGAAAAGACCAAGCGTCTAGACCTTAGGTAGTAATTTTAACATTTTCGAGAGTAAGTCTTCGAAGTGTATTTTGATGTCGCCGTAAGAGCGTCAGGAGTTCGTCTCTCGTGCAGTCTAGATACTCAAGGCATAACCTTTGAAGAAGAGGAATATAGAGGCTTTCTGAAAGTCCTGGAAATTGTTGCTTCTCTTCGCAATAGTTGAAGAATAAAGTAATATCGGTGAGCGCTGGAAAAAGGCTAGAGAAGCTATGAAAGTCTGATTGCCAATCATATTTTTCTTCCTGTACTGGGTCATTCTCTGCAAAGAATTTTCTAATTTCTTGGCTGAAATGATTATCGCTATCCTTAGGATTGATAACAAGACTAAGCTTTGTGATGGTCGTGATTTCGGATTTTACGGCTTTTGCGAGACTGCTTGGGAGCGATAGCATCCGTGGAATAACAGACGTACAACCTTCCATCATATCTCCAAACTCGATATATATCTCCTCTATGGGAAGGCGGCTCTTAATAAGTGCGAAAAACAGTGTTCTGATTACTACTAAGGCATGAACCATGCTATTAGGTAAGAAATCAGAAATAAACCTATTTGGAAGTACGCTAATACGTCGCCCAAGCTTAAAGGCGCCCCATGGTCGGGTATGATCCGATATCCCAATAGCTTTGCAGTTTTTGAGGTTAGTGAGAGCTATCGCTAAATAACTCATATGTTGCCTTTGGGAGAAGAATTCCGTTTGCTCCTGCCATCCATCCTTATAGGTTTGGATTATTTGCTCCCAACTATCGTCGCCCAGTAAGACAACTTCGCCATTCCGAACTCGGAAGAAATCATACTCGTCTTTGAGTCCACAAATCTCTAGTTCTTCGTGGCTCATGTAGTCTTTGGGTTGGATGAGATGATCAACGCAGAGCTCGACAACTTCAACCGCTTGACTCAGAATATGGTGGCGTGAAATGTTCACAAGATTCAATAGGCTTTCCTTCTCTAGCATTACGTAGCGAATGCGGAAGAAGCGTGCTTTGAAAGCTGAAGAAGTTGCCTCAGCTATAGTTTTGCATGTTTCCCGGAAGTTCTGATAGTCCCGCAAGTGCTTAGGGTCTGGTGATAATAGATGATAAAAGATTTCGGTTATCAGTTCAGCTGGCAAGTTGATAAGAGCTTGTTGAGCTATAACTTGAAGCGCAATATCAAGAAAACCCAGAATTGTCTAAGGTGAGGGGAAAGGATCTGATAGTTAAGCGCCGTGATCACCCGTAATTATGCATGAACATGGAGTCGTCTTGGTAGGATTACTAATCCTGGACCGGTGAAACATTAACCCGATTACTAGCTCGTCTTCCTAACGGGAGGCTTACTTCAACAGGCGGCTTGCCCGCCGTTCCCCAGTATAAGGATATTCTTTGCTTTTGCTATAAAAGCTGCTTTTTCTAACTGTTCGTCTTCTAATTGTGAGAACGCCTTGTCTAACAAACCGAGGGTATCGTCGGTTTACATGCCGATATAGCCAAAGTATGGATTTTCGGTAGATAAGATTAATAGGCATAGATCGTACGAAGAAGTAACTATCTAGAGATTCTCTCTGTAATGCTTATGATACGTTGCCTACTAGTAGGTTCTAGCTTCTGCGATTCCGTACAGAGGCTTCACAACCTTTATAATAGTCCCTTTTAGGTACTAGTCTTGAATTTGCTTCGGTAGGTAGGCGAGAATAGTGCGATTAAGCCTTGTAGAGGATTGAACGTAGGCCTATATGATATCTCGAAGCCATAGTTATTTCCCTTCTCGTAGGAGTAACGGGGTAATTAATAGAATTAGCCGTTAACTTGCTTGCTAAATCGTTAGCGATTAGGTTAATATAGCCTTCTTGCTATCGTCGGCGTAACCCTATATTATAAGTCTTGATTTCTCGTAGGGTTTGGTTGTTTTACTTTTGACTTTGTTAACGATACGAGATCGGAAGATTCGTACGTTCTAGTGCCTTCTCTTATTAAACTAGGTGAATTTAAATACTCTTCTAGCAATAAGGCTATTAATCTCTTATTTAGTTAACTATTCGAACGGTTCGCCTAGTATAGTAATAATACCTTCTCGTCGTAGTTTGATTGCTAATTCTTCGTCTACTTGCTTCTTAATCGATAGGAATATTTATTAATAATCCGGGTTATCGTTGAATTCCTTTATAAAGTAGGCGATTAGTAGTAGTCTCTTCCGGGGTCTGCCCGGGCGTCTTCTCGGTAGCTCCGGTGCCTCTTGCGGTTCGTCTGGTTTACTGCCTCCGCTAGCGACGATAATTTCGTCGCGTACTACTTCCTGCTGCGGTATCTCAGCTTCAGGTTCTTCTTCTTCTAGCGCGGCGATGGAATTAGGTAGTTAATCGGGATCTTCGTAGTATAGTTTGACTACGGTAGACCGGAAGGTCTTCGGACTACGTAGCGTATCGATAGTATAGGTTTCGCCGTTTATAGCTGCTAAAGTAAACGGTCCGGTCTAGCCCTTCTTTTCGCGCCATACTCGTACTTACGACCGTAGTAGTAAATTAATAATTAGCCTTATATCAAGGCTATTGCAAGTAGCGATAGCTTCTACTACCTATCGCCTTGCGTAAAGTTTACATACTTCGCTTATCGCCTTCTTAATCGCTTTCGCCTGCCTTATAACTTCGGGAGATAGCAGCGAATCGTCAGTAATTCGTAGGTATAAGCCGAATACTAAGAGTATTAGCACTATTCCGTTTAGGCTAGCAGTATCGTTAACTACTTTGACTACTGTTTAAAATGCTAATTCTAGCGTAATTGTTAGGTCTTCTGCTTTAATGATTTCGTACGCCCTCCTTAGAAGTATATAGTATCGTTTAACTTTCCTAATACTGTTATAGGCTTTTATGGGAATTTCCTTGATTTTAATTGCTATTCCTCTCGCCGCGTTTCGGAATTCTGTTAAGCGGAAGTTTGTTCTAGCGTCGGTAACTAGCCAGTCTGGGGGTCCCTGATACACATCTATCTAGCAGAGGCGTAAGGCTTCCCAAGTAGCTTTCGCAGAAATATCCTTAAGGAACCGGGCGGCGTTAAACGCCGTAGCGGTATCGACGACGTAGAAGACCGGTCTATTACCCTCAAGGTATATTACGTCGGCGATAACCTCGTAGTTAAATTCGTAATCGTCTCGTAACGTAAATTTAAACCGTAATAGCGCTAGTACGTATATTTAGCATCGATAGTAGACTTTCGATAGTTACTTAATTGCCGTAATTTCAACTAGGTAGCTGGCCTTCTAGAGCACCTTGTATAATCGTTAAATAGATAGGTATCCGAAGCGACGGTAAACCCGTCGTAATTTAGCGTCTGTGAGGTAGTTCTAGGCGAGTAGTTTCTCCTTATTGAGTAATAACTATAGGTAGCCTTATTTGCGAATAATAGGTACGACCTTGTTTCCTTAGATGAGGGTATTCGTAACGTTGTTAAAGTAGACCTTCAATCGGTCTATATCTCCTAGGCATATAAGGAAGGGAGTATTAGTTTTAATAACGTGAAATTTAACGCTTCTAAACGGCGTTAGCACTTTGGTAGTCCTTATAGACTCTAGTAGTATCCTATCGCCGAATTTTATTATAACGCCGCTAGCCGCCTTAGTATTTAACGTAATTCCTTCGTAAATTTGTTATAAGGCTACGAATTATAGGTAGCTAGCGGTTAAGAATCCTACTACGCCCGAGTCGGGCATGATCCCTTAGAAGTTCTAGGCAGAGTAGCGTCCCTCGAGTATGAATTGCGAAGGTAGCTCTTTCGGTTCTGGTTGGTTGCGGAAGAGGTCTTCTTTCGTAATAGCATGGCGGGTTGACTGGTCTGCTAGGATCGTGGCGATCCTGTTGCCGTCAATTGCTGTTGTAGTGAAATAGGCGGTGACCTGGAATTGACTGTCGCTGCCGGTCTCTTCCTCTTCGTCACTTTCACTGGTTTATTCGGTTACGTAGTAGTATTACTAGGGGTCTTCGGCGGTAGGTTATAAGTCTAACCCGTCGAAACCCTTGTATTAGACGAGAAATTGGCTATATGCTGGAAGTGACGTATCCTGGGCATATTGGGTGGTTTTAAACTTCTCGTATGCTTTTCGTCTCTCTTCTATAGTGTATTTAGTTGACTAGCAGTTAGGTTTTCTATATACGTAGTACTTCTTAGGCGTTAGCAGTAATAGGGGTCTGTTACGGCTTCTTCCTCGTAATAATCGACTTCGTAATAAACGACTATATCGTAAATAACGCTTTCGACCGTTAAAAGTTCTATCGGTCTAGTACTGCTTTAGTAGGTTAGCTACTATATTGAATTGTTATTAGTTAAGACGGGTAGCTATCTCGATCGACGAGATTAATTAGCTACGAAGTCCCTCGTACGTCTTAGCCGGTATAAATAACGCTATTATATACTCTAGAATATCTCTATAAGCGTATAGAAGTTAGGTATAGAGGGATCGGTCGTTATAATCCTATTATAGCAAACCAGGCTAAATCTTGCTTAATTTGTTATATAGTATGTTAAAATACTCCGATTTAGTCTTTCTAGGGTTATCGCGAATGATTTGGGGAAGAGTAGTTATATTCTACTACGTAACGTATGCTTATTGCCTTTCCCTAGTCTCGAAGTATGATTTTAATTAGTTGATTATGGTCTCGAAGTTAGGCTATAGGTTGATTACTTTAATCGAGGCGTAGAAGTAGGTTTTAGCTATTCCTTTCAGTATTAGGGGAAGTACCTTATTATATTAGGAGGTATAAATTCCTAGCATTCTATAGTAATCTACGAATACTAGCATCTTCTTTTCAAGTATATCGTATATATCGCTACTATATTTTATATCGTCGGGGTATAGTTTTGCGAATTCTGTTAATTGCTTTCCGATACGGTCTGTTGACTTGTATGGTTGGAAGTCTGTTAACGGAGAGACTGTAGGATGTAGCGGTCGGTACGGTAGTTGCTACTGTTGTTGTTCTTGTGGAGGAGGTAGCTATAGGGTTGGTTCGACTCTTCCTCCTATGCTGTTAGCTACTATTGCCGGTCTCGTAATCTCTTTGTAGAATTCGGGGTCTTTTATCAAAGCCTTTAGGTTGCGATATCTCTTGACGCCTTGTTCGAGTTCTTGGGGTGACTAGTAGTGGAATTCTTCCTTTTTGAAGGCTAATGCTACGTTTTTCGAGATTTTCTTGCTATCTATTTCGACGTAGACGCCGTTACTAATTAAATAGTCTCTAAAGAATCGTAGGATTAGGGGAGGTACGTTCTAGAAGTCTTCTTCTAACTAGTCGGCGAAATCGAGAGAAACTTCGTTCTATAGCTCGAGGCCCGTAAGATTCCTCTTCTTATAGGTCTTAAGTAGGAAACCTATATAGGAACCTAGTTACTATAGGCTAGCGTTTATAAGGTCGATTGCCTAGTTGCCTTATACTGCTAGATCGATTATACTTTCGATTCTCTATAGGATAGGGACTATTAATTAGCTTTTAATAGTAACGCTACTCGCGGGCGATCCTTCTCGTAAATTTTGCTCCATTCTAACAATATAAAATAATTACTTCTATTTAGAATCTTAAATTAATTCTGAAGGGAAAGAATTATAAAATCGGTGATTTTCGTCGGTTCGTCGTTTATTTCCGTCGGCGCTATTCTCGCTAATATTCTCGAGGGGTGTAAGGGTATATACAGGTCTCGAATTAGTAGGGAGAGAGTTTGTTAGGAAGTTTAGAATCTAGCAGATAGTTAGCCTTATGACGCCCACAACCACGTGCGTTTCTCCTAAGCCGCAGCCTCGGAGGCGTATACGTATAGCTATATAGGCGGATTACCGCCGGTAGTCTCCGCTCGCCTTTCGGCGTGTTCTTCTTCTAGTAGGGAGGTCTCTTATGGCAGGCGCCTCGCGGTTAGCACCTCGTCTAGGGATTTATTAAGAAACTAGCAGGCGCCTCGTGATTAGCACCGCGCGTGGGGGATAGTTATAGTTAGGGAAGTTGTTATCCCTTGTGGGATTCGTGAATCTTCGCCCTTGTAGCGTGAAGAGGTTGGAGGACCGTCGATTCGGTAGGTCTCTTCTTCTGGTGATTGAAAACGCGTGATGGAACGCTCTTGCTAGCGATAATTGGCTACGATTAACCTTATCCCGCCTAGGGTGAGCGTAGCAGTCCCTAGGTTACTCGAATAATCGGATTACTAGTAGATTCGAGGAAAAGAAGCTTTCTTCTGCTAGTTTCCGTAGATCCCAGTTACTCTCGCTTCTTCTCTCGTTAGCACGAAATCCCTACTTTTACCTAGGCTTAGGTATCCAGTTCAAGAAGTCGTCTCTTCTAGTGTTGACCTTGCTGATCTGCGGTTTGTCCGTAGCAGAGTGGTAATTGTGAAGTTAACCAAATTAATAGCAACTATAAGGTTTACCACTGATCAGTATAGGTTTCACAGGGGGTGAAACGGAATTCCGTTCGTCAATAACAAATAACAGTAAATTGGTTCTAATCGATGGTTCATGATAGTTGAAAGTGGTGTTGTTGACTAGAAGGTGGGGATATTCCCCCTTGGCCTGTCACGTGGGTCTGGGAGGCTTGGGCCTCTCAGCCTGGCGGGCGTGTGGCTGGAAGTGCCACACGACTCCGTATTCCAACTATCGCAACACTACTGTCACCACAGTTGGCCGTATTACTTTCAATTAAGAAACTAACTATGAGCTATCTAACTGGGGTACTAGCTGATGTATCTTTGTCTATAGTTTCTCGTGTATCATTGTTTTAAGAGAGACGATAAAAACTGAAGACTCCATCTTAAAATCAACCCAGGACGAGATCAACCTCTTCACATTGTGTCGTTCCCATGCCCAGGCACTGACGCGGCCTGACGCCTTGCGGTAGGCTATGCCGTCAACCCATTCTACCCAAAGAACGCCGTAAACCTCAACCCCATGCATGTGTGGGGCTTTCGGTCGACACACAGCCACAAGCTCGATGAGAATGGAATCAGATCCTTGATCCGGAAATTGGGAAATGTCGTCTCTATGACGAAGGAGAAGGTTCCCGCACCAGTCTAAGTTATCATCCAGAAGTCTTTCCCCAAAGCCGCCTTCAAACGAAGGGTCTTCGTCTTCAAACTCACGGTCATCATCTTCGAAAGGGGGAAGGTAATCTTCGGGGTCGGGGCTTTGTACGGCTCTGAATAAACTCCGATGGGTTCGACAAGAAACGTAAGGTGTTTGTAACCGAATGAATGGCAAGGTTTCTTCTGTAATGGCAGTAAACGGGATGGGTAGCCAGAAAAACTTGTTCGGCATTGATGAGTGCCGATATACGTATTTCCCAAGGCCTTCTGGAGCCTGTAACGTCTCCTCGATTCTCCTTGATGTTTAGTTTCATCTTAATCTTCTTTTGCCTAGCCTTTTGGAAGTTCAAATGCCGGCTCTTCTACCTACTTTGGCAGATGAAGCCAAGTGGATTGAATAGGTCGCTTATCTGTGGCTTCCGGCGTGGCGTGGGTAAACCATTGGGTGATAGGAATAGTTCTGCAGCCCTCGCCGAAAGTAGTCTTCCCATCTTCCCACTCGTTGTAGACCTTTTTTTCGGTCGGATCGAATGACTGTTCACCCAGATGGAGGATCGAACGAACGTTCCATCCCAGCCATGACCATCGATAATCTTTTCTGGAGATCGTTCCGTCCCTGGAATCTGTTCGTCTCGTAATGTTTGTGCATGTGTACCACAGTAAAGCTGATTCAAACAGCGCCTCTGGAAGACCAAAAACAAACCCTAGTTTTATTACACTAAATTAATAGGTCTTTCTAAGGTTGTTGAGATCAAAAGGGTCTATTTAAATTAGCCGTATATAGCCTTATTTACTTATATATCTTAGAGAAGGGTCTAAAACATGTTGTCCTGACACCCTATCCCAACAACTACGAGTTGGCTACAGATACATTAACAGCCACAAATCGTTCCCATAATTTTTTCAAATTGGAAGGAAACTTACACTGTCTGTCTCTAAATGGCTACAACCCCGCAAGCTATGTACCTGCAGCCAGATCGTAGTTAATAGGATAACCTATGTTATTATTAAGTAATAATACTCTTACCGCTCTATCCGGTATATCTTATATATAACGTTTAAAGTCATAGAAGCTAGTCAAATACCAGGATAGACTAGCCGAGTACTACCTATTATAGAAAGGGTTTATTCCCCCTTAATTTAATTTGTTTAAGTCCAGAGCTTCTCTCTTATCAATTATAAAACCTCCATCTCTTGCTGCCTCTCTAAGCCATCCATCTATTAGCTACCTGACTTAAGATCATACATACAGATCCACCCACAATGGATACAGGCGCGCTTTCCGTTGCTACGGGTTTAGAAGGAACGTCAGGAATCTCGGGAATCTCGGGAATCTTGAACGAAACTTACGAAATAATTCAACTTCCTTCAGCAGCTAGTAAGCGACTTTTCTGGACGCTTAACGGCCCTCTCGAGACTGCAATCCAGGTTACGCCTAACCCGTATTACGAGTAAGGGGATACTATGGAACCCTACTTTCGTCCTACTGACGACGGCCCTACGCCGGACTGGCACCCTGTGTCGAAAGAGTCTCTCATAGAGCCCCAGGTCGAGACAATCACCGTCAGGATTCGCTGCCTTGAGTCGTGGGAGGAGCTTTGGGTTGAGCTTAATCGCGACTGTATCGATACGAAGAACGACCCCCGGCGGCCGCGGGCTCAAGACGCCCAGCTCAAAGTAACAGCTAGCGGGGCGTTTCTCACGGTTCAGGAGTATGTCTCCGCTGTGCACCCATGGCTTATGGGTATGCGCGAGAGGCTCCTAGACGCCTTAGGTAATATCTATGACAGGCCGTCAGCCGAGACGAAACTGGCTGTTCTGCAATTTGGCGTTGGGCCGCTGAGCATTGGCTATGTGGATAGGTGGGCTTACTGGCATAGAAAGTCTGAGCCGGTAGCTAGGTTAAGCGAGGTAGAGAGAGAGGAGGCCTCGCGGAAAGTTATGGAGAGGTATAAGGCGAGATCTGCGGAACGAGTTCGCGAGTTAGAAAGGCTTCGCCAAGAGAATAACTAGACTAGGCTGATTTATCTAGTATATATACTAGTGTACTCTTATTTCCTCTATTCTTCCTATTACCCTATAGTAATCATGACCGTGGAAGCTGATACTCCTAGTAAATAAGTATATTTCTTACTCGTTCTACTGCTATTAACCTCTCTCTCTACCTCTCCCCCCTATGCGACTCTACGTTCAAGCGTACACTGACAGGACGTTACCAGCTCTGCATAACTGCATGTCGTTACATATATGAGGCATATTACCGTTGGCGACGGGTGCTTGATCGGACGCTGCATAGAAGGAATCTTCTTAGTAGCCTCTCTCAGCAATACTTACAGGCACCGGGCGGGCAGTATCCGTGACTGCAGGCAAACTCGCATAGGTCCACATAATACTCTAGGTTTTCAGTGATATTGTCATTTGGATAGCCGTGGCGCCCTGTTAGTTCTGGTACACAGCAGTCGGCTCTGCGGCAGGCCCGGTGCAGACGCTTGCGCCAGAATGGCAGTGATTATAGTCGCAACTTTATGAACACAGGCCCGTCAGATTATCTGTGATACCCGGCGCGTTCGAGCCGCCGGGCGCAGGCGGGAGACGGAGCCGCCATGGAAGTGCTTGCGGTTGCCACCGAGGTACTGGTGGCGCCTGAAGTCACGATTGCCGGGGCTATAGAAGTCGAAACGGCTGCGGCTGTGGACACAGCAGATGTCGAGTTTGAGGCGCAGATTCCAAACTTGTCCTGGCTATGCGGTCGTCAGGTTTGCCACATCGACTGAAACTGGGTAGTCCTGGAGATCAAAGACGGCGATCAATACTCACCACCCCCGTTCGACAAAACAGTCGGCCGGCTTCTCACCGCATACACCGTTCACGTTACAGCATCTCCCCCACGCGGCCGAGCATCTAAGACCCTCTGCGCCGCCGCAGGTGCCATCTTTCGTTCACTTTGTGCCGGACGGCTGCTCGTCCTGCTTCCAGATGTCACAGTCACCCACTTGACCAGTAAAGAGTCCGCAAAAAGCCTCGCCCGTGCCACATCGTTCGTCCAGACTGCAGCAGTTATCCCAGCGGCCGGCACAGACGCGGAAGGCGTGAGCCTAGCCGCATGTGCCGTACGTACTGTAGATCGTGTCGCCTACGCAGTCGCCCTCATAGCATGTGCCGGGGGCACAGTCCTCACTGGGGGCAACAAGTCAGTCTCGTTACATTCATAATTCAGGCGTTTTAGCCACATACGTCGAGTCGCTGCAAGTCCACGTCTCCGAATTGCAGCACTGCTTATCGGTACCAAGGCAGGTAGCGTTGTTGTAGCGAGGGCCGTAAAGCCCATCGGTAGCCCTGTTAGGCTCGACGACTGGAAAGAAACTGTTAGTAGATGTTTCGACATGTTAGCCTGGTCTCAGATGGAAGATTACATCCCACGACACAGTACTCGGCCTGCGGCTTGATGTTGCTGCAGTCCTTCATCAGGCCTGAATTTAGGGAGAAGGAGGTCTCAATAAGGAGCTGTCACCACCAAGCGCCAGGACTCTCCATCAGTAGACGACACAAAGCCCCTCCTAAAAGTGGCCTCCTCGGGTGACCTTGAGAGAGCCCGTGATATCGTGGCCACCGCCATCGCCGCCTCGGCCAAGCTCAACAAGGCTCGTCTGACAAGCCCGCTGCGCAACCAGTACAAGCTCAAGCCCGGTGCCGTCATCGGCAAGACAACTGTGGATAAACGCCGTCGCGCCCGCCGCGACGACTCTCGCCCTCCTCCGCTCCTTGAGATCTCTGAAGAGATCGCGTGGGCTGCCGCGCTCCTAGCCGAGGCCGAGGCCAGAGTGCCCGGACGCAGTGTTGTAGCTCCTAGCCGGAACTTCACGCGCCGAGCCACAGCCAGAGGCTCATACTGGATGGATTTCATAGCCCGTAAGGGTACCGTTCCTGGGGCGACGACCCCTCATACAAAGTGTTCCGCAACGTGCTTGATTACGGTGCCACTGGCAACGGCTTGACTGATGATACCGCCGCTATCAAGCGGGCTATGAACGATGGCAGACGGTGCGGCGAGAAATGTAACGGGTCAAGGGTGAAAAACGCCATTGTCTACTTCCCGCCTGGAACCTACCTCATCTCAAGCACAATAATCCTCCCTTTCGGCACGCAGGTTATCGGCGACGCTATCAACCGCCCAGTGCTAGTTGCCTCACAATCCTTTATTGGCCTTGGTGTGCTGTCGACGAACGAGTATACCGCCAACGGCGGCTCCGGTCCCGATGGGAATGACCAGCAGTGGTATGTCAATACGGCCAGTTTCTACCGCCAGATCCGTAACATCATTATTGACGTACGTCCTGCGCCGCCCGCGGAGGAGGTTGCCTGCTTGCATTACCAGGTGGCCCAGGCCACGAGCATGCAGAACGTTGAGCTGAGAGCCGGCCCGGGCCAGAAAGGTCTCTTTGCTGAGAACGGCAGCGGCGGCGGTATCTCCGACGTCAGCTTTGTCGGCGGCGACGTCTGTCTGTACGGCGGCGAACAGCAGTTCACAGCCCAACGGCTCGTCTTCAGTGGCTGCGAAATCGGTGTCCAGGTCATCTGGGACTGGGGCTAGGTGTGGAAGTCGGTGACGATGACCGACATAAAAACGGGTTTTAAGTCTGTGCCTGACAATTCTGACAACAACATCGGGTCGTCGCTGATCATGGATTCGTCCTTCACCAACGTCGGCACCGTCGCCGTCATACAGCCGCCGTCATCCGAGCCTGGCTCCGGAAGCACCGGTCTCGTGATTGAGAACATAGTCATGTCGGGCGTCACCACCGCCGTTGCTGACACAAATGGCCGCTCCCTCCTGGCCCCGTCGGCTAGGGTGGATGAGTGGGTGTTAGGTCCCGTATACTCGGGCTTGGCTGATACCAGTGCTCGCTCCTTTTCGTCTGGCGGTAAGATTGGAAGGTATCGTAGGGACAGCGCGCTCCTGGATGAAAAGGGTGCTTTCTATGAGCGTCCCAAGCCGCAGTACGAGGACCGCGATGTGGCGGACTTTCTCCACGTCAAGGATTTTGGCGCCAAAGGCGATGGCCAAACGGATGACACGGCCGCCATCCAGAAGGCTATAAACTCCAGCCAGGGCAAGATTTTATTCATTGACGCCGGCTCGTACATTCTGACACAGACCGTCACGGTGCCGGCGGGCGTAAAAGTGATCGGCGCGACATGGTCCCAGCTGGTCGCCCAGGGATCGGCCTTCTCTGATGAGACGAAGCCCACCGTCATGCTCGGTGTGGGCTTCCCCGGCCAGGTCGGCAACGTCGAGATGCAGGACCTCATCTTTACCACAAAGGGTCCTACAGCTGGCGCCGTGCTCATCGAGTGGAATATGGCCGCGGATGCAAAGGGGTCGGCTGCCCTCTGGGATTGCCACGTCCGCATCGGCGGCGCAACAGGCACCGACTTGACACCCACAGTGTGTCCTGCCATAACTTCAGGTATCGCCCCGGGCTGCAACGCCGCCAGTCTGATGATGCACATCACACGGGGCGCCTCAGGATACTTCGAGAATATGTGGCTGTTGGTGGCCGATCATATGATCGACGACCTGGACCTGGAGAACGCCAATAACACCATGGTACAGAACTCGGTACATGTCGCGCGAGGTCTGCTGGTTGAGAGCAATGAGCCTACCTGGCTCTATGGCACGTCGTCGGAGCATGCTGTTATGTACCAGTACAATTTCAATAACGCCTCGAGCATTTTTGCCGCCATGATCCAGACCGAGTCGCCCTACTATCAACCCACCCCCCACCCGCCTGCCCCTTTCAGCAACACCGTCGGTATCTCCCCTGGTGACCCGGACTACGCCTGCGCTATGGGCGACGAGTTCAGCGGTTGCGACCAGTCGTGGGCCGTCGTGATGCGCGGTTGCGAGGACATCGTGGTCGCCGGGGCCGGCCTGTACTCATGGTTCTCGACTTACATCCAGGATTGCATCAGCGGGCAGCTCTGTCAGAAGGCGCTGGTGCTTCTCGAGGATAACCACGCTAGCGTGCGCTGGGAGCATCTTGTCACCATCGGTGCCAAGTATATGGTCGTCATGGATGGCAAAGGCATCGCGGCCAAGGATAACCTCAACGTCAACGCACACCCCTTTTGGTCGCAGGTGTCGCTGCTCGACGTCACCAGTGATGGTAAACAGTATAACGATATTCTATGGCTCGACCCCTCCATCTGGGACATGGCCCAGCCCGAGTTTTCATGTCAGCCGCCCTGCCGCGTCAAGATCCCACCGTACACAGGCGCGACCACCACAGTCAACTACCCACTCATGACTGTCAGCAAGGATGCGTGGACGAGCACCATTACGGTGCGGCCCCTAACATTGTCCAAGATAGGATTCGAGGTGATGACGCTGGTCGAGGGCGGTCCCAACGTGAAGAGGGATGGTCTAAACCGCCGGGCTTTCGAGGAATTCTGGCCCATCCCCGCCACAACGGCTGCCTGGCCCGTAGTCGTGTACAACGGGCCAGACGGCAGAGCATCGACGGCGAGTCCTACTGCGGCCTATCCAACGCCACCTCCGTCCATCGGACCTGACGCGCCGCCGCCGCAGAAGGGCGCATGGCCAGCGCGCCCCCTCCGGCCGCATGTCGCCCTCCAGCCACGAGCTGCTCTCGCCGTGGACCCCAACGCCGAAATAAGTGAACGCCTCAAGGATTGGATGTGCCGGCAGGCCGTCGAGTCACCGAGCTACTACGACAAAGATTTGCTGGACTGTCCGAACAAACGACCAACAACGACTCGGGTCAGGTGCCGATCGGCGAGGGCTGGGGCTGGGACGTCCCCCAAATTTCATACAACGGCACCATGCTCGTGCCCGGAGGGTTCCCCTTTGGCCAAATCATCGGTATTCTCGGGGTTATGTGCGAACAACCGCAGCAGACCACCACTACCACGACCAGGGCGCAGACAACCGAGCCTTCCAAACCCACAGAGAAGCCGCTAAAACGGCCCGACGCCAACAAGAACGAAATTAACTGCTATGGAAGCGGGCGGAAGATGAGCAACAAGCGGCTGCGGAATGGCATCAACTCTTTCTGCAGGAACATAGGCTCAGCGGTCGGCGTCGAGGCCCGCGGCCTAGAAGGTAGGGCCACCGGGGAGCTCAAGGCCGGCTATAAGAAGGAATACATAAAGCCCTTTTCTGGACAGGAAGAGATTCGTTTCAGTTTCGAGGTACTGGATGGTTGCACGTGGACGTTCGACTTTGACGAGTGTACACGGTACTTCAAGACGCCTGTTGATAGCTGTAACTGCGGTGGAGAGAACGGCAAGCAGGGCGGTCGTGGGGAAAATGATTGTCTCAAGTGGACGACCGACCCAAATCGATCCAAGTGGTAGTATAATACAGTCAGCTTCTAATGACGGTGAGTTCTGCTGACAGCTGCTGAAGCTTTGAAACCAACTGGGTTCGTACGGATTAGGTCGTAGGCGCTTCAAAGGTCGATTAAGGGTTAGGGTCCAGTTGATTTTCTCATACTATTCATTGAAATGGTAAATATTATTCATATTGTAACAGCTAACAGGTTGTAAAATTCTCACTTTTTTTCTCGCTGTAACTCTCTCTCATGCCTCTCCCTCGTTAAACTTTCCCTCTCAGGACTCACCCCAACCCAGTCCCGCGGCCGCGGACCCCGCTACTAATTTATAATCCTACTGGGACCGAAAACCCCGCTCTGCTTTGCTTTTCCGTCTCTATTTTCGTACGTAGTTCCGGGCACTCCGGAGATTTGCCTTTGCGTCGACACCGTTCTTGTCCGTCGAACACTGTTAGGCAACAAGTGTGAGGATTTTACACCTCTACTAATACTCCGAAGTTAGCACAGTGGGGATCACGCTGTTTATCTCTTTATTCACTCTCCTGTAACGAAGGCTAGTAAGGGATAACTCTGCTAGCTACTGAAATACCGAGCTCGGTTTTGTTAGCGGCGTTGTGAACTCTTCGTATCGTGCGATGCAATCGGGTGAGCCGTCTTAACCGAAAGCTGAGGAGTTAACGTTCACGCCTATTTTGCAACAATACACATTCAGATATGAGTTAATCTATATAAAGTCTTTTCTGCTACGCAAATTTGAAACGCTCTCATGATTTGTCTTGAAATTATTGTCGGCGTTGATATATATCTTCTTCCATTCAACTAGCTAACTATGCCAAGCTATCAAGCTCTCCACCATGGTTAAAATATTACAAGCACCCCGATTATGGCGCTCTCGCCTGCTTTTTCTCGCCATGGTTATGCTCTCTGCATTTGCCATTTGGTGGTCTAGGAAAATACTCCACGCTGCCTTGACACTTATCTTCCTCCCTTTTACTTGGGGTCATAATGCAAGCCAATTCCTGATTTCTCAAGACGTCGATGGGTTCGATGTCACTTTCGCAAACTACAGTCGGATGCAGGAAACTGCTGGCTCTTCTTACCAGGACAAGATTCCGCCTATTCTTCATCATATCCTGTTGGAGAATCCAGCCGCTGCAACAAAATGGCAGCACGCTCGGCAAAGCTGTCTGGAGATGCACCCTGGGTGGGAAACACATTTCTGGACCGATGCCAAAGCTGAACAGTTCGTTGCTGAAAAGTTTCCTGCGCTCAAGAACATGTGGGACGGCTACCGGTTCCCAATTCAACGGATTGACGCGCTGCGGTATTTCATCCTTTACGAGTATGGTGGTAAGTCAGAGTGGTATCTTCAAGCTTTACAGACCCGGGGAAAACATGTTTTCAGAGCTGCCAACGAAGCCTTGAATATTGCGAGCAAAAGTGAATGCGAAAAAGAAACGACGTGAACTTTGATGCTAACATATCTTCAAAGGGGTTGTACTAGATATGGACTTACAATGCCGGCGGTCTTTGGGTCCATTGAGACGTTTTGAGTTTGTTGCTCCGGCTGCCCATCCTGTCGGGTTTTCGAACGGTTTCATGATGGCCAGCAGGGGCAATAAGTTTATCAAAGACATTATAGCACACCTGGAGACGTATAACAGACACTGGTTCGGATTAGCGTATCCAACGGTAATGTTCAGTACCGGCTGCCATTTTGCGTCGTAAGTCATGTCTTTTCACACATTATGTCCTGCTCTTCTGAATATTCTGAACACATGAGTAACCCTGTGTTTCGAGATGGTTAGTTGACTTTGCAAATAGTACAATACACGCTCTGCAGCGCAATAGAAGCACGTTGAAGATTTTAAGTGGCCCGAAAAACAACATCAAACTGCACCAGCTTAATGGTGCTGCTTCAACGCCCTTATTCAATCATCTTGGTAGCTCGTCATGGCACTCATTCGATGCTGCATTTATCGTGTTGCTAGGTCATCTGGGATGGAAGCAAATTGTACCTTTAGTCATCGGTGGTGTCATTTTTGTATTTCTGGTGCGAAGACTGTGTAGGTGGCGGCGCATGGTGGTATTTCGTTCGCAAAAAGATCTAGGTGGCTCTATAAAATCTAGCGTGTAGCGTCTTAAATGTGCACCTTCTTGATAGCCTTACCTGTTGTTGCGCATGTGATTTCTCTTGTTATGTCTCTTAATATTCTGACTCCATCTATTTCTTTTCGCGAACTTCATTAATTCTCAATTTCCTTCGACGAGGTGAATCAGAGGAATGTCCCATCAGTCATCCCTTCGGTTTGCTCTGAATACAGATAGTCAAATGGTCTAGAGGACCGGTCTAGCCCCTGAGCTGGGCACTAAATGGCAAAAGCAGGGTTCTGGGATTTACGAGAGTGGACGATTCTTAGCTAACCCAACCAGGCCTAGCTAATCAAAGGTCTTCTTTTGTTCTATAGGATAACTACTATTATACGGCATATCAGTTCCGGGAAAATGGAAAACACGGCATGCGAACTCCGAAAGAAAGGTCACAGGCACTTAATTAGTGTTTAGGCAGCTGCGAAAAAAGCTTGTTGTGGCCCTTGAAGTCGTCGGACCCCCGTATAGATTCCGTTCCAGGCGACCCCGCGGGGGCCGAATGCGAGATGTGAATTCCACACATGTAGGTATGGCAATCAGCGTGTTGGGACTCAGTAATTGTTCCTCGCACTTCAGTGCCCAGCTCTTAATTGCTTTACTCAAATCAACTTTCAAACATTGAATGTAACAGATTCTGTTTTTTTTTCTCCCATTGATTCCTTAATGAATTTAGCTAATGGCGAACAATGGGCGTCCGTATTCTCAGTTGAAGGGAGTAGCAGGAATCGCTCTCACCATGGTCTGTTTCCAATCATATTATTTAGAAGGTATCATTACTGACTAACCTTCCTATCAATTAGCTAGTGATTCAAAATGCGGTATCTCTTTCGGTAAGCGACTACCATCTCGTTCACGATGCTATATCTCACAAGCGAAGTTGCAATACAAACTGCAGCACAAGTCAACCCCTAACGAGCCTATATATGACCCGCTCACAGTCGTCATTTTGTCTGAAGTGCTGAAAATAGTTACTTCTTTCGTTGCGCTTTTCTGGACATTTCACATTCATCCTGTTACAGGCCTGAAAGAGGCGTCTTCAATAAGACAGATGTTTCAGCAGGACCATCTTCACAGCGCTATTCCCGCAGTTCTGTATACATTTGCTTCCGCCAGTCAAGCCATGGGAGCTCGCAACCTACCTCTACTTCCCTACCTTATGCTGTCACAAGCCAAACTCATACTGACACCTATCTTTGGCATGATATTATTAAAGCAGTCGTTGAGCAAGCTGCAATGGGGTCATTTAATTATGATGACATCGGGAATTGTACTGGTCCAGCTTGGCTCAATAACGGAATTGGCAAATCCAAGCTCTTCTACGGTAGACCACAGCTTTTTCTTGGGAATCACAATGATGTTTATAGCAGGCTTCTGCGTTGCCTTTTCTGGCGTTTACATCGAGTTGTGCTTCAAAACCAATAGCAACTTTTTGGTTCGCAACGCCCAAATGGCAGTTTATAGCTGTATATTTGCCATCCTGGGTATATTCATCAAGACTGACATTACCTTCAAAAGCTTTTTCAGAGGCTACGATACACGAGTAGTGTTCTTGGTGGTTTTGCAAGCCATAGGAGGATTTCTTGTATCATGGTGTGTGCGCATTACAAGTACGGTCGCCAAGAATTACGCACAAGGTTTGGGTTTCCTCACCGCGTCTGCTATTGCAATATTCTCAGTTTCGAGAAGATTGCGCTACTCAGTATGTTTCTTGTTTGAAAAGAATGTGAAGACTTATGCTGACGAATCCGTGAGTTTCATGTGGGGGTAATTCTTGTGCTTTGGGGGGTGTTTGGGTCTTTATTGTCTTCAAACCAAAAGATTCTCAACGAGGAGCCTGGGAAAATAGACAAAGAGGAATCAATGGTTTGATTATTTAAAATGTGATTTTATTCCTAGATTTCTCTGCCTATGTGCTGTTGACACCGACAGCTTTGCCCTATATCACGTTGATTAGTGCTTCCATTCCTCTCTTGACTTCGTCAACTTCAGCCACCAGTACCTGCTGGTCCTCCTGACTTGAGCATTGGCCATTATGCACGTTACCCACCAGCTTAAGGCTTATAGTTAATCCGCCGTTAGCTTCCGTCACTCCCGAAGTCAAGTAGCATTCGTACTTTCTGGGACCTTATATAACAGTCATGTAACAGATTCTTCTCCCTAATACGACTATCCGATTTGTCGTATAGTTAGCCTCCAAGTTCGAATCATGCTAACAAAAAGCACCCCACGAGGCTTTCTCAAGGCTTATTACTTTGTTCGTGTCTTACGGATCCGTCGCCGGATCCTCATCAGGTTTGCCGTCCTGGCACTGTTAGTCCCCATATTTCTACAATACGCCCTAGCATATCATCTTGGTAGCGACGCCAGGCTGTTACCGCGCGAGTTACAGGATATAAAGAACATATTGATTGTGACCGCTCATCCTGACGACGAATGCCTCTTCTTTGCGCCGATCATTGTTGGTGTACTAGATAAAAATGACGGCATCAAAGGCGGACTGCTCGCTCTGTCGACCGGTAGGTTCATTTTGAATCTTCAGCCTTTGCAGTATGAAAATGCACTGACCAGACGTGCCGTCGATGCTGCAGGCAACAACAAAGGGTTAGGCGACACGCGAAAAAAGGAGCTAAGGGGATCATGTGAGGCCCTTGGAATTGATTCCTCCAGATGCGAAGCGTTAGACCACCCGGATCTTCAGGACAACCCTACGGCTTGGTGGGATACAACCATTACCCAAGCTATCATTAAAGAGTACGTTCATAAGTGGGATATTGACACTGTAAGTTGAGAGATCGTAGCATCCCGAGCCAAATTATTAATACCATACTCGAGATCATTACTTTCGACGAGTACGGCATCTCCGGACACATAAATCATCGCGCGGTGAGCGCTGCTGTTAGGTGAGCAGAGCTATAAGGGAGACTCCAACTCGTACTTTGCCTTGGACCCCATAGAGGTCCGCTAATAGCTCTGGTGGTCCTAGTGAATACGTCAAGAGTGACAGCAGCGCACCAGTTGCGTATAAGCTGGTAACCACGACGCTACTAAGGAAGTACACATTCTTATTCGACCTTCCATTTACAGCATTGGCCTTTGCATGGCGAATTGCTGCTGCTGTAATCTTGCCTTCCTCCAAGATAAACGAGGGTTATAGCAGAAAAGCGCTTGTTGTAAGTACTTGGCAGCAATATTTCAAGACTCGCAACGCTTTTGCCAGCCACAACAGCCAGTATTCATGGGATCGTCATTTGTACATGATTTTGAGTAGGTATGTATGGTTTAATGACATAAAGAGAATGCCCAGCGACAGAGTTGGCATACATTAGCGATCGTTTAAATAACTTGCGCTTTTCTCGTACCCTTTAAATTCTTTTTCACGCCAAGTAACAAATTCAAGATCTTCTGAATTGATTTTTCTCGATGTTTATTTCAAATTCTATGACAAGAAGTTTGTGTACATAAATTAGTTCCTGGTGCACGACTGAAAGCAATTAGTAGCTAAGTTGATCTGGCAATTCCTTTGTGGAATTCTACATACATTCCTATTCCAGGAGGCAGGTAATGACAACAAAACCACCATACCCATAATCTTCGTATCTTTTTGGCGCCATTATGCCCATGAATGGCACAGTTGGACTTGTCGGCATTCGGGTTGCGATAGCGGCATCCGCGGGTTACGGTTTTGTTTGCCTACTATGAGCGCTTAAACTTCACCGTGCCGAACTCCGAATGTAAATAGTCAAGAGCATGGTCTAGTGTTGAAATTACTCCATAATTTTCCCTAATAAGAAAGTGACTAGGACTTTGATATTCCCTACCAACCAGATCATCATCCGATGAATCAATCGAGGCCAGTGCATGCATGAGAGTTCAGGCTAGTAGAAGTAGTTTATAACTATGAATGGTACCATCCAGCAGGCACCTTTGGTCACGCGCAAGGAAGGCCTGTATGAGACTAATAATGGCGGCCATTTATCATCCCATTCCCCCCTTTGTTGAAGTACTCAACGGCACCATCAGTAGGCATGGGACACATTTTTGTCCTATATTATGCAGTTGCAGAATGGAAAGATCGGTATCCAAGGAAGCCTCGGAAAGGAGATAGTACCAGGGTTAGGGACTTTTTCAAGGATACCCCAGTAAGTGTGAGCGGAACATTTACTTTTTCTTTTGGATGCTGTGGACTTCAGCCCTCTTCGTAATGAGCGAACAGGCTAGTTACTAGTCGTTTGAATTTCCAAGCTTTATTGTTGGGCTGCCAATTCGACATTGATTAAGTATTACATGCAGGGTCCCGTTATGGAGAAATTTAGTGGATTACTACTTTCATTGCACAAGTAGTTTGACCTAGTCTTCTAAACAGTCGAATGCTTACAGATCTGGTAGTACTAGCAGTTTAACACTCCGTCGCTACCACTCATTCAAGTCAGTGGTAATATCTTTCGGTGTCTGTCATGAATTTGAACGGTTTTCGAGACGAAGCCCTCCTCTGGTACTTGACAGCGCGTGGCTTCTGTTCCTCTTTACATCATTACCTACCGCAGTGCCGAATTAATCATGCTCGTTTTCACATCTACCGGCTGTTCCGGTCCTTTTTTCTACCGATTTTCGTCTTTGCAGCATGCCTTTGGTCTTTGACGTCGTTGCTGCCACGTCTGCTCGATCCAAGTTCGATAGACCCGGAAAAAGAGCTGAAAGACAAACAATGGATTAACACTAGTCCCTACTGGATGGATCGTCAGGCCTGCCGCTGGTTAAATCTGTGTGGTGTTCAAAATTTAGCATGGGATCCAGCCACGTTGACTCCCCAGGATCCCGACAAGAATGACGAGCAACGGCGTATCAGTCTCGAATTACGCTCGACAGATATCGATGAAGGAAAAGAAAGCGCCCACACAAGCCCATTGAACGACTCAGGGCCCCAAGATCGTGCAAGGAAAGAAAGTGAAATGGGAAAAGCCATACCAAAATACGTCTTGCAGTATGCACCGCTCGTTCACCTCCACTCAAAGGAGAACTTTTGGCCCGCCGATATTGCCGAGCATATACTACACATGACACCGCAAGTTGAGGGGAAATCGTTGAACCAATCCTTGCTGCTCACAAACCTCGATGTGCTGAATAAAAAACCCGGCGGAGTTTTCCTCACAAGTAAGGACAACGTCGAGTCGAGACCGGAGTGGCTACATAGCCACGTTGGCATACCTAAATCTGGGTTTGACGTTTCTCAGCAGCGCTACATTCGGCGTGTCATTAGTCCTCAACGACCGTCATGGCATTCTCATTCAACTCAACCATTTGGTAAGGACGGAATCAGCCGCCGGGACCAGAAACCTATTACAGGTACGGCGACAGAAGAACTTAAGCTGGATGGATACTCCGAGGCACCGGCAGTTTTAATTCTTGTCGACAAAGGTTCTGGCATCGTCGACGCATTCTGGTTCTTTTTCTACTCGTACAACCTCGGACAAACCGTACTGAACATCCGCTTCGGTAACCACGTCGGCGACTGGGAATACTGTATGGTCCGATTTGAGCAAGGTGCCCCTCGTGGGATCTTTATGTCTGAGCATGCAGGCGGCCAGGCTTATTCATACTCCGCTGTCGAGAAACGTAATGCTCGACCCGTGCTGTATTCCGCGGTTGGCTCTCACGCTATATATCCAAATCCTGGCGATCATCCATATGTCTTACCATTCAATATGCTGAAGGACGTTACCGACCAAGGTCCTCTCTGGGACCCAGCTCAGAATACTTACTCATACTGGTATGATCCTAGGAACAACACGGGCAAGTATAACCAGTCAGACTTTGGCCATGTGTTGTCTCGAAACACCTCAGATAGCCTTATTCCTACTGCAGAAAATCCTAGTGCGCCAACATCTTGGTTTCACTATGTTGGTGCTTGGGGCGACAATATCTATAGTCTCGCTGACAGGCGCCAGTGGCGCCTTTTCAATCAGTACCACTACGACGAGGGGCCCTACGGCCCCAAGCTCAAGGGCTTAGATCGCGAGCAAATTTGTCCTACAGATCAGTGTGAGATCCTAGAAACGATAATCCCAGGTCAGACATGGTATGGAAAGAAAACGATCGGTTTATGAGCAGAACACAGCTTTAGAACATTAAGCGTTGGTACTTGGAAGTTGCATTTCCGGGTGCATGCTGTTGCCTATTTCGAAGAAAAAAGGCCATTTTTTTCATTTATATAGTGTTATATAAGTAAGAACAAGATTTTGATGTTAATTCTTAACAGTCAGAGTCCCAGGTTGAAATGGCTTTATGGACACCCAACTTGCCAGTTGCCAGCCATTCAAACGTTACGTTAGGAAGCTCAAACTACCTGCTCGCGAGATGGGCGATTGGAAGGGCCTAATTCAGCATGTCATTCTACAGCTTGTTTGAAAGAGGCTATGCTTTTATCACACTTTGAGAAGAATCTCTTTTCTTACACTCATTAAGGTGTCCTGCGATCCCAACAAAAACGCTCATGTCTCTTAACCCCACACGTGGACTCAGGGGCATCAAGATACATCCAGCTCGTTTTTTTCTTTTTCTTTCGCCGTAGGTAATTATGATTTACCCTGATATTTTATATCAGAACGCATTTAATACAACGATAAGCCTTCAACTCATAGTCTCATAAGAAAAACATTATGAGGCGCCTAATTTTCCAACATCCAGGTTGGATCTTTTTTCTATGTAGTCGATCACATAGGTATTATTAAAAGCCTCGGCGTCCGAACCACAATTTCTAGCCCTATGCCATGATCGTCGTTGCGCCGTAAGACAGCGCTTTTTCACTTAACCATCACAGTCGCTGTACAGCAGTAATGTCGTCGAAATAGTCCGTCGGCCCGAAGGAGTCCGTCAGCCGTAATAGTGGTCTGCGGTTGTGTTGTCTGTAGGGAGTTCGTAAGCCGTTCGAGGATCGCGCGAATATTGCTCTATTGGGACTCTGGGTCCACTCAGGGTTACGTCACCCAGTATGGCAACACAGGCCTGTGCCAAGACCGCCATGCAAAAGAAGCCGGGAAAGATGGCTGACCGGCATCATGCCCAGACTTCTGGCATACATGCCTATGTAATCATACATCCTCCGACTTGGGAAGCAAAACACAGTCTCACACAGCCTTGTATACGCGTGTCGGGGGCAGCAATTTGATCCGGCGATTTTATGGAGCGATTGTCAAAACGTCTTCTGCTCGCTCATTCCCTGAATGACATACTTTCAAGCCCATTAGGAACGCAGCTTTTGGCTTGACCATAACTCAGGCATTGCGAAAATGTCTCAATCGCATCTTCAACGTCAGAAAGACGCCCAACAAGCTGAAGTTTATGACATGCAAAACATGGATGGCGAACGGCAGAGCATACAGAGAGACAAGTGGCATCACGGTCTATGCGGCTGCTGCGCTTCCTGCGACCTGTGCCTATTGGGAACCTTTTTGCCATGCCTTCGTATGTCACTCCTGTTTCCGTGTGTCATTTTCAAACGTTTACTAAGATTGCCTGACAGTTTATGGCCAGACCTCGCACCGTATTGAGGAGCCATCCATGTCACATTACCACCATGTCAACCGCGACTGTTTGTGGATGATGGGTATCACCTATCTCACCGGTTTTGGTTGGATGTATGTCATCTGAACGACAACTTTGTGAAGATAATGAATGAATTTCAGCTAATTAGTCGTGTAACACAGGATTGTCATGCGCGAGCGTTTTCAAATACGCCAGCGATACGGTATTAAAGGCAGCGACGCAAGAGACTGTTGTGCATCTTATTGGTGCCTCTCCTCAGCTCTCGTGCAGCATGAAAGAGAGGTAATTGCTCGTCAGACTAGAAGACCAGATACCCAAGGGTACCAGAAGCAGCCAGCCATGAGAATGGATCCAACAAGGTAACATTAGCCTTGGCAATGGGCAGATTACAAGCTTGAAGAAGGCCAAAAGACAAGAATTTACCCAATATTAACACTCTGAATAATACATTTACTGGAAACGCTACGCGATGTAGGTTCTCATCGCATTTTGAATCACGCCAAATGAGATGTATGGCATCATCTGTAGTATTACTGAAAACCAACCGTTCGGCTCTCAAAACATCATATCACTTAGTGACGCAGACAATTCGCGCCGTGGTGCCCAACTTTATATTGTCAGACGCCAGTGTGGAGAACACATGCCTATTTACACCTGCGTATCCCGGACTGCTGAATGTTGCTGACCCTTAATACTTGACAACCGCCTTGCGTCAGTTCACCTTGTCGAAAAACTGATCCAAGTCTCATAAAAGCAAACAACTAACAGCGCCATAAAGATGCTTCACAACATCGGTCAAGTGATAGAGGTTATGCTAGAAATTGACTCATGGACTATTTGGAAAATCTTGGGCAGTCGATTCTTTGCAGCAAGACATTGCATAGCTTAACATACTGGGTCAAAGTAATACTCTTTTGGGCGTCCGGGCTAAGAGCAACTATCATGACAACATTGCAAGTAGCCACTCCACGATTACTAATTTACAACACATTAACCTGTTGATCCTCTGAGTTGAAACTTTGAACACTAAGCCAAGAGCAACACAAGCTGTTTTGCGTGACACTTGGGTATTTGCTCTACTAACAGGAGTGTTGAAAGGCCCCTATGCCTGGAAATTATACTTCTTGCGGGCCCGATTCTCAATAAAAGCAGGCCAAATTTGATATAGGTACTGCGCGATGGCGTACGGAAACTTTGGCAGCACAACGTTGCCTGTGATGCCACGATCGACGGCATCGATGCACCTCTCAGCCACGTCTTGGATCTTTAGGCCGTGTTTATTTGGATCATCTTCTCTCACGGGGCCGGAGTCTACCGCAGATGCTCGGAAGTTCCCTTCAATGGTTGCTGGGAGTATGAAGGTGAATGCAATCTTGGGGTGCTCAATGGCCAAGGACTGAAAGAGCAACAGAGAGGAAGCTTTGGTAGCTGCGTAAAGCGCCCTAGTCGGTGCGGGTATGATTGCGGCAACTGAAGAGACCAAGAGAATCGATGGGGATTTCGACGTTCTCGTCAGCATAGGAATCTACGATCAGATCAGTACTACAGTAAAACCAGTGCCTGAATAGTTCTTACAAATGTCAATGCGGAGGCCAGCGGTCCATCGAAGTTTCCCTTGACAGCACGCCCGGCGATGTCGACAGCCTTTTGGATTCCCGCGGCATCTGCATCCTCTTCCGCAGATTTATTTCCAGTCAAGGCCATGACGGGCTGAAGCGCTGAAACGCCTGCGCAAATGTGTAGAGTGTCTATGCCTTGCCACTCGTTCTCAAGCCGATCTCTCAGGCTGACCAGGTCGTCGACCTTACTGAAGTCTGCGACATGCCACATGCACTTTTCTCCACACTCCGTGGCCAGGGTGGCGATTTCTTCAGCACGTCGCGCGACCACGCAGATGCGAGCTCCGCGGGCTGCATACTGCTTAGCAACGGCGCGACCAACGCCGCTGGAAGCCCCCAGGATGAGAACGCGCTCATCTGTTGGGGCAAGGCGACGGTCTCTTCTGCGTGATTGCGCAGCTAGTTTCCGTTGCGCAATGAGCACCACCAGGACGGTAAGTGCCAAACGAACGACCGGGTATCCCATTGTAAGACTGATGTGGTTTCTGAACGCTAGAAACCCAATGTCTAGAGCCTTCTTCGGGCATGGGGTTGATTAAAAGCTCAGATCCACGGCATGGATTGAAATTGGGTTGTTGGCACATGACAACCCACAGCTTCGAACTACCTAGGTTGTGGCAAAGGCTGACTAAGCTCTGTGCAGGGCTTTGCGCGTAGCGCGTCGCAAACGCACCATCGGAAGGTACCCCCAAATCCTAGATAATGGATCACCAGACAGTACCTCGGACAGTTCATCTTGCTTGGGAGATGTGTTTTTGTTTGCAGGTTTACAACTATTCACTAACTTTGGCGCTAAAAACTTGAATTGAGCGCGAATCATGTTAAAAACAACCATCGTTCCGAAATACTGGGTCTCGTGAACATATCAATATCTGGCGACGCTCTACATGGTCTTGAAACAAAAAGAAAATGACTTGTGAATTGTTTTGAATATGAGGTGTATGTCTACTTTGGAAGAACTTCCAAGGGAGAAATCACGCGTCTGAACGTGTGCGTGGCAGTTACATTCGGGCAACTTAGAGGTTACTGACATGTATGGTGATTCAAAGCGATCCTCATTTCTAATGATGCAATCATCAAGAGGTCTTGCATGACAGTGAAACAGACGTTGAAAAATTTTTGTCAACGCCGATAATGTGAAGAAGTCATTGCAAGCATACTTCCAAGTCGGATAATTGTATTAATTGCATTCTATAGTAAACAGTATGCTCTTGGAAAGAACGTGATCTCTTTACACCATACTGTCCAGGCAACTACCCAAGTATAGCCGACCAGCCTACAAAGGACTCTGAGTGTCTCAGGTAGTTTCTGATTAGGCATCACTTTGTTGCCTACCGCGTTCATAGCAGCTTGAAACAGTTCTTCAAATACGATCGCGCCAATCTGCAGGCAGTATCGCCAACACGTTGCCCAACAGCCGCACCGCAGGGAAGTATCTGGACTCAATGTCCATTCCACTAAAGCATGCATAAATCCTGAAAGTACAAAAACCAATGCGTTGTTTACGTATCTGGTTACTGCGCTGCGTTTTGGGATTCGAAGTACACTTGTCAACAAGTACTCAGCGTGAGCACTAAACGACCTGTATACTAATAGATGCCAGAACTGCGACCAGTATCTTCGCACAGTATATGCCTGCCCGATGGTGCCAAACAAGGGCGGCCATTCTTCAGGTGTGTCAAGACGTAAGACGACCGCAACTATTGACAGGACGTCGTGGTAAGATGAAAGGATAAGATAGTCCGGAATCATCTGGTCACCAACAAGATGCAACCGAATCATGCCAGCGCGAATGAGAAAACTTCGAGCATGCTGGGAACCGGTTGGAAAAGAGTAAATAAGACGCCAAAAGGTTGCCTGGTTTTCAGCTGAGAAGTCTTCTCGCTTCCATACCGTCTGGTCTGGCATATATAGATGAAGGCTTGGGTCGTAGTACAGACAAAGAGCACTGTATCTTAAGAACAATACTCCGACCCGCTTCAGAACGAAGACTGTTCTGGACTTTGGCTCCACCGCAACGGAAGATGGAGCTTTCAAAGTTGATATTTGTCCACCTCTAGCGTCTTTTTTATCGCGTTGCTGTTTCCTTGTTTCAAGGCTCAGGATCGTAGGCGTAGTGACATGGCGTGTTTTCCATCTTGTACCGAGACATCGTGCGTTAAACAGCATCTTATACGCAAAGGCCCAATTGTGAGATGTGTTATCGCTCCGTTTCGTTTCATTTTTGTTATACTTGCTGTCGACATTTAGACTTGATCCAGACGTCCCAAAGCTGTTTCTCTCCTTCTCCACGTCTTCAGATGACAGAATGCAGTGGATGAAAGATTGATGAGCTAGGAAAATCAGCAGAAATCGAGCAAATATTTCGTTGACGAAGTCGTCTGATGAGAATTCCTTGGATAATTTGAAAGCGACCAGGATCGGAAATGCAATGAGAATGAAAGTGAGTCGTGGATTAGCAAACCTTTTTGACAGTGAGACAAACGCTATGCCAATGCCAAGGGCACAAGCAGTAACTGTGCTCAAGCATGAGAATATATGCCATTTTAACTGTACTGGAGCCTCGTGGAAATCCATGACGCGAATCGAAACCTGCTGGCTACTGCGCTATGGTTTCGAAAGAATTGCAAGGGTTATTGGGCGTGGTGTGAAGAACATTTATATTGCGCATGCTTGTTAGAAACAAGTGGCACTGATCTTTTCAATAATCTTCGACTAAAATTTACACCTTGGTAGTGTCGTTTTTGAGTGCCGAATTATGAAAGTGTAGTCTTGGCTTGATTCTCTCAGGCTGCATGATTGGGACAATTCCAGATAGGTGGAGCTTTAGGTCTATACCAGTAATATCTTCAATGCACTCATTGGTCAAGTGTTATGTTTCGTGTTTCTCTTTCAAGGGTATGTGATCCTTCACCAAGGCTCAGTCTTGGCGGCTCCCTTTTAACGCAGCAATTTGTTGAATAAGGAAGGTAGGTTTCAGATGTTTCTTGGTCTTAACTTTCAGAAAGCTTGCGTGAGATGACGAGAACATTTAAACACGTGCTGTGGAGGACAAATGAACGGCCTCGATACTGTGTTTCTCATCTGCGAAATGGTTCTAGCATTACTTGGCGGTGAGATCAGAATACTTGGCTGTGGAGTTACAGTATCTTACTGCAGTCAATCTAATCCAATAGTGCTACAATCTAGAAGCACGAGTAGCGTACTAAGTATATAAATGGTTCGCTTGTGGGATCCTTTGTAGTGGATGAAATCCTCTACTTGGCATATTCAGAAAGCCTGCCTCTGTTTGTATGTCGCTCCGCATTCAAACATATTATGTTATGTGAAAGAACCTAAATATACGGTTAGTAAATATATAAACCAGGAAAACCTGTATCAGACGTAGATGGCTTTCGAGCTTTTATCTCTATCAAAACCTGTCAGATAACTCACCATTCCCCGCACATCACACTTATTAAACTGTTCAAAATGAAGGTAAAGCCTTAGCCTCAACTCCTTAATAAACCATATTCTGATTATACGACAGGCCTCCGTTCTCCTTGCCGTTATCTCTGCTGTCACTGTCTCCGCCAGTTGCGGGGACAACTGTGTTGGCGGAAGTAGAGTCGCTGGACGTAGTGTCGGCTTGACTTCTCTGCCCAGAGCTTGGTTCGCTGGTCTGTACGCAGACAAGCGCGATGCTGAGGAGGCAACTGTTAAGTCTTCTTGAATTGTGAGTTCTATGCGAGGCTTGATCTATCCCAAACTGACCGAGGAATCTCTTCAGGGCGGCAACATTACATGTTTCTTGCTGTAGATGCTGCGGCATCTGGTTATTCCATTTTCAACACTATCAGTCCTTTGGTATAAAATTGAAGTACTTACATGAAATATCGTAGTTACTTGAGATGTATTAAAGGCTTTTATGACCGGCTAAGTCAATCAAGCATGAAGTATGTTCATGGAAACTTAGAGCGAGAAGCATACTTTAAGGGACTCCTAATCGCAGGCAAGAAAGATCCTAGAGACCTTACAAATGCTCTCCATCAATGATAAAGTCTGTTGATCATGTGAAAATTATCCTGTGAACTAGAGTTCAATAAAGAGAAGGAAAAACATGAATAAAAGCCTGGCTCAATGAAGCGTGCAAGAACCAATAGCGGAACCCTGCAAAAGTCTGCCGTGAGTAATTGAACGTATCAGATGAGCCCCACCTGTCGACTGCTCCGCCTGCTACAGCTCTTAAACCTGCACAAGCTGGCTAAGCAGTGTTACGAAAGGTCGATTAGTTTCAGAATTCAAACACAACCGAGTCATCCTATGTACGATTTAAAGGCTTCGGGTGTTAAAACTCTAATCCAAGCTGTATCCAATATATTAATTTCCACTGTTTGGAAAGTTAGTTATGCCTTATGGAACAATACTCCTCGTGATACCCAGGTTGTTCAAACGCAAAATATGAACATAAATAGCTGCTTCTTAGCCTTTCCAAATTCTTTGTCTTTATTCTATCATGAAAAATTCTCTTTAGTAGACATCTCCCCATTGCAGAGCGAGAAAAAAATGTTGTTGCAAACTACTCTTGCCATTACCACTCTTTTGCAGTTTGTTCTGCCGACATCAGCTGCTTTTATCTTCTGCGCAGGCGCCCCAGCAGATGGCAGTTGCCCCACTGACAAAGGAGCCAAGTCAAGTGTGAGTGTCAACTTTTATATTCTTTTTGGATCATCATTTCTCGCTGGTTGATATCTTTCCTGGGCTAACTGTTTATCGATGACTTAGTGTGAAAACATATGCGCCAACTGTGGGCCCAATTGTTTTGGAGGCACGGCTAAAGACTTGGGGGCGACTTGCTGCACACAAGGGGATGGGACAATTAACATCTTCTGTTTCAGAACAGGGAAGAATAATTGCTGAGTTATGTGACAAGAGCTGGTAGAATTGTGGATATAATTCAACTCCTAGAATTAGATTAAGCAGTGAATGTTATCAATGAAATAATCTCCTTTCTTTGGGACAGGTTCACCTTTTGTAGTAACAGTAAATGACTCTGGATGCGAACTCGCTATCTTTGCTTTTCAAACCGGGCAGATTAGTAAATAAGCAAAATGAGGATTCATGTTCCTGTGTCTGAGTCGGTGAGTGCTGCTTGACTTGCATCTGTATTTGTCATAACAAATGCACGGAGAGAAAAGGTTTCCAATGGCTGTGTGTAACCGACGAGATAATACATTCCTGGTCTGCATATGGCTTCATCCGCCTCGCCCACAAATATCATATGGAAATGGTAGGCCTAGGAGGAATGAAGATCAATCATCGTTCAAGGGTTGATGTGACAAAGCTTTTTTGGAATGTCAAGAACCCCAATCATGAAATTCTAAAGGATGCAGGTAATGTTTGGAGGTCCGAGAAGATGGCACGGCCTGACTACCCAGTCCATTACAGCCAAGGACCAGGATGGCCAATTATAAAGTAATAAGTGTAATCAGAAGCTAGGTTTTTCAAGTGAATACATCAAATACTTACTATGGTTGGATTAACTTGTACCTCTTCACCTCGGTAGCCAGTAACATATGTCCACGATGGGGCTCGGTATAGATTGAAGAGGTCAGGAAGATGACTATATCAATTTATCGTCTTCTTATTAGTCAGGAAATCATAAGGCCCATTTATATATTGTGCTAATGACATCTTGGTATTTCTAGTCTTACCGCGCAGGCCATGAGCATGTGACATTTAGAGGGAAATTTTCAATGTACCTGGTGTGTCAGTGCATTATCATGCCGCCCAATGTTGAAAACATCAGACAATTGGGTGCCTACATATGCAAGACAGGTAATGAAAATTCCAATCAGCGATGCCCAGCTAGAGAGGGAAACAACAAATTGGAAAAATTTTCCACTTACGTTCGTTGAGCTTTTATTAGATCAGATTGGTTTGAGAAGTATATTCCAGATGATGGACGCAGAAGTCGTTGAAAAAACAAATCTGAAAATAGAGTTGCTGAAGCGGAAGCGACCGATGAGCGTGGTTCTCTTGCCTTATACTAGTTAGTGCTGAGAATGAATGATAGAGATTAGCAAGATCAGCGGCCTTTGTATATTGCTTTGTGCCTTTAACTTCGGGGGCTTTCATTCGATGTTAGACATTATCGTTTATGGGGATTGTTTCCGGACACTACAAGTGACGGCTAGTCCAGCTTCGGCTGTGGCTTAAGACAGTTGGGTGGCTGATGTACGCCGTCACTTCCGGGTTTCCGCCAATGTGCGTAAGAGTTACTGCATACTTCTTAGGCGTTTGACTGCTCTTCACAGCTCTTAGGAAGATAAAACAATATTCAAAATACTTCCTTAAAGGGGATCTCTACAACTTCTAAATGTCTCTTCATTTGATATTAAAAGTTAGGCTTAGGCCCTCTTAGATCCTTGTGACTTGTTGGTAGACTTTCAAATTACCCATGTGAAATCTAGCAGCTTCTTTGACAATTATGCCTTTAAAGTTTGAATGTGCACCCGAATTAACCGAAGATCTTCAGTCGGGGCTGAGCAAGCAAATTCCTCTTCCTGATTCATTCAAAGCCTTACGGGCCAGAAGCGTCATCGCCTTCCTTAAAAGAGCACACAGGCTCTTGGCCACTGTCTTAATCCTTAATGATGATGGAAATCGGCGAAAGGGTTAGCGGCCGCAAACGGCGCAGCATTGTCCACATTCCTATCCTTGGTTAGAACTTCCACATTCAATAAGGTTTACTATCAGGTGCAAACAATTAATCCATCTCACTCCAAATAACCAAGATCAGACCACCCCTCTCAAAATTTCCCCAACATTATCCTGATAAGTCACGATTTAAATCTTTGCATGGGAAAAAATATCGCTGCCTAACAACATACGATGCGAAATTCGGACCGCTACTAGTCCTTCTGCATTTCCTAAGCCCCATATCTTCTTCTCAAACGGCTCGCCGTTCCTATTCTGTCGCCAACCTCTTGAGGGCTGTGGTGGATAGCACCGTTGTGCATGACCTTTTGTCAGCTTTGCTGACGATAATATTCGCATCCATGGACCTTCCCCTCTCCGAATTGACGGCAGCCCTCCCTGGTTGCGCTGTTAGTAACCTCTTATTCTTGCGCGATACATATCCCTATGCATACCAATTCACTGTCCTTAATCGCTAATATATCGCCTCTACTCAATAGACATCCTGCCCGTCGCAGGCGGTGAATTTCGCTACATGTGCGATGACCAACCTGACTTCGGGATGCCTGTGCAAGGATAGCAGCTACATCGAAACATACCGATTATGTGTGCGGGCTTCGTGCGATATGGCGCATGTTTTTAGTATGCCAATGTCCCTATGCATTAGGTTCCAACAAAACTGACCGATACTACTTTTAGTGGCAAAGAATGCTACTTGGATTTGGTGTGACTATCACTACCAGAACGAAACGGGCTCCATGTTCGAAAGAGTTGCCCTGGTTATTATAACTGCATTCTTCTTCTTCCTCAGGCAGTTATCGAAACTACTTAAGCTGACTGTTTGGGGTGCCGATGATTTCACGCTCATACTCGGATACGTTAGTGATGAATAATCTATCACGTTCATCTAAATGAACCAGCTGACCATTGAGATTAGTTCTGCTCGCTGGCATTTGCCGTATCTCGATTTTATGGTAAGCGACTTCAAGGCTTTTGAAGGCAGAATGTTCTTGGGCTCACACTCTTTCAGGATACGAGTTGGGAATTGGAAGAGACATCTGGTCATTATCCCACAACGAGGTCAACAGATTCATGCAAGTAAGGCAATCTTCACTATTTGCCAAGTGGCCATAATTCCTTAAAATCATGTGCTAAGTTTTCGTGCCGACAGGTGTTCTTTGCCTTCGAAATACTCTACGACGTAGGCGTCGGTGCTCTAAAAGCGTCTATTCTGTTCTTCTACATCCGCATCTTCAGTTTCGTCAAGTCCAACTTTTCAACAACCTTATGGTGTACTCAAGCATTCAATCTTCTCAACTGCATTGCATTCATCATAGCAAACCTGAACCAATGCAAACCTTTTTGGTACTCCTGGGAGGGATGGGATGGCAGACACGCTGGGACTTGCGTCAATGTCCCTGCCATGCTGATATCACACGCAGCCATTAACATCGCTATTAACACATGGATGGTACTATTACCAGTAACTCAAGTGTTATGGTTGCAGTTGAAAAAAAGACAGAAGCTGGAAATCATGTCTATGTTCGGACTTGGAATTTTGTAAGTGCTCTGGAATCACTCAAGTCGAGGGCGTGGCTGCCTCAGCCCATTATGCAGGCAGAGCTCTAGGTCGTTTACGATTTTCAAGGCTCTCAACTAATTTTTTTGGAAATTCAGTATCACGATAGTCAGCTGTATCCGCTTGAAAGTTCTAGTGAAGTTCCGCAACTTTTCAGATCCTACATGTAAGTATCAACTCATTTGACTGTTTATTCTTAGCTTCCGCTGACTTTGATCGAAGATGATGCGTTCTATTTACATATGTGGTCCTATATTGAGCTGTCGGTCGCAGTTATCGTTGCCTGCCTACCATCAACTCGTCAACTATGGCGCCATTTGGTACCAAGGCTTAAAAGAGAAGCCACTCAAGTGTCTGCGGCACGGACTTCTCAGCTTGTAGATCCAATCAAGAGTTCAAGGGACAAGTCGGATTTCAGCAGGGACCAGTCAAGTCCTACAAGCGCTGACGGATTCTTGTCTACGCCATCAATGCGTCCCAAGAGTACAGGTTCTCAGTCGGAATCGAAGCAAACAGATGCTTCTTGATGAAGTTTAACGGCGCCTTGCCAGTAACAAATGTATATACTTCTCTACGCTCCATCACCTGAAGCAGACTTTGGACCCTTTTTCCTGCGGCCAGGCATTTGTCGCTGAAGTTCTTTCTTGGGAGATGCTGAGGTCTCTCTACTTTATTGGTCGACGCAATACTATCCTGTACGAAATTGGTATTAAAGTCCAAGCATAGGAGCTCGTCCGCTTCCGGCCACGTATTCCAGCATAATGATTTACATATGATATCATAATATTACTTTTAGAGGCATTCTTCCTATGATTTTGGTGAAACCAAGAGATAAACCAGGTGAGGTTTTGCAACAGTCAAAGGTTGTTACAGATTTGGTGGTGAGATGGTTTTCTTTCGTGGCTGGGGGCATGCCGCTGCGTCTGTGTCGTGATGGCCATATAGCCCATAGTGACCGACTGGTGACTGTGTGTCCACTTTTACCACCACAATCTGGCAACTTGTACGTGACTTATTAGAACCAGATACGAGCTTACAAAGCCTTGAGTTATGCAAACAACGCCTGCTCTGATCACTAGGTGCCAAGCTGGCTATCAACTAGCATACTTATGTCATCTCTCACGCGTCTTCCATGCTGTTCTAAGGAAGCTTCTTCAAGGGCGACACTGATGAAAAGTCTAAGTTCATCGGTATGCTACCTTGAATGAGCCAACTTCTTCAACCAGATCAGAAACGCTAAGATGAAAGCTTGTAACAGCTTCCTTTGGCAGTCGCAATTGTGGAGAAAAGAGCTTTATACTTAGTACCAAGACAGAAATGGGAGCTAACTGTGTGACTGCCCTTGTCTGTCCCATTCAGTTTGGTTATATCATACGCCGTGGTAAAGGACTTATAGCTGCACCATTCTCCGTGTTGTCAAGGACAAAAAGACAGTTTTGAACTCTAATTTGGCCCTGTTCTCTTAACATTATTGTAGCAAGATGGTTTTCCTGGCGTATCCCATGGAAGGCCATCTATGGTGTCCGCTAGTAAAGGAAATGAAAAATTGCAAAGTATTCAAATGTGAGGCACTTTAACTAAACTCTCTATCGAATGATCCAGTTTTAATTTAAGTTATGTAAGACACGGGGTTTTAATGGTATCTGTCATATTCAAACTTGACGAAACAAGCTATAAGGAGTGAACTTTGTAAATAAAAATTCGCTGTAGCTAAATGGTAGCATTGCTGGATGATTCTCATCGCACTATAAAACGATTTAAGCAACATGTATGTCGGTTACACTCTGATTGCACGTTCATACAGATCTTTCTGATTAACAAAACGATGAAAAAAAATAACAGTTAGTAATTCCAGATAGGCTCATTCAGCAGGCACAGAAAGCGAAACAAAAGTGACTGAATTTGAGCATGTGATGAGCTGTATTGTGATAGCGGATTCCCGTAGTTCCCGATGGCTGTGACACAACGTGTGGTACGCTTTTTGGTCCAGCCAATACAAATAAGCAAGCGACCTGGCCCCCATGCCTCGTCACCTTGCGCCATGATGGCGTGCGAATCCGCGTCCCAATACGAAACGTATACGCACCCTGTGTGCTGTACCTCCGAACCTTACCTTCCTGAAACATTATTACGCTATTTGACATAGGTCTCACGAGGCTGCGATGGTTGACCGGGTATCCACATTCTTATCAATCAATCGCTGTCTGTGGGCATGCGCCCATTGACGCTGATGCACCCCCTTTGAATCCCTTGCTACCTACCGATCGCAAGTTGAGCATGAGACCAGAAAGCCAATTTCCTGCTGGCTTGTTCTTATCTGGCGACATAATATCCGTCTGTGATATTTTGCAAACAATCCTGTCTCCAACAGTACAAATCACGTCGCACGAACCCTTCATCGAATGGTTGGTACATATTTCATCCTCCTGCAGAAATAGCCGTCCTATTCGAATTTATAGCTAGAGACACAGATTTATGGCGATGAGTTCTGCGGAAGTCCCCGAGCGGCGACCTCTTCTCGCTGTGGGTATACCCGCGGTATCACCTGTCTCATCACCAACAGACAAGAAAAAGTCGCCGTCATCGCTTAAGGCTTCAGTCTCTGAGGCAGAACTAGCGAGTCAAAATATTCAACCATCACGCTCCTTGGAGGACGATGTTCTCCCTGAAACATCCACTCTCGGGCGGACTCTTACCTGGCAGAGCGCCTATATTCTCGTCATATCTCGAGTTATCGGCAGCGGCATCTTCGCTACACCAGGTTCCATCCTTCGTTCAGTCGGTAGCCCCGGGCTGTCTTTGGTTCTATGGCTCGTCGGTGCACTCATCGCTGCCTGCGGCCTCATGGTCTCCCTTGAGTTCGGATCCATGCTTCCACGATCTGGCGGAGACAAAGTATACTTGGAGTTCACGTACCGCCGCCCAAGATTTCTAGCGTCAACGCTCATTGCAGTACATGTGGTTCTTCTTGGATTCACGGCCAGCAATTGCATCGTTTTCAGTGAATACGTACTGTTCGCTTTTGGTGGCGATAATCCAAGCGATTTCATGCGAAAAGGACTTGCTGTAGGCCTCCTTACAATTGTCACGCTTGTCCATGGATGTATACCGCATGTCGGCATCAAGATTCAGAACTTCTTGGGCTGGATCAAGGTTTCTCTTGTTGTCTTCATGATATTTTGCGGGTTCTACGTCGTCCTCGCTCAGCCATCAACCGAGTCTATTCATACTACTTTACCCAGCATATCCTGGCAGAACCTCTGGGAAGGTAGTAACTGGAACTGGGGCATCATTTCAACCTCGCTATTCAAGGTGTTTTACTCATACGCTGGTCTCGACAACGCTAACCTCGTCCTCAATGAGGTAAAGGATCCAGTTCGTACTCTTCGGTCTGTTACTACGGCAGCATTGGCAACGGCATGTGGGATGTACTTGCTCATCAACGTGGCTTACTTCCTCGTCGTACCTATCGACGAGATTAAGCAAAGCGGTGAGCTCATAGCGGCATTATTCTTCGAACGGGTATTCGGTCAAGGTGTAGGAAGAACTTTGCTACCACTCGCTGTTGCATTAAGTGCTGGAGGCAACGTCTTTGTTGTTGCTTTTGCTCAAGTAGGTAGCCATCTGATTTATCAACTTTGGACTGGATTTGTTAATATTTCTTTAGGCTCGAGTTAAGCAAGAAATTGCACGTCAGGGGTTTCTCCCATTTTCTGACATCCTTTCTTCTACAAGGCCATTCAACTCGCCTTTAGGAGGGCTTCTTGTACACTACATCCCATCATTCTTGGTGATTGTTCTTCCTCCTTCTGGGGAAGTTTATTCTTTTATTCTAGAAGTAGAAGGATACCCAGGGCAGTTCATGGCGCTAGCTGTGGGCACTGGCCTCCTTTGGCTACGGTTTAAGCGACCAGATTTGAAGAGGCCATTCAAAGCCTGGGCTCCGGCTGTTGTTTTGAGGATCGGGTTGAGCCTGGCCCTTTTGGCCGCTCCATTCTTTCCGCCGAAAACGAAGCCAACAAATGGGTTATTCTATGCAGCTTACGCAGTTGTCGGTGCTAGCATGTAAGTAATATCCCCTCCCCATCTTACACGTGTTTCTAACAGTACAAAAATAGTCTTGCCGCCGGTGTTCTGTACTGGTACCTTTGGACTGTTTTTGTTCCATACTTGAAAGGTTATACAATAGAAGAACAGGAAGAGATTTTAGAAGATGGTACCAAAATCACTAAACTTGTCCATAGTCGCATTTAGGGGCTTTATATTTGATTATGCCTTTATTTTTTGACTTTTAATTAACTATTATGGATATATGATTTGCAGAACCGCACTTTTAGAAGTTTGGAATTAGTAGAACTTTTCTTATGTATAAGGCGCTAGTTGATCTACCACAAGCATTGTCTGGAACCTTAACAAACCTTCAAATGGCTTCAACTTCTTTCTTTTTCTCAGCGTTGCAAGTCCCACCACAATAGTATCTCTTATTGAAGCTATTGCCGAATCCCATCAAGGGCAACATGTTCGTTGTTAAGACTGGGGCACGTCATAGGTATCAGAATTTCGCATCAGTGAGGGATTATCACACCCTCGATGAGATGTTGACATTTCTATTGGGCCAATCTCGAATTGCTGCCATATGTTTCATAAGCGAGCTAACTCCGTGGGATTTGAAATCAACTGTTTTACCACATGCACACCAGTATGCTTTCAGCATCTAATGACCAATCCGAAAATGTTATTGGAAGATCAGGAACATTTTGGGGTGTGCTTATCAATCCAAAACCGTCCACATTTGGGAAAAGATATTGCGTGCTCGCGGGGAACGCGGGGATCCGGAGTATTTATTACCTTACTAACAGCTTACTTCCACCACATGAAAGTCAATATCTCTTGGCCACATATCTTATCTAAAGATTTTAGAATAAACACAACAGTTAACTAAATCTCACTCACTTGTTGCCAATCCGGTATATAAATGGCCGCTGTAGCTATTCAACCCTCAATCTCTGCTGTAGGCTTAGGGCCGACAAAAGCCGCTCAAGTCCAGGCAGTTCAAAGTCTCACTTTGCAGAATACTGCAAAAAAAGACGTTTATGCGGATCTACACTATTACAAGGAGAATGAAGACGGTTCCCCTCCCCACCCGACATACATTGACCGGCCAGAAACGTATGACCGACCCTTCGAGACGCACAACGTGAAGATCCAAGACGTGACTGGGGAAGAAGATAAATTCTCGCTTGACCAGAACGGCTTTCAGATTTATCGTCATCAATCTTCGGAAAGAGATTTTCTTGACGAATCATCAATCAAGTCGGGCTATTACTTGGAAACAGAAGAATTGTTGAAAAAAGTGTAGGCCATCCCTTCCTTGCATTGTTTTACATCAAGGACAATCGATAAGATGCTAATTTGGACGGCAGTACCGGTGCTAGCCGTGTCTTTATCTTTGATCACACCATTCGACGTCAACTGCCCAGCCTTTCAACTCAAAATCGAAATCTCCGCGGTCCGGTTCAGAGGGTTCACATTGACCAATCGTACAAAGCTGCCCTTTCACGTGTTCCTCATCACCTGCCAGAGGATGCCGATGTGCTGCTGAAGGGACGCGTGCAGATCATCAATGTCTGGCGTCCCATTAAGACTGTTCAACGAGACCCACTCGCCATTGCGGATGCAGGTTCCGTTTCCGACTCAGATTTGATTGTGACTGAGCTGATTTACCCGGACCGACGTGGGGAAACGTACCAGGTCAGGCACAAAGAGGATCACCAATGGTATTACAAGGCTGGTCTTACGCCTGAGGAGGTTATTCTTATCAAATGCTTCGATAGCAAGACAGATGGGCGAGCGCGCAGGGTTCCACACTCTGCGTTTGTTGATCCAACTGCCAGCAAAGACTCCCCACCGAGGGAGAGCATCGAAGTCCGAGCCCTTGTATTCCACCCTGAGGATCATGAGTAGTTGTTTTCAATCCGCGTCATCACAGTTATGGAGTCATAGTGAAAATTCTGATGTCCTTGGAAAGAAATTGATTTTGTTCCCTAATCAGAAACAACAATACTATTATTATGTGCGTACTTTGAATTACCTGCCAGACATAGTCCATGTATAACTGCTTGTTGTCTATCAATGAAATGAAATCTTTCTCCAAGCTCCCCCATTCTATGTTTTGGCCGGCTGGGTGCGACGGACATTCTCTAGGCAGCAGCTGTTGTGAAGGCTAGCACTGACACTTTCGTGCAGAAACATGCGAAGTTGAGGTGACAAGGTTAAATTCTGAATTAGCCACAGACAGCTTGATACTATTCGGCAGACAAATCATGCCTAGTGTCCCAGGCAGCCATATAGGCAATCGCAAGATTGGTCACTTTGACGCCACACGTCCCAGCGTGACAATGCCTTCAAATCAAAGGTAGGGACAGTTAAGGAACAGCCTCCGACCTCTTAGTCTGCCCTACCACCGGACTGCTCTGGAGTTGGTGTGGATATCCGAAGCACTAGAGCGAAGTTTGGGAGCTAGCACTTCAGATGAATCAGTGGATTGAAATAGGAAAGGCAATCCCAATTCTGAATTGGGGAGGCCGTTGGGATGGTGCGATTATGCAACCGTGGTGGCTGTCAGAGGATTGGGCACACTAGTGCTAGTGTCGAGGACTCACGACTCTAAATCCATTTAGTCACCACGCGATTGATCCTTTGCTCGCTCCAACAAATGAAATGAAGCCCGTTCCCGCAGTGTGGCTTGTGACAAAACATGGCCATGGAACAACCTAAAGTTTGTCTGACATACGTTACTGCTAATGGAGATAGCACCAGAAAAGCAGCGCAAATGTCCTAACATGAAGGTTTGCCAACTTTCCATTTCCTTTCTGTTTATATAATTGGGCAACAGTCGTCAAGCTGTGCGAGCGATTTTTCCACATCTTGATAACATGCAAACAAGCAATCAGGAAACAGTGCTCCAGAGCCATCAAACCGTTCAAAACCCAATGACCCAGCCCTCACTACACGGGTCGTCCTTTAGGACCACGCCAGATCCGCTGCAAGGAGTGAACGGGTCTCCTCAATCAGAGTCAACATCATCCCAGGACTCACCTACGATGGGCTGGACAGATACCAAAGCATACCAGCCTGTTACAGTTACCCACCAGACAGAGGGCTTGCGGGGGTATCAGAGTACGCAAAACTTGATGCAGAATCAAGTTCCTCCTGCCATTGCAATTCACCAAAGACGCCGGCTTCTTTGGTGGGCTCTTCGATACGCTGCCATTGCAATCATCGTCTTTGTGGCCCTTCTTATACCAACAATCACTTTGGGCAACGATGCCGATTTTACTGAGGACAGCACAACCGAGAGCATTCAATCGAAGCAATATCGCAACCTTATGTTCTATGTCTGTCTCTGGCTTGAAGTCACATGGGTAGCAGCAGTTTCATCTGACCTTGCTGGACTCGGACTTCCCTACCTCTTTAGGTTTATTGCCAGGTTTGTGGACAAAATGCTTTATACATGGCTAAAAAAGATTGCTAACAAGTTCAGATACACCAACCCAGCCCAACAAAAATATTGGAGGGTGTTGAAATCTATGCGACGGCCAACTGCCTTCCTTGGAACTACAATCATTACATATGTATTTTTTGCTGCAGTAAGCCATACCAACCCCCTTCGTTTTCACTAGGCGTCTATCTGACAATTATTTATTAGTGCATAAGCAACAATGAACTTTTGGCTGTAAACATCAATAAGCCGCCAGATGCGTTTTGGTGGGACGATGTTGTAGCCGACATTTTGGAGCAGATGACTCTCTGGATTGGCTTCTACTTCATAGAGAAGCTTTTCATATCCTATGTCACAGTCCACTATCATTATCGAGCGGACAACCACAGAATCGCCAGAACGAAAGACATCCACAATGCTCTCATTACACTTTATGATGCTTCAGTGTATCTTCACCCGCCCCATAATGGCGCTTTCGCTGAGGAAGATATGCTCATTCGGAATGCGAAAGGGAATGCAGAAGCTTCTAGTCGCATAAGAGTGTCTAGCTATCTATCTCGGATGGGAATAGACGGGTACAAGCTGACCAGCCTATTTGGTAACTTTATATCCGACGAACCCAACGCACACTGGCTGAGGCCGGCAAGTTCCTACGCGGTCATAGAACGGGCATGGGCAAATCCCGTGTCAGCAGCTGCTCTTGCAAGAAGAATTTGGCTTTCTCTCGTTGCGGAGGGAAAATCCGGGCTCACGGCTAAAGACATTATTGAAGTACTTGGACCCTATCGCCGGGACGAGGCCATAAGGACCTTCAAGACTTTTAACGAGAACAACAGCCCAGATATTCACATTGAAGAATTTGTTGGCATTGTTACCGAAGGGGGCAAGACTCGACATGACATCTATCGCAACATGATCAATATGGATCATTGCATCAACACTTTTGACTGGTTTCTTCTTCTAATTCTGGCGGCAGTCATGACTTTTTTCATTAGTAAGTATTATATTATCGTTCGGATCAAGACTTGAGGCTAACTTGATCTTAGTGGTTGCTTACGTGCCTGCAATCAAGCAAATTCAGACGATTCTTTCTAGCCTTGCAATTGGTCTCTCGTTTGCGGTCGGCCGGACCTTTCATCACCTCCTTGTCGGTATTGTCTTCGTTTTCTTTGACCACCCTTTTGATATTGGGGACGTCGTGAACGTTTACAACCCAGGTTCTACCGCGGGCACTTCGTGCGTCGTCAAGCGACAATCTCTTCTATACACCATTTTCAGACGCCTTGATAATGGATGCGATCTTCAAATCTCCAATGACCACCTATCACAAAAACGGATAGAAAACTTCTCAAGGTCGGGTATCAACCGCCAAAGTGTTTCCATGTTCGTCGACTTTAGAACCGGCTTTAAAGATATTGTACGGCTTCGCATAATCATGGAAGAATTTCTGGCCAGCAATTCTCGAGACTATGTTCCGAGCAGCTTGGCTCTGAATGTGGTCAGTCTCCACGAACTCAACAAAATGGAGCTTCGACTAGCATTTACCCACCGAAATAATTGGTCTGATGACAAGCTTCGCTCTCAACGTAGCAACAGATTTCATTGTGCTTTGGTGGCGGCTTGTAGGTCTATTCCGCTATGGAAGCCAGGCGGAATGCTCCCAGCAGCGGGTGAGAATGGTAATCCAATGTATACCGTCCAGCTCAATCACAGCACAGAGTTGGACGAAAATATCAGGAAAGAAAAAGATCGTCGTCAAGGGCTGCGGTGGGACAACACCAACGACCGCCCACGGGAAGGCGCTTTGAATGAGGATAAGCCTGCTCGGACTCTTCCCACGGAGGAAGAAGCTTTCTTGATGTTTACCCGACTTCCTCCTTCGGATCAGGGAGCAGCCAGTACTGGTATTGAGGCTCCGGCCCGCATAACTGGAATGCGGCTAAGAAGGGCCGGTATGTAATGATAACGGGACTCAGATTATCATTCTGTTTTGCAGTTTTGCCCGGGGTCATAGTGCATTTGACACAGCGATGGCATCAGGTCGTCTTCTCATCATATATCTGCCGAATGAATAGACTCGTTAATTTTGAGAATCAAAGAGAATGAAGCTTTAGTCGACCTAAACGAACGATACTTGTAAATAAGGAAGTTGCTGGGGGTATCATGTTTAATACTCAACATGGCGAGCTGTGCTCTGTCTTTTCTTTCTTTTAAATCACTAGGTAAAGAGGCTTTGATATCTACTGAGGTCATTATCGACTTAAACAACACGCAATTTGCGTTCTGAGACACATGCTAGTCATCCTTGAAGTATAAGTCATCATGCGCGCAATCCTAATAACCTATATGGCTATCCCCTAGGCTGATGAAATTCTTATACATGTACCTGATGATATGGTGCATGGGTTTCTTTCTTAGGTTACCTAGTCGAAGAATCATTTTGTATTGAGCAGCTTAACTCTGAGGGCTTTGCACCAAACACGGGCCCAAAGGTTTAACAAAACAAGATGTCTCTGGGACAAAGGCGCTATGCTGTCGATAGTTTCAAGGCTAATAGCAAGCAAGTTTCTATCTCGTCGCCGCAATTGTTTACTGCATTCAAAGTCGGGGCCTGTCACTAGAATCTAGACGTGCCCTCTCTGCAGGTTCCAGTTCACGACGAGCAGGTCCGCCTCTGCTACCATCCCCCAAGAACACATCCGGTCGATCCTTATACTCAGTTCTAAACCGCCATTTAGATGCCAAATTTTGGGGCAGCTGTCTTTTCAAAGCCAACGACATATACTCGCCCAATACAGGGAGGAACTTGAATGCACTATGACAGGGTGATGGTCAGATAAGGAAAAGAAAGGATTTATAAGGTTTTTGGTTGACTTACTGTCCACTACCTGCACCTCCGACAAATAGATTGCTAAAGTCAGGGTGATAGTCCATGATAAAGTCTCCTGTGGGAGTATCGGTATACCAACACATGGCAACCCTCGTGAAAGGTCGATCAGCAAGCTCTGGTAAGATTTCCCGCAAACCATCACGTAGTCTTTGCTCGCCATCCACAGGACAAAAGTTGGGACGCTCACGACTGGGATACAGACGCGGTGTGGAGGGGTTGGATTCGATTGCTGACTCTCCGACACTGGGTGCGCGAGTGTATCCCCAACCGTGAACAGCCATCTTGAGCGTGCGCGTCTCCTCGTGTGGGGGAAAATTAAACCAGCCGGTATTGAAATTGGCGTAAATGGGCACATCCTTGTATTTCTGGACTTCGGAAGAGGATAGCGGTGTGTATGCTATGACTTGGGCTGTTGCAAGCGTCGAGTTGTACATCGAAACCAGGTTCGAAGACCAAGCACCTGCTGCCAACACGAAATGATCACCATGGATTGAGTTCCCACTGAGAGTACGGACAGACGTGATTTTTCTCTCAGAGTCAGTGCTCAAACCAGTGACTGTGCCTGCTGGCCCACAGATGAAGGAAACACCGAGTTCCAGGCACTCTTCACGAAGTTGAATGATTGCCTTGCTCGCATCTGCCCATCCCGCTGCGTCGTTCAAGTAGCCTTTGAACCCTGGTTCAGCAAGCTTGCCGCTAAGGATTGGAAACCTCTGTTTTGCGGCTGCTGCATCGTCGAGCTTAGTCCATGGCAGCTTCCTCTTGCTTAGCTGGTATGTCGTCTTGTCGATCCATGATTCATCTCCGCCGGTCATGCTACCCGTGAGAATGAAAGATGAAGGGTGGAAAATTTCTCTGTACTTGGGATCCTGACTCCATCGCACATAGGCATCGTAGGATACGTTCATGTAGTCTTCATCAGCATAATCAAACCGGATGACGCGTGAGATGTCGCAACTGGATCCGTCCGGCACCTTTTGCCATTAGCAAGACTAACATGCAGATGACTCCTTGGACGTGACCAACCGGTGGCATATGCCGATCGGCCACAACAACATTGCTGAAGCCTTCTGCCGCAAGTTGAGCAGCAGTGGATAAGCCAAAAACACCTGCACCAATGATGACAATTCTGCTGTCTTTCTCCATAATGAGCTGCTTGTGATTGCAGTGACCGCTACAATAGAACGCGGTGGTGAAAAAGTAGGCTTTCGTATTACCTATGCAGTTACTGCGTAAAGGCAGCCGTTATCGGCAAATACTAGGGTCCAAAAATGACGTCTTACCTAGTAGGTGGGTCTAAACACAGAATTCTCACCGAAGCAGGGGTAGGTAGGTCAAGAATGGAGGTCTCTCAAGGGTCCGATGTTTTCCAGCCACGTGATGAAATCATGTAATCACGACTAAGTATATCAAATCCCCGGCCCATCCTACTTCAGACAAAAATTCGAAAGATACTATGGCCAGATACACGATGGTTTTTCCGATGATAATTGTAGCATTTTACACCTTCTTTCAGCTGTTTCTTTGGTACCATCGGAAATCGATTCATTAGAATTTACTGCCACCTTGCTGACATTGATTTCGAGGACCGATACTAGATTCAACCAGAAAAAGAAAAAGCAATACAAACATTCTTTATTATTTTATATTAGGATTTTCGGTTAATAACGGTTCTAAACTATAGAATCTCCGGAAACTCCGGTTGCGTCTGGTGAACTATTTCTCTGTGTGAAGCCCCCTCTGCGGCTAGCATCTGTTTCCATGGCCCTGGGCCTTCCTACCCACGCGAGCGCATGCACAGTTTCCCTTTCTTCTATTATCGAGTCGGCATTCTCCTGTCTAGCGCCCCTGTCTTGATATTCGTCGAGAGAGTCATCCGACCCCGGTGTCACACCAATTTCTTCTAACGTTATCTGAGGCGCCTTCGCAGCTATACCTCCTGTTTTCGCGAACGATGGAAGCTTTTCTTCCGATTGCGAAGGGTTCCTATCAGTAATCGAGTTCCAGGAAACACGAGTGAAAGCTAGTGTTGAGATAAATCTGTTCTCATCTCGTCTTTGGGCTCTTCTAGCCAGCCATGTTCTCAGATGGGGGTGCCCGAAACTCTGCCCCGTGGGTGCACTGCGAGTATCCTGAGAAGGCGTCGACTTTTCTCGACGTGCGTCAATGAAAGCCCTCAATTTTGGCTTCAAAATCCGTGTGTGATAGTTGTGCATTGCTGGTAGACTGGTAACCAGGAATGACATTGCCAATTCGACAAGAGACCAAAGCAAAGCTGGCTCAAAGTCCCAAAAGGGGTTGGGAGAGTACGCGACATTAACGAAGCGTAATCTGAGGCAGCTTGCTCCGGTGATTAGCAGGCCTAGAACGAACATTATTCCGACGCCGATTTTGTCTTTTGTCGGTAGTTGAGTTTTCAACAGCGGCGGTATAGGAAGGATGATCATGATGATGTCTTGAAAAATCGACAATCCGGCTGCAGAGAAAACTGCCACGGTAAGGTTGAGACACTTTTTGGTGTGAATCAAGTACTCTGTATGCCAAGCTTCCCAGAAGTATCCGACGGGTAAGCATTCGACAATAGATCCTCCGACAAGAATGCAAGTTGCGCCAGCAACAAAGGCCATGAATGTATAGGTGATGAGTTTGAATCGTCGGCCGGGAAAGATCCGTAGATAGAGAAATAAAATGGATATCTTGGTGAGCCCGAGCTGCAAGAGATAGAGTGGCTCCTGGATAAAGAACAGCTACGGCCAACACATGTTAGTATTGTCATCTGGGGAAAAGAAGACCTCTTACCTTCAAGCTCAATATTATCTTGTCCCATTCTACGTTCCAAATATCACGGCCAAAAGCATTATCGTCCACTAATGAGGTTAGGCCATGTAGTCCAGGTGGGAATTCGCCAAACTCACTCAACTGGCTGATGACTAGTTGGGGTATGTATATCAGCTTTGCAAAGTTAGCCTGTTGAGACGCGTATCTCAGTCCTAAACAGGGTGTGGCTTACGGCTACTGCCATCATGACATAGTCATCCCGACCAAAGGGGAGCCGGCTAGCCCAACGAGCGTAGAACCGGAAAATCACCAGCAACCAAGCAGCGACTTCGAGTGACCGTAATCCGTACAGCATGGTCACCTGCGACCTCACAGGATCGTGACAGTAGTCGGCTTTCGCCTTCTGCGTAGCTTGAGCAATGTCAGCACTTTGCAAGACGCACATGGAAGAATGTTTATTCTTCCTACTCACCGATGCCCTCCGGTGGCGTGCATCCTGACATAATACAAGTCTCAGCCTGTTTATAGAACTCTTGGTCGGTACAGACACATGTTGTATTTTCGACCGTCTGACAGGGAGACTTGACCACCTCAGTGAAGATACATTGGAGCTATGTTCACTTAGACAAGTGCATTTACCAATGCTGACTTGGAAAGACTTACAGCGCACGAAGGAAATGCCGAAGACGTCTCATTCGTCGGCTGCGGAGTCGCCACGGGGTCTGACGCGTTTTGGGCGAGGACCACTCCAAGCATCAACAGTACCCAGGCGAACAGGCTCTTACAAGCCATCGTCATAAAGCTCTCCAGTCCTAGGTTGGAGAGGAAACAAGCTTTGGTCGCGTGAAGGATGGGATCCGGCCCACGCAGCGTCAGCGGCGGCAGCGGCGGCGAACCATCAAGTTCTTATGTCGAACTGGTCATGGCATGGGGTCAAGATTTTTAGCTTCGGCAGAAGCTGTCTAGAAGTAACAGACTTCCATTCCACGCCCTAATGTCGGTCTTCCTCGAGGCTGAAAAGGAGGGGAAGCGGGATCTGAGAACGTGAGCCGATTTCCCCAGCCAATGAGAAAGATGAAAGATCCAAGCTTGCGCTCATATTCGGGCGAATATCATGCTAGTATTGGAGAGATATGGTTAGGAGGGTATCAGACCCTCAAACGTAGTTTCTTCAGATGACTGCCGGCCGTGTTATACTTGCCGGAATGCGGAGCAGAGTTGAACCCTTCGTTTCACATGTCCGAGGCCAGACACGATACTAGGCCCGAGACATCCTCACAAGAAATACTGTGTAGTAATCCATTTCTTTCCACAGAGTTTCTTCGAAAGTTTCCAAGTGTTCGGATGGCTCCGCCGCACGGTAAGCATATGCAGAAGGTTTCTGTTTCTTAATTGCCACGAGTAGAGCATGCCGAATATCAGTCGAGAGGGTCCTTTTCAATGTAACTGAACATTATTGATAAAATTGCAGATTATGAGTTAATACGGCAGCGTTTCGCTTTTCGACACATGGTCAGAGTGATATCGCATGATTATTTGAGTTCTAGCAAGCGAATTAGATGGGTATATGAAGCAAGCAAGTGGTTGATTTAACTTGATGAGATTTAGACTCACTTGCGTTGGTAGTTTGTTGGATGATAGCAAACGACAGAACTCAATTTCGAATACAATTGTCATGTCCTTAAAGGCGTGCCGGCTGGATCTGCGCAGGCCAAGACCCTTCGTGGTTAGCTTAATGAGGAACAACGCCATATTTGCTTTCTGATGGTTTCACGCTACATCTTGTAGTAACAGATGCCTTTGTCATTTACAGGCCATACAGAGCTACCGTCATGTGAACGAAGTGTCGCTTCTGTGTAACCTATTCGTAGGCATAACCACGTCAAGACGGACTACCATTTGGACCAATGACCACACGTTGATCAGGTTTGCACGACACGTCCCCAGTGAAATCGTATGACTGACTACGTAGCAGTTGGCCGGTTTTGTAATCTACGCTTAGAAACGGACAAGGTTCATCTCTCCTCGCAAACACTACTTGGTGAATCATTCATGGTCTGAAATTCCGAACTCGCATTAGGATACGAGCCAGTGAGCGGTCAGACCTCTACGTACGATTCATGCCTTATTCAAGGTCTTCAGGTTGATTGAATCAACAAAGTTTATTTCACAACCGGTGCATAGGAAGCTAGTGATTGAAACTAGGACTTGCAATGCCAAACTTTCACCTAAGAGGATTGATTACTATACAAGCTTGTCGTCTTGCTCGGGGCCTGCTACCCCGCGGGCAACGCCTTGACTCAACTCTCTTTTCGCCCATTCGCACGCCCCTAAGGTGGAAAGATGCGAAATAACAGTAGACGAATACTAATCAATAATGACAGTTTCTCACTCGCAATTTTGAGACGGATTCAAAGAATGTTCTTTTTCATTAGATGCCCACACCAGGCCAAGGGGCATAGGGCAGACTATGCCTTCCACACGTCATCCGTCATTACTATAACTCTTCTCCCGGGGTATTGATGATTCTCAAGGAACGAACATCGGCCAAGGCCAGATGGTATAAACATCTTGCACTCTCCATGATACATTAGTCACAACCCCTTTGATCCTCAAACTTCCATCTCCATTTATACTCTTAGATGTTGATGTAAGCAGCGAAACCGCCGAACAGCGCAGCCGCGCCGACGGCAGCAGTCCTCATGGGTGCGGCCTGGGTGCTGCTCGTAGTCTCACGGACACCACCACCGGTCTCTGTAGCGACGGGAGCGGTCGAAGTCGGCCCCTGGACACCGCTGGTGAAGGGGTTCGCGCCGTCGGTGGCGGTGTTGGCACCAGTGAAAGCAGGCGGGCGGGTCGATGCGGTCGTGTCAGGCTCGCCGCCCGTGTTGTTGGGGTTCAAGACACTACTCGCACATTAGCCTCTTACAATTCTCGTGACACAAACGTGCAAAAGCAGAGGTTTTGCTTACCTGTCAATGACGTGGACAACACCATTTGCGACGAGAATGTCGGGAATGACAACCTTGGCGTTGTTCACGTAGACGGTTTCGTTAATGACACGAATGGTAGCGTTACCGCCGCCGAGAGTTCCAACGGACGCATTGCTGATATCCGTGCTGTAGAGAACCTCGCCAGCAACGACGTGGTAGCTGAGAATGCTGGCAAGCTGAGCCGAGTTCAGGCTGCCGGCAAGACTGCCAATGGAGCGGAAGGCCTCGTTGTTGGGCACGAAGATGGTCAAATCCTTGGCAGTGGACAACGCAGTGCTAACATTGGCAGTGCGAATAGCACCGACGGCAGCGGTGAGGTTCGCAGCCTGCAGGGTAGTGTTGATACCCTGGGGCACGGAGAGGACCTTGTCGATGATGTGGATGGTTCCAGCAGTGAAGTTGACGTTGCCCGTGACGACAGTCGAGTTCTCCCGAAGGGCAGAGAAGAAAGTGACGTTGCCGCCGACAGTCTGGGCCTGCAGGCGCTGGCCGCCGGTAACGTTGGCGTAGGTCTGGTTCTGGAGAAGGGTTGGGATGAACTGCGGCTCCTGGGTGAAGTTGGAGGCGTAGTAGGTGCCGTTCAGGACGTGGTACTGGAGGATGGCAGCGACGAGGCTCGGGTCGGTAGCTGCGGATGCTGCACCTGGACTCTTGAGGAATTCCTCGAGGGCTTCATTGCTCGGGGCCAGGATGGTGAGGTCCCGGGCCTGGGAAAGGGCCTGGACGAGGGCGGGTTGGGAGCCCAAGAGCGCTTGATTTGACCACCAGTCAGCATATACACACGGCACAAAACACGAACAATGTCAGTTGAAGCATACCTGTGAGTTGTGACAGGCTCGAGTTCTGCGAAGCCAGAGCCTCGGTGAGGTTCTGGGCGAGGGCAGTGGTGGTGGCCAGAGCCAGGGGAAGGAGGTTCTTGACCTGCATGGTGGCTTGTTCGGTGCTGCTTTCGGATATCACTGAAGCGAAGAAGGTGTATCTAGAGCATGCGGATCTGGAACTTGTCGAGACAGGAGGGATATAAGAAGAGGAAACAGGAGGAGGAGGGCACACTCTTTAAAGGAAGATGAACAGCAAGAAAGCCATGGCAGCCCCCCTCCCCTTTGAGACTTTGCCCGGACTGAGAGGGGATCCAATACCCGTTGTCGTGGGTTTCGCAAAATCAAGCTTGCTGCCCAGTAGCTCCCCCCGGAAAAGAAACCCTCACGGTGCTGCTGCTGGGACCTCCACTTGACACCCCCCAGACAAGGGTCTTGGTCGACATCACGATCGCGCCAGGGATTGGGACTGGGCACGCTTGGGGAGGTGGGGAATACCTACATGGCACAGTACTCAGCTCGCGAGACAACGCGGCGCTTGCCACGCTGGGCGGGCTCTTTACTGGTGCCAAGTCGATTGCATAAGAAAGTACCAGAACGACGGCGTGACTGGAGGAGGAGGAGGAGGAGGGGGGGGATCACTGTGTAGTTCGTATACGTTGGCCCCGCGATGATCTGACCCAAGCTCGAGGAACGACAAGCAGAAGAGCTCCGCTTCTACTTAGAAGCTAGCCAAGCATGTCTCCCAAACCATAGACGGAGCTATACATTGGAGCCCGGGAGCTCCATGTATCAGTTCACAATGCTCTCTATTCGAACACCCTTACATGGGATTCTTGGGTGGTGAACCATTGAGGCGGAATTGGCATTTTCTTCGCAAACCCCGTGGTTTGTGAAGCCACCAGGAACGGAGGAATGTCATGTACCGCATCATGGCTGGGAACATGGACATTGGACGCAATTGGTACCACGCCATGTCTTGGAAGCTGCGTAAGCCCCCCCCAGCTACCCAATGACCTGCAGTTTTGCAAGCTTTGACGACGACGAGAGGGACATTGGAAAGAAAAATCGATGTCGTCAGGATAGCCCTTTTAGCGCCATTTGGGCGGGAGGGGCTTTTTGATGGCGCCGTCTACAAGCCCCAGGGCTGCTGGCGGTGCTTACTGGATCACTGTCCAAATAACACAGGGTAAATTAGTCGTGTGTGATATTATACATCCTTTCTGCATGCTACGCCTCACCTCGCGGATGGGGATGCATGTGTGATTGTTTACCAATGACCAGGCTTCCAAGGTGGTGAGGATGGTGGTGGTGTCATGAGGTTGTATCTAACAATAACAATATCCTGATAATCCAGAGAAAAAAAGGGATACAGAAGGGGGATCGAATATACCCTTTTGCACCCCGCATCCTCAAGCTCTCTCAATCCCACTTTTGTCGAAAATGCCAGGGCCACTGGGGTGAGCTTCCGCTGTTCCCCTTACCTCATTCAGGACCAGTCATTGATGTTGTAGTTTGTGTGGTGTCTCTGAGCTCCCAATGCTCTCTCTCCAATGAGGGGCACGACGGGCTAGCTCGCCGAGAAGTAAAAGCTGTCCGCAAAGAGTTTAGCTAAAGACAGCGGTGCAAGCTTGGCCAAGCAACCCCCCCCCCCGGGCATGCCAAATATTGGAGACCGTTCCTTGGGGACCCAAGACTCCCAGGGGCCGGTTGAGCCGAGCTAACCCCCATTACGCATATCAAAAACCGATATCATCGCCAGATGAATGCGTCATCGACAAAGGTGACCCGATCGCAACTTTGGCGCTTTTTTTCTCCTTTTTTCTTTTTTTTTTTCCCGCTCCAGCCCTTTTCCAGCCAATGATGCATTCCTCCCGAGGCCATAGGTCCTTGGCGGGTCGCACTTTGAAGGATGATTGACATAAAGAATCATGTAAATGGGGACATTAGAGTTGAGCCCGTTGAGGCCTCCAGGCATCGTCAACCCCCCGAGCCAACATGTCGCCCCCAAAAAAAAAAAAAAAAACCAAGAAAGACGAGGCATGGCATCCAAAGAAATGTACAGACCGTCGAGAATGGTCGGGCGCAAGTTTTGGAGCTTGGGATGACAGGGGACAACGATCTTCGCCACATCTTTTTTTTTTTTTTTTTTTTTTCCTTTTCTTTGTGATTCACTTTTTCTGGAGCGACTAGGCAACCTGCAGGAATGTCTGAAGGGGGTATCTTTCGTATGTATGAATTGAGGAGCCGAAAAAACGTGTCCGTCGTTTTTCTTCGGGGCTGGGGGCGGGATGCGCAGCCTCCTACGGTGCCATCACGCAATGTACAGCCAGCAGCAGCAAATGCCGACTCGGCAACAAGACAAGAAAAAAAAAAAAAAAAAGGTAAGGGAACCGTCTTGTCAACCTAATGCCGGCCCAAAGACATCGTCGCCCTCAGCCACCTTTCTGCGCTTAGCCTCCCGCGCATCGTTCCCACCCGTTGCTCCGCTATCACCACCGAATGCGGCACCATCTCCCTCAACTTTTGGCCGGCGCGGTTCTTTTTGGGCCGCCAACTCCCGCCGAGCCTTCTGCAGAGCCACGAGATCTGCACGATCGGGGTCTCTGCATTTCTTGAGTTTCCGTAGAAGTGGTCGGATGAGCTTGGTGCTCTCCGGCTGCGTGGTCTTGTCAGTCTTGATTCACTTCATCTTTTGCAAGTCATGACTACAGGTTCCCGTCATCATGAACTTCGGCCAAGGGGGGGTTCCCAAACATACCGTTCCCCAGTACTCCTCTAACCTCTCTGGAGGTTCCGTCGCCAACAACTCTCGGCATGATTCTATCGTACCCATCACTTTGTCTCGGAGGTCGGCTCGTGGTGTAGGATCGACCGCCTGGCCTTCTTCGCCATTCTGGGCAGGGGCGAAGGCTCCCTGCACCAATCTCTCTGCCAATCCTCGGTCGGCAAACGACAACGCCGCCAGCATAATCTGGCTGGGGGTATAGTGGAAGTACGCGTCAGTCACAAGAGAACTGAACTTAAGGACTTCTCGTGCGCGGACGTGGGCAGCATCGATTCTGGATTTCTGGTTCCTGTCAGCATTTTCCCGAAAACGCATTTGCCAGAACAATGTCCCCAGAGAAGTCAACTCACTTCCAGGTCCGCATGCCGCCTCAGCTCCAAAATAGCTCCTTCTAGAGCACGGAAAGGATGCCTGACGTCGAAGGCGAATCGCACTCCCTGACACAACAAGAACTCTCCAGCCAAAATCTCTTCCTCTGTGGTGTTGGGAAACCTGTCGGCGAATCTGCAGGTACGTTTGTCAGTTTCTTCAGTCCAATTCCCCCCGAAGAGCCAGAGTAGGCCTACTTTGCAAGTCGCGTATATAACCCCTCCGCCTTACTTCCGAAAAACAGACACGTCTTCAGCAGCTCGGTTGGCGGATATGTCATGACAGAATTCGTAACAAAGAACCGGCGCAGGAAGACGGTCGCGGTGGCTCTGACTTCCGTGGGCAAGCCGCAAAAGACTGCGGCACGGATGAGCTCGACGGTGAAGAATTTGAGCAACTGCGTCTCCTCGGCGGCCGTCAGAAATTCGGGGAGGGGCTCGGATTCTTGGTTGTTGCCCCTCAGTTCGAGGAGGCGGCTGGTGATGTTGGTCTTGGCGAGCGAGTTCGTCGTCTCCCGCAACTCGGCAAGCTTCGTGGGGGAGAACGACCACAGCCGGTACTGTGTCGAGAGTCGGTATCGCGCATCTTCGGTCGCCATATCGAGTGGTTTTCTATCGCAGAGGCGGGGGGAGTCGACGTAAGCTCAATGAAAAACGAGCAAGATCAGGTATGGCTACGGGTGTCAAGAAATTAGGGCTGTGGATAAGACGAAGCAAACCGCTTTTGTCGTTAAATCATGGCCAAAAAAAAAAAGATAGACAACCAAGACGACGGGAAGGAAAATCGAGGTTGACCCGGGCGATTGGAAGATGTTGCCGCTCACAAAGAGAAGGTTGCGACCTGGATCTTATCGTCGCGCTGCGAAAGGCGGATAAGGATTTGAAGCTTGGGCCACACGCGATCTCACGTGACTTGACTCCCACCCACATCGATCGGGACTACCTCCGGAGGCCGGCAAGGAATAGACAAGGAACGGCTGGAACCCCGACCGGTGCGGGACTGGGCCTTCGGAACGAGCCCGTTTACATGGAACAGCCCGAATCCACTTATTGGCCTGACGAGTCAGCCATTCAAGGGTCCAATATGCAGTAACATAGTGACGTGGAAGGAGCCCACGACCTCCATGTCGCAGGTGAGTCCCGACACAGTCGCATCTCGACTCAGGATAGTCAGAACGGTATAATGTCTCCTTGACAATTGTATCCGGCATGTCCTTGTTCAGTCGCTGGCGTCCTTTTATCGCAGTTGACTGCAAGAATAGATGCCAGAGTCTTTAGTCAGTATCAGGGTCAGTGTCAGTGTCTGTGAATTGGCCTCAGTCTCTCTCAAAATTCAGTGGGAGTAAACGTGATGCTTTTCAGCTAGCTTATATAGTAGTATCCATGTTCCAACCGATCCTCACCCGTCCGTCTAATCAATCCCTTCCCAGCAGAAGCTATGCGATGAGGGAACCAACGATTGCGGATCCAGCCCACGGATATTAATGCGCCCCAACGCCATGCTCCCGTCGGGTTACCTATCCCGACAAAGGAATGAACAGTCTATTGATGCAACGACACGAAACAAAACATATAGCACAGTACTGCGGCCGCCAACTTTCCCGCCTAGTCTGTGAACGGGATATCTCAAGAGGCCATGTATATCTAGTACCCAACCTCCCTCTTCGCGGGAATCGGGGGCGCCGGCTTCTTGGCGCGGCTCGGGGGAGGAGGTGGAGGCGCTTTCTTCGACTGCAAGTTGCTCGTGCTTCTAGTCAGACTTCCCATGCTCGTGGCAGGGCTGGCACTGCGGTCGCCCCATTCCGGACTGCCGCTTCCGCTGGCTGTCGTATGGTCATCATCCCGGTCGGCAAACACATCGTCCCTGGCCAGAGACTTGCCTGTAGGCCTCAAGTTCCCACGCAAAGAGCCCACATTGGGCACGCTCGGCATCGGAGGAGTAGCGGTGACTGATCGTCGTTCGGTAGCAGCCGGGCCCTGGAACGTCTGGGACCTAGCGATAGACGGTCTCGGAGGGTCGGCAGATGCGCCAAATCGGGTGCTCTCGGATCGGTTCGAACGGATGGGCATGCGGACGGGCATCGGCTCGGGCTCCTCTTCGATTTGCTGGTTTCGAGACGAGTAATCATTGAATGACCTGGCAGTGTTGGACCTTCCACGACCGTTGCCGAGGCGGCGATCCGACGGGGAAGAGGGGGCATTGTTTCCAGACCAGCCACTGCGAAGGCGGCGGAGCTCCTCGGCGCAGCGCTCGTGGTAATCCAGCTCTGCGTCAAGCAGACCAGTCAGGTCGCGAACGTTGTCGGCTTCGGCCTCCTTGATATCCTGCATGCGGCGCATCACATCCTCGCCGGCCTCCTCAAACTTGGCGCGTGCGGTACGGAGTTCCTCCTCGAGGCGGAAATCCTCGCGCTTGGCCTTCTGCATCTTGCTGATACTCGCATCATACGCCAATCGGCGCGACTCGAGCTTCTTCCGTGCGGCCTGCGGGGAGTGTGTCAGATGGGACGGGCTGAAACTAGGATTGAGCAAGCAATGACAATTGGTACGTACCTGGTATTCCTTCATCATAGCCAGAGACCTCTCGACAGATTCTAGCCAGTTGGAGGTGATGTCTGACGCATAACTTTCTTGAATGCCGCCGAGGCGCTCGTTGGTTCGGCCGAGAGCTGTAATTTTTGGTGTCAGTTGTGTTGGGTTTCGTAGAATTGCGTAGTGGACCTACCAAGCAAGCAGGCGCCAAATTCCGAGTCGGCCTCGAACTCCTCGCCGTGGGAAATCATCATGCGGCCGACAAAAGCGATGGGCAGTCCCTTCTCCTTGTCCTCAAAGCCCTCACCGCGACGGGCAATCCACTTGACGTAGGTGTTGGTAGACCTCTGCAGCCTTTCCATTCCTAGAAGAATTGTAATCTTAGCATCTGGGTCTCGATCTTGGGGCACACAGCGAAATCGCTTGTGATGTAGTATATGGAGCTCGTACCGTCATATCGGAGGGCCATTTCCTGCTCCAACATCTTGAATTCGTCCGAGTGGCCGGTCTTGGACTCGGAGCCCATCTTCTCGCCGGCCCATTGGAAGGCACGGTCGAATTTCTTGGTGAAGTTCATGATTGCGGTTTTTTTTGTTTCTTCTTCTTCTTCTTTGTCTCGGTAGTTCGTAGAACGAAGGTAGGGTTGGTTGATTAGGGTGGTGGTAGTGGTGTTGTTGCTGTTCTGTTTTGGACTTGGCGATTCGGCGTCGAAGAGGAATTAGGGGGAGCGGTCGAAATCAGGTAGATGCCAGCATACAACAACGGGCTATTTCACAGTGGAGATTGACAAACGATGGGAGGCGGAAGCCGGCCGGAAATGTCGTAAGTGAGAGTATATATGAGGTGAAGAATGACAGAGAGAGAGGAAGACGAGAGGTGGAAAAAGAGAGAAGAACGAAAGAGCAAGTGGGTGTGTGAGAGGTAGAAGAAGTCCTGTGGCCAAGTAGAAGAGAGAAAGACAGGATACAGTGGCGAATTGATGAATATCACACAGATCCAGGCAATGGTCGACAATGCATGGGCCAGGGAGAAGTGGCAGCTGGGAAGATGGATGTACGGGGACAGGGTACGAGTACGGGTGAGAAGCAAGGACAGGTGGAGGAAGGGGCCGTGGAAGAGGGGGGGAGGGATGGCAGATGGTTTAAAAATGGGAGCAGGAGCGAAAGTTGAGAACAACAGTTTAGTTACTGGGGTTGACAAGGTACACCGTACAGTTCTCAGAGGTCAAGGGAAGAAAGAAGGGACAGGGACAGAGACGGTTTGATGGGTTGGGAAATTTCCGTCATTCGCAGGCAGGCAAAACGAGGAAAGACCAGGAGCAGGAGCAATTGTAGGAGCAGGTGTAGACGCGGGTGCCAGATGCAGCAGGTGGTGTGTATGGAGAAGGATGTGAAGATGGGACAGACTAAACAGATATGCAGAGTAGGTGCAGCTTCAGTGGCATTTGGTATCTGGGTTCTGTTCCAAGTCTATGCGGAAGGGTACGGCAGTACATGGAACCATGGAAATGGCAGGCGGGCAGGTAGGAGGTACCTTCTGAACGGTGCTCGTTATCCCCAATGCTTGGGTGGAGAGTGGTGCTGTTCTGTTGCGGGAGGTGGGTTTTGGGGGCGAGCTAAGGCATGAGCTAAGGCATGCAGGTACGTATCTGGTGGGGTGTATCGGGTGTCACTTCTGAGGTGGGAGAGAAGGTGAGAAGGAAGGGTGAGGGGGGAAATCATGGATGGAGGGGGGAGAGAAGAGGGCAAGGAAGGAGGCGGCACGAGACAGCAAGGAAGGACTGCTCGGGTTTTGGGGGTGGAAAGTTTTTGGTCCAACACGTTTACTACGTAGTATGGTGCTTGCGCTTTCAAAGTTTAGAGGTGCGTCTTCTTTTTTTTTTTTTTTTTTCTTATGGACCGATACGTACTCATACAGACAGGCTATCCGGGACGTTTCCCAACAAGCCGTGGCTGTCCAACATCTGCTACAGCGTAATGACATTGATGCATGTTATGCATTGCGAACTGGCCGCTGCCTTTCCTACCAAGAGTGTGGCAACTACTGCTCCTGTTGCTGCCGGACATGCGCCCTCGTTACCTCTATCTCGGATGCGCATTCCAGTCCCAGGGTAGGAGCAACGGCCGACGATCCAAATTGGCTGCACCTGCCCTGCTGCATCTACCTGCTTGATTGTTGCTGGGCCGCTGGGGGGCATTGATGGGAGAAGGAAAGAAGGGAAGGGACCAACCGTCGAGGGGGAAATAGCCCCACCCTTCAAGTTCGAGAATGGAAAGAGATTGGAGGCGGGGTACGGAGCAGGGAGCCTGGTACCTGCACCCAAGAGCTACTCCTTGTGCAATTCAAAACCGGGCGGGTCGTTATGTACCTTTTCTTCAACGGTACGAGCCATCAGCAAGCAGCACCTTTTAAAAAAAGAAAAAAAAAAATAAGGAGAGAAAGAACAAAACCCTCCCCAAGAGAGAAGGAGACGAGGAAGGGTGACCAAAAAAAAAAAAAAAAAAAGGGTCCAGCCCTCTATCCCCATGACTAAAGGGGGGGAAAGGTCACCGCCCAGGTGGTCGTCGTGCATGAAGCTTTTAGGTCTGGATCGTGATATGGAAGAAACCAAACAGGTACATTGTACGGCACACAGCAGAAATCGCCATTGTTGGTGCGTTGGTGCGGTGGCTAATGGAATAAGGTATCTGTTAGTGGTTGGCAGCTGCAACCCGCACCCCAAAATCTGCACTACCACCTGTGCATCCCACTACAAAGAAGGCATGGTCAGGACTGGGGTGTGCGCATGGAGGATTGGATTTAGCCGTACGTAGCCCAAAGGATATTGAAGCCGATGTAAATGGCGAGCGAGCGGAGAGGGGGGGAATTGCGCCGCATCAGAGATATGAAGGGAGTTGAGGGGCGATGAAGTTGTGATGAGAAAGGGGGCCGAATGGGGTTGTTTAGCAAGGTGTCCGTAGACTGGAATCCATCCCGTATCTTTTTCATACATTCATTCCTTCATATTTTCACTCACTTACTCATTCATGGGTAAGTCGCCCACAATTTGCATTTGAGGGTAACAAATCCCTTAACCAGCTGAGAGGCTCTTCCCACGAGTTCGTAGCGTAGAGAAGGAAGTAGCACCCCCCCTGAAGGGGCGGAACCAGAAAAGGGAGGACCAGAACCAGAACCGTTGGGTTGGCTCAAATTTTCAACCACCAACGGCAGAATCACCACAACACTACAACCACCGAAACCACCACCACCACCACCACCAAAAGCCGCGCTTCATCCACCACTAATAATGCCTATTCAAAAGCCCTCACAAACAGGTGATATGCCAGGGTAGTACGCCAACCCAGTCGAGTCGCCGATGAACGCAGTCACACGCCATCCTACCAGGTTCATCGCTTGAACTTCTAGCACACCATACCTTACTCGACATAATCCAACCGGGCTTATCTCCCAGTTTCCATGTGGATGACGGGATCATTACAGCCAATGGGACCATCCCGACCGCTGCTTGTTTGTTTCTTTCTCCAGCTTTTCTTCTTCGTCTTCTTGTCCTTGTTCTTTGCTCCAGACAGGAATACCCGGCGGGCTCGTGTTTGACGGTCTCTCACACTTGTTGTTACAATCATTGCCAACCGGCGGTTGATGAGCAGTGGCTGTCGCAGTTCCCGCCGCCGCCGCCGTCACAGTCGCACCTCGTCGGCCGCTTTTCCGGCGCCATGTCGTGGGGAATGGGCTGGCGGCCACCAATACTAGTTCCAGCCAGTGGGACCACCGTCCCCTCAGTCTTTGCGCTAGTGCTGGAGCATGTCTGACGGAAACATGGGAGCCAGTCGAATTGTCCAGATCATTCATCACCACACCCTCTGTCACGTCCGCAAAACTGGGATCCAGGAACACGACCGATCTCGTCCACCCACCAGCCCACACGGAGCAAAGGCTGTGCTAAATCGAGACGAGTCGTTGAGGACTGGGTGGAGCCCCTGCCGACCCCCTCCATTCTCCCTGTGTCCTAACATTACTAGACGCCAGCAGGGAGAGCGACAGCCAGGAGCTCTCTTCCGGGCTTGTTTCCCTTGACTCCCCTGTTCCGTGACAGTGGGGAATTTGCAACACCGCCGCAGACAGACACAGTACTGTGGTGTAGCCGCCAGGGGGGAGCTTCAGGTGTGGATTGAAGAGGCCAAACCATGGGACACGCAAAGATGAGAGAGAGATAGCTGCGAGCTTCAAAAGCCAAGATTCACCACGCCGCTGCTGATGCTTGGCTTTCAGGGCGACAAGGAACTTCTCGTATCGGAAGCCCATCGCTTTCCAAGGTACTGGACTGCATTGCATCTTTCTCCGGTGAGGTTGAGCTTATTGTAAGCGCATTAGCCTTCTAGCCTCACCTTCCCTATGAGCAGGCTGGGATTGATACTAGGGGGTGGTGGGCTCATGAACCGTCGACCATCATTAAAGATGGAATTACCATCCCTGAGAAATCTGCTCACCCAGTGCGTCCTGGGTATTTGGTAGGTTTAGTGGTCTGCTAACCGCCGCCCAGTGGCCTAGATCGGCCCAGGCCTTGTGGTGCTGGCGACCAGTCCAACACTTGCACTTGCACTTGCACCAGCACCAGCACCAGCACCAGCACCAACACTATTGCCTTTACTACTTACGCAGTAACAAAACTGCCACCTGCCACGGCCACGAGTCGCACCGTCAGAGTAGTAGAGAGGTCAAGTGGTTCCACTTGCGCCCGTGAGGTTGGTTCATCTAGATACATCAACTGCAGCAGGTCAACAGATGCGCAAGCGACTGCCGGACAAGCTGCCCTTTCCTCTGTCGTCTTGGCACTGGTTTCGCTGTATTCGAGCCGGTCTCGCACGCCTGTCTCGCCTCACTTGGCCTCTACTGATGACTTATTCAAGGTAGCCGCCACCAGTCAACACACCGTTTCCAATAGCACATCCTCAAACTCGTACCCAATGGCCAAAGTTAGTTTCCGCCCTAGGCTACTTGACACATGCTGGACGGCTGTCGAAATCCGGGGTTGTCCCCGTTTGCTCGACCACCTGCCATTCAATAGCCATGTCCTTCCGTCTGTTCTACTTCTGTTAGATCTGGCCAGTTGCTGCGGGTGGCTGGAAATCAGCACCAGTTCAACCAGTTCATTTTGATGGCAACGCGGCACATGCCCGAAAAGTGTCACGGTCCGATATCAGGTGCTTTGGTCACAGCAGCCACCCCCGAATGCTTTGAACTCGCTCGTTCATATACTTGTATCCTCACTAATTTTATCCTCCGCTAGTGCCAACGTTGCGACTACCGCGGCCTGCTTCAAGGATCAAGACAGCCATCGCATTCGCGGCTATCCTTACTCCCTGTTTCTTGTGAACCTGATCGCCATAAACAACTGGGAAACGTTCAAACGCCTTTCGGGTCTTGGTGAGTGTACTATGCTATGCGCCGTTTAGCGGCCACCAAATCAGTTTCCAGGTCCTGCGCAACAGCAGCCAGCCAACTCATCGACACTGAAGCACAGATTCGTCCTACACTCGTCGTGCACACCTCATTCGTCGCACGGAGATGCTCCATAGGTAAAAGCTTCCCGCGGCTGCGCCTCGCTCGCTCACCAAATTTGGCCCACATTGCCAGGATCAAGCCGGTCACTTGGCAGCAACTTCAACCCTTTCTCATGCTTTGCCTTTTCTGCCGTTTGAAAGCAGCATAAACACCTCCCTTTCAGAGGTCCATGCAATGCTCTAACCGCGTATCGCCGCACTTTCATTAACCAGCCACTGCCACCGAAACTCTGTACGAGGAAATCGTACCTTTGTACCCGCCTGGCCACGACTGACCACCCACCACTCGGTCGCCTTTGGGGGGTGTCTTAGCCCAGTTTGATGACGACATCGTCCCGTACTCTGAATGGTATTGAAAGTCAAACAATCACAGCCCCCTGATCCCCAAACATCGACATCAACATCGCCATATCACAATTTGCGAAATGACATCACTTGGATTCCCATCCTCTTTTCTCGACCATTGGACTCATACGCTGAAGTCTCACCGAGGAGAACAGCTGGACGATTTACCCAACTACCACGTCTCAGACCCCCAGAGCCTGGTGACGACATGCAATCCCAAATCGCTCACCGTCGGTAACGGCGCATCAATTTACAAGACGGCAATTCTCCCCGGTATTCTTACGGCGCAACAGGAGGTCATCCTCGTAAGTTGCTTCTGGGCACCGTCCGACACTCTCGATGCCCTCCGAGAAACCCTTCAAACTCTCGCCGAGCAGCGACAGGACGCCATTCGTGCAGCCGAAGAAGCCGGCGAAGCCCCCATCGCCCCATTACGCGTACGCATATGCTTCTCTTCTCGCAGTTTCTTCCAAAAGATTTTCCACCCTTGGTCCAGGGATGGCTACGAGTACCCCAACAGCGCGTGGCCAAAGCTCGGGCTGCCCCCAGACGCCACCCTCCGAGCGGCCCGCATCGATCTCTCCGTCAAGAGCCTATTCTTCCTGCCCTTCAGCGTCATGCACCCAAAGTTTGTCATTGTTGATCGCAGGCGAGCCTGGATGCCTAGCTGCAACGTGAGCTGGGAGACGTGGTTTGAGGGGTGCATCGAGTTCGAGGGTCCTGCCGTTGAGCAGCTGGTGAGGTTCTACACGAACGTATGGGAGCCGAACGGCACTGCACGGGAACTTCCAGGCAGCACCGCAGAGATTGCCGGGCAGAGACTGGGGAGTAGAGATGAAGACGCTGGTCAGAATGTGCCCGGCCCACCATCAGACGATCAGACTGCGTATCGCCGACTGAGCCTCGAGAGTCTGCCAGCATGCCCGACGATAATCCTCCCTTCATCTCATCACTGGTATCCCGGCTTCCGCTACGTTCCCCTGTGGCCACGCACCACAGCGCCCGCAACCCCATTGAATGCGGCTCTACTGTCATTGTTTGCCAACGCCCGAACAGACATCGATATCGTGACGCCAAACCTGACCTGCCGGACAGTCGTCGATGCCCTCGTTGACGCTATCTGCCGCGGCGTCAATGTACGCATCAGGACCAGCAAGAATATGATGTTGATCGAGCAGCTCGTGACGGCCTGCACAACGACAGAATGGACCCTGAGGTCGCTCATAAAACAGTACACTCAGGTTTGCGCGCAGTACTCCCGCAAGCACGCCGCAGACGCCGAGTCACAGGCTCAGCGCCCCGGCCGCCTCGACATATTTTACTACCGCCCGAATCTGCAGGCTACGGCGGCGCGAGACCCAGAGGAACCAGTCGTGTCACATCTCAAGATGACTCTCGTCGACAGGGAATTCCTACTTCTCGGCTCGGGCAACCTTGACCGGGCAAGCTGGTATACGAGTCAGGAGTTGGGCGTGCTGCTTCATCTGCCCGGGTTTCAACAGAACATCTGGTCCGACTCTTTGGAGTCCAGGGTCGAGGTCCGGTTCAGTGGGGGTCCTGAAGACGGGATAGGCACGGCAGGCTAGTCATTTGTTTTTTTCGTGTTTTTGTTCTTGTTGGTTTGCGATGTACGGCGTCGCCGTGATGTTTAGATATGATACCCCCCCACCATCCATTACTTGCTTTCGCTCCCTACTACTGAATCATGACCTGAAAAGCTTCCCTTATTCACACGGGCAGTCCAGTAAATAGCCCTGAGAATCTGACCCATGAACCATTCATCCGCGTACGCCTCGTCAAAGTGGCCTAGTGCCGTGTAGAAGGATCTCCCGCCCTCAAACTCCTGGCACCACGCTAGCGGGTGGTCGTCGCCCATTACTCCGCCCGCAAAAGTAGACGGGTCGCCCCGGGCCAGGATGTGGAGGTTGCCGTTGCGTCTGGGGTGCGAGGTGAAGTTGTACCACTCGTCCATCCATGTCCTCTCCGTACAAGCGCACGCATCCGTCTCCCCAGCGGCCGTGATGTAGTGTTTCGCGTCCTCGACGACCACCGTCCCCTCCTCGGGCGCCGGGTGGAAATCAAAGTAGGCGCCAACTAGCTTGCCGTACCACTCGTCGCTCTTCATGCCCGACGAGGCGGCGTGCACCCCCACGAAGCCTCCTCCGCCTCGTATGTAGGCCTTCAGTGCCGACATCTGGTCCTTGTTGAGGAAGTCGATGCCTGTGTTGTGCAGAAACACAATCGTCTTGTACCGGGACAGAGAATCAGCGGTGATGGCTGCCTCGGCGTCCTCCGTGGCGTCGACGTCGAATGAACCCGTACGGACGCCGAGAGCGCGTACGGCTGATACGGCCGTGGGGATGCAGTCGTGGCGGTACCCGGTCGACTTGCTGAAGACCAGGACCCGGAAGGGTTGGTGGGGTGTTTGAAGGTCTGCGGTCGCCATGGTTTCGTCTTGGAGTAGTGGCAAGCTTCTGTTTAGGTGTTGAGGATCAATGAAACGGCGTTTCTATATATGTGCGCGTATATATGTATATATATATGCAAGTAAGACGGGCTGCTCGTGGCCGTGATTTATAATACTGACGACTGCATCCCGCGATTTTGCTACGGAGGAATTGGTGTGCAGGGCCGGGAGATGCTCCGGGGCGAAATGGAAATGCACGTATGACGCCCACATCTGATGCACATTATTTGAAGGAGACTGGATATTTGCAGGCCAGAGATGAGCCATAGTAAACTTGATGTGCTAGTAGAGTAGGTATTTATGACGAAAGGAAAAAAAAAAAAAAAAAAAAAACAGGACAGTTGCAGACATGAAAATGAAGCTCGCGACAAAAACGCAAAAAGACAATTTACTGTGACCGTGGCAGGGCTCGAACCTGCGACCTTCTCGGGATCAAGCTCACGCATTGTGAACGAGAAATCATAACCACTAGAACACACAGCCGGTTGTTGAGAAGCAAGGTTAGAATGTGGCTTATCAAGCGTGATGGACAGGGATGGATGGAGGAATGGATGGGTTTGCTCCGCTCCCCCCCACAGCTGGCTGAGGTGAGACTCGCTGGTGATCGTTTTCATCAGTCGCCCGCTTTGGAAAGGGTCTTTCAGGGTCATTAAAGTTACGTCGTCTCATGGCTCTTCGACGGTTAAATTGAATTTCGTTCTGGGGCCATTTTTGCTTTCTTGTCGCATGGGGTTCTGAGTCGTTGTGCATTGAGTTGGTCAAGAAGTGGATCAGGATTCTTGTTATTCAAATTCGTTTGTATTCTTCATTTCACTCTTCCATAGTTTTACATCCCAGCTGACACCAGCTTAGCTCTTTTTGACAAATCAACATCTACTTTACACCTCATTTTGATCACAGTCGTTACCCCCGTTCTTCTACGCCTCATCTTCTCATTACAAACATCGCCTTTAAGCACAGGTAGAAGGCTCGCCGACGCCAATTTCAGACGCCGCAAGAATGTACTCCATGAAGCCAGAGTTCGTCTCGAGCAGGTTCCAGTGGTATTGGTCACGGTTCGGGTAGAATGGGCAGTCCGCCTCGTTGTTGCCGAATCCAAACTCGACGCAGAAACCGTGAATCTTCTTCGCCGAAGGGTCCACGAAGTGACGCGAGAAGACCCAGTCGTCGCTGGCACCCGAAGTCGGGTAGAGGTACGCGCTCTGCTGCACCTCGTGGTGACGGCCGACAGCCGCGTCCATGGCGTTCACCATTCTGGTCGCGGCGAAAACCTTGTCCGACCAGTCCTTGCTCGGCAAGTACTCGCCGTAAATGCCGCCATCGGCGGGGGTGTCCGGCATCAGACCCCTCGCGGCATTGTACGACTCGTTCATGAAGTTCATGTACGGCTTCGACAGCTGGTTCTCGTCACTGCCCCAGTTGTACAGCACCGTGCCGGTGTAGGAGTGCACGTCGAGGAACCACTGCACCTGCTTGTACTCGTCCACCACCCACTTGATGTTCTTCGTCTCGGCCTCGGAAAACGGAGCCGTGCCGTGGAAGGTCTCGGAGATCGGGTCGTCTGAAGCAACGTTGGGGCCCACGGACGGGGCAAAATCCTTCATGTAGTCCCAGAGGAAGTCAAAGTTGCGGTTGAGGTCGATGCCCACCGCATCCGGGTCGCCCTTGGCCGACGCCGGGTTGCGATTCTTGCGCCAACAGCTACCCGTCGCCTGGTCGTATGCCACACCGTCCGGGTTGCTCAGCGGCGTGAAGATGATACCCGTCGCGAGGGCGCGCTTGACGTCAGCGTTGGTGTATGTCCGACCGCCGTACGTCAGCCCCGTGTTGTGCTTGTCGGCGTACAACAGGTCGGAGATGAAGTAGATGATGTTATCGGAAGAACCGCGTTCGCGGGCGTGGATGGCGCCGTTGAGGTAGACGCGGTAGGCGTCGTTGCATTTGCCTCCAGCGCCGCCAACTTTGGCACCAAAGACGGTAGCGTTCTCGTACGTCTTGTACGGCGCCTCAAAGTACTCAATGCCATACTCGTTGACGAGGCCGCGGACAGCGCTCTGGACCTCCTTGACGTTGAGGATGGTCTTGAGGTTGGTGCCGCTGGGTTGGGTGCCGAGGCCGCGGGGAAACTTCTTGCCGCCCTCGAAACGGTCGCCTCTTCCAATAGCCAATCCCGTGTTGTTGCTCGTCGCCTGACGGCGGGTGATCTTGCGGCCGGCAGCCTCATGGGGGAGCAGGCATGCCTCGCCCAGCAGAGCGAGGGACAGGAGGGCGTAGGCACTGGTGGCTTTCATCTTGTCGCGGGAGGGATAGAGACAGAGGCGGGAAAATGGTGTGGCTTCTCGACGGTCAACCTAGGGAACGGGGGGACGGATGAGAACGGGCGAACAATCACAGACCAGCGTTATATACTACGTTCGCCAAGCTATTCTCATTTGCTCTGCTCCGCTCTCATCACACCCTAAAACATGCGCGGCTGCACGATGATGTTTCGACAGGGCGATCCCATGAGGCTTCCCTTGCCCATGCATGTCTTGGAGCTGGCTGTTTGCCTGGGCCGTCTGTCGATGTACATGGGAAGCGGTTGGCTGCAGTTCACTTTGGGAGTGGAGCTATGGAGAGACGGCCTGCCTATTGTGTTCTTCGGTGAAAGCCAGTGGACGGGTTCTCCGAGACGGTCTTTTTGTCAATGGTTGGTGCAACATGTCAGTGGGGATCGGCTGGCTGGTGCACCATGTAGTTGGAGTTGGATATGGATCAATTTTTCCCTGGATGTTTGATAGAAACTTGCGGTATGCTCAATCAGGCAGCTGGCAAGACTTTGGATATGAGTACGGAGTACACGCTTTCGCCTTTTAGTAAAACAGTTTGTCTATTCACCCAATAGCAGCGGTATAGCATGGACCACCCAGCCATGAGGCTTATTTACTACACTCTGCTTTTTTGACTAATGAGCTGATAGCTTTCCGATGCCAAGCACTTCTCGAGGTAGAACACGGGCTGGGCAACTTGTGTTGCTCCAGTGTCAATGTCACCTTGGTTCTTTGATTGCAGGGCCGCCCGCGAAGCCTCCGGCAAATGTGGGGGAATCTCTCCAAATTCGGCAGGTCAAAGTACCCCCGTAATTAGCGGCACTACAGTAACCCGTATTGTGTTTTGTTGCCGCGATTTGCTGTCGGTAGTTGCGATAAGTAAAAGACGAGCAAAGGTCCGGGGACAACATAGCATTACCTGGAGATCTTGAACCAAATGTTGCTAAACCAAGCTCTACAGATCACTTTTACCACGGTGCTGGACAGAGAGGGGAAAATCTCAGCATTGTGTAGACCCAATTTGACTCTAAAACTGGGTATCTCAGATGCACAATCCCGGCGGCTATCCCATCGGATGCGGCATGACAACAGGTGAAAACCAGCCCAATTAAAGGCTCACGTTACCCCAAACACTAAACAGCATATATGCTCGCTATTCGAGTAGAAGTTACGCTCCCCATGTTTGATTGGGTAGTACTTTGCACCCTAACTCCCTTATCACGCCTTACTCTATGGATAATTTCCCCTCGCCTCCAGGCTACCCAAACCTTCGTGACTCGTCCCGGTAGCACCTTCCTGTTCACTGGTGCTTTCTCATTTCAATATTAGGTTCATCTGGGCTGCTATAATAACGTTCTTGCGTAGACTCTGACCGCGACTGATTGGCAAAAGGAATTGGCCTGGACATCATTTCATCACCTAGGTTAGGTTACGGGTTAACGTATTCAATTTGCTAAAGCTAATCATATTCTGCTTCTGCGACGTGTCACTAGGTCTGTAGCGCAAAGCTTGTAGAATTACTTTTGATTGCTGTTATCAAATGTTCGCTACATCTATACATCGTTATCGTTTATCAACCCAAACCAACCATGGCGTTATGCCCAGGTGTTCTAGTACCAAGCTTTTTCACATGCTTGGCAGTCGGATCATGCATTGTTACGGTAGCTCTGCCTGACATTGCGCCATCTCGGTTGATCGGCTGAGTGGAATTCTAAATCCCCGGCCTGGCGGGTCCATTTCCTGATGTCGACTTTCGGATGTTGTCCTATAAAATTAGTAACTTTGAATACGATACTAGTCCAATATTTGCTTGATATTACTACGTCATGTGGCAAGTACAGACGACTGAACACACAACGGCGCCCATGAAACGGTCCGACATAAGACCGTCTATTTATTTCCATCTTCGTCGTTCGTATCAGGACGTATCTTTCGAAGATTACTGATAACCTGCATGATGCAGCGTTCCACTCGTCACGTGGCTGAGTGATGATCAGATCGACAACAACATTCAGCCTCCACCCACCCTTGGAGCGGTACATGTAGACGTGATGCCGTATGGCTTTCGACGGTGATATAATGTGTATGTAGCAGCAAGCCGTGGGATGGACCTTGGATGTTTTCACCAGCAGTAACATTAAAACATCGTTGAGTTGCCTTTGTGTTTTGTGTGATGCAAGGATTCTTTGTATTGAATTCTACTCGCCAGGAACCTTTCAAGCTATCTAAATCGTTCTCATTCTTGCACTGCATTTTGTTACGCTACTAGCGGCGCAGCCGACCACTAACTGAAATATCTACAGCCTCGACCACGCGTAAGTGACATCACCATGACAATTCCATACAATGTTGGCATACGCCCAATGGCTTGGAAGTTTGATTGCAATGAACTCCGAACGTGGCTTCTCACACATCATATACCCACACTCTGACTGCTGCTGAATCATATCGCTCTAGGGTTATTTCGATACAGCATGCTACGCGAATTCATGACATGGTGGCATGGTTTCAGTGCTGGAAGCCACATATTCAATCTTCAGATTGGATCTTTACGAATACACAACCTGCTCCTCACAGTCCCTAATAGTTCAATGTATACCATTTTCAAACAAACACTCTACTTAGTCAGGGCTTTTGTTGGTTTGGATGAAAGTGCTACTTCGTTATGTCATGTTGATTGATACGACCATGTTGGATTGGTAAGCTTCGTACTGCCGCCATCTAGCAATTCTCGATGGCCAAATGTTCCGGGAGCGGACGTGACCTTCCAAGTCGTAATTTCACGCTTCACATAAGAGCATAGTGCTTGTACTTACGGCATTATTGTAGAAAATTGATTCCGTAACACCCCAACTCGTACTGGCTTAGAGACTCGAATCTGATGCCGCGCCTTGTCAAGTCGGTCCACAACCTCCAAGTAGCGTATTAACTAAACTGCTTGTTTCCATCAGAAAATATCACCTGTCCAAGTCATAGACAGCATCCCAGTATGTTAATGCTTCATCAAACACGATAAACAACGCTGGTTGACTGAGCGTCAATGATGCCAATCATGCCCGATTACAGAATTGTCAGCCTCACACTGACTCTCAAAGCGTCGCACTACTTTTTGACCGCTGTGGGTCGTTGTTCAGAAACAAGCTTTGCAAAGAAGCCGACATACTCAACTGTTATATTTTAATAATGTGACGAGTAAAGTTACATCAGGCCGCTATGCTGAGCGTACAACGCCCAAAACGAGAAAGGTGTAATGTCGAGTCTCCTTGAGACAATTGGAACTATGAAGTGTTTCTTTGTCCAAGTTGTGAATGCATAAAGTGATCAACTTCTACACCATTTGTCCCTGTTCCGACTCGTATTTTGCAAGTACTGGAAACGAACGGTAACTGGAACCGAATAACATAACCGCGTACTGAAAATCAGATTCAAGAGACTTTTTGAAGTGGGAGAAGAGGCAGACGTTGTGTTCGAAAATGTGAGACGTTCCAGTGGATGAACACGAACATTCAAATAGTGCAACTGCAGCATTCGATGTTGATATGGAGTACCTAGGAAAAGGGTGTTTTGTCCACTCAAACTAAATTATTACAATAAATTGAAAACGCAAAATGAAACCACCCATAGAATTCCCCGGAATACATTTAATTAGCAAGTTCCACTTCAGCATGATGATTTGTTCGAACAAAAATTGTTCCTAGGTCACTGCTTGAGTTGAACTCTTTGCCTAGGTACTTTGCAATTCTGTGGCAAGAAAATCGATTTTCGAAGTCTTCCATACTCGCGGGGAACTCTTCAAACACACTGGCAAGGCCAAAAAGTGTGGTGACGAATCTTTCCTCAGAGATACTGAATAGGCCACTGAGCTTAACTCGCAAAACATGGAGAATCCTACTATATAGCTCACCACAGTCAGAAGGGTCAAGAAGACAAGTGTGAGTTTAGTTTACGCACGATATCGACAAGGAAACGACCGATCCGCCTAAAATGCCCAATATTCAGCAGCACAGCAATTCATTCAAATCATATCAGATAAGCAAGCATATCAAAAACAAAGGAGCAAACCATGCCGTTCGGAGAACCAATCAGTCAAACATAAGACGCCCCTCTGAATGGATGTTTGATCAACTATTATGTCCTCTTATATAAACTCTATATCGTATAACAGGAGTTAGTTACAGGCTCTTGCGATAATCCTAGTTCGTACGCCTTGCTTCCATTACTTTAGCCCCCAAGAAGTGGGACTAAAGCATATAGTTTGGTGCCTGCTCGTTACATAGCATTGAAATTCAACCGATAAAGTACTAGATATGGTCTAATTAATGAAATATGGCGCCCAGTTTAGTTCGTTTGGATTGAAAGCTGCATTGACGTTCGTGAAACTTTGCTTGCAAATCATTTTTGGTATTGCCATGAAATTGTTGTTGGATCAATTCCAGACAATCCACAAAAGACTAATCTAGTCTCCTACACTTACTTTGTACTTAGGTAGCACCTTCCACTTGTCTAGGAATGCTAGTACAGCGAGACTTTGAGCAGTAGAGAGGCCCCTCATCCAGCACTCTCATTAATGTGTACATACGAGGCTTTAATGTATAAGGCTTCATATCTTGTGGACACGCCCATCCCTCCATGCAAGGTTTGTTCAAGTTGACAGGGCAAAAATCAGGACCGCGGGTTGTTATTAATATCTCCATGTTGCGTTTACGACTCATGCATAACCAAGTTCGCCAACTCACAGGGCTTTGCCAGCTAAATGACGGCTCCCGGGTAAACAATCGCCCCTAGAAACTCACAAACACCATTAATTTATTATTATACGGATCGTCCATTTTCAAAGCTTAAGTTTCGCTGAAAATCCTTCCATTGCAACGTTCGATACGAGTGTTGCATAGGGCGCGTGCTCATTTGCTGTTTTTGGAAGCGAAGCACGCGGTATTCTTCGGGAAATAGAGCCGTGCTCCCACTGGTTTCCCATCGAGTTTTTGTACAAAAGCATTGGCAAGCGCAACGGACTATGTTAGTTTGACTTTCGTCTCTCAATCCTAGGAAAGCAAATCCTAATCTAACCCAATTCAATACGTTTATGACAGCGTTCACTCATTACTTCTTTTAATCGGCGTCGAAGTCAAGTAAGCTTCGTTCTTCCAGCCAACTTAAGTTAACTAGTATTAACACGTGCAGACTTTCTACCATGAGACTCATCAATGCTATTTCCAGCCTGCTATTCTTGCAGCCTCTCGGAGCTCTGGCTTGCGATGGATACCTCCATTGCCACTGCTATAACTCCGATGGCAAGCCCAACGACGTCGCGACGAAAGCTGTTTGCGATCGGTACTCGACTTCAAACGCGAACATGATCGAATCCAACCCGTGGTCTGATGGCGCAAAGGAGTGCAAATACGTGGGTCCAGAGGGAGCATGGAGGGGGGCTGGAAAGACAAGGGGCTGGCATGCGTATGCTTTCAGCAACTGTGACTGGCGTGTGATGTGTCAGAATGCTGGTGCAACTGGCTCAGATTCCAGTTGCAGAGATAAGCCGCCCCTGGGAGGCAAATCTTCCCCCAAGGGAACGCTTGATGTCCCACACAACTGATGGACGACTTGTTGTGGCATGTTTGTATGTAAAAGTTGATTGGGGCAGCTTTTGTTCTACCTTTCTAGCCAAAATTTGTTCAAAAAGTTCAAAAATTGCTTCCAAATGTGTTCAAATGTCCATCCATAAGGCCATTTGACCAAGCTGGCATCTATATCAAGGCTGCTCCTCATGAAAATCTGCTGCATTGGACCATCCGCTCTCACTTATCAAACTTCTATTACAAACACTGATACTTGTAACCTGTGGCCTGGAATGAAAGAAGTCCGTGGCGGAAAGCCTCAGACGAACGATGATTTCGGAGTCAGTTTGTAGCTGTCAATTTCAAATCTGAGGCAAAAAAGCCATAAGTCAACTTTGAAATTAGGAAAATATGAGAAAAGTTTTATTCTACTGCCATTTGGTAAGTGGCAGCTTTGAGTATAGATACCGATTGGCTTGATGAAGGTAATCACAACCTAAAGGTTGTTGATGGCATTCTTGAACCGCACACAATATAAAAGTGCTGTATGACTCAACGCAAATATTTCCGAAACTAATATTTACAACTAAAAAATAACTCGACTATTTCAAAAGACGATGAAATGAATCAATGTAGTAACAAAAAGAGTTACCGCGATGTAACTCATTGGAAAGCCTCTAATTTGTCCCTGTCCGCTAGTACCAACAACTGTGCCAGTTCTAATCGACGAAGGCCCGATGGTAGGTGACCTGGGCAAAGATGATTGTGACGAAGGCAGTTGGCCAGAATTCATATTTACTCCGTCTGCACCAGGGGTTGCCGCTATATTCGCAGGCTGTCTGAGGATATCCGAGGCTGCGTTAGACCCTGCTGGAAGAACCGATGCAGATAGCGGTTGTGGTCCAAACACCGCCGTTGGTTTAGCATCTGAAGAAGCGGTGAGACCGTTCCCTTGCTGACCTGGGTTACCAGCGAAATCGTTAGAATTGACGTAGTCTGCAGCAGTGAAGACGCCATCGGTGCCCGCTGGAATTGTAAGTGTGACAGTGTCTGCGCCGCCATAACCGCATCTATCACAGTCGACCTGGGTAGTAACGAAGTTGATCTTTGGAATAACCTGGGTAGGGCAGCCGCAGTCTACATAGTGTAGCGTCGTACATAGCTGAGTGGGAATAAGAACAGTTGGGTTTGCAGGATTGATAGTCGTGTACGAGATAGTAGTCACAACTGAGTTGAGGGTGATAGTGCTGCCTGCGACAATGGTTGTGACCGCAGATCCCGCAGAAACTCTAGGTGTTGTAGGGGGGTCGTTGTTTGTAAGTGGCCTACTACCAGCACCAGCCCCTGGTGAACCTATCACACCTCCTGAAGGAATACCAGGTAGGTTGCTCCCAGGAACCGACGAAGTAGTCCCATTGGCTCCAGTTGATGTGGTTCCTGGACCTCCAATGACAAATTCATAAAGTGTCAACAGCTGATTTGTAGGAAACGCTCTCTTAGAGAGGGGCTGGCTGCCTCTACATCTGTTGACCAGCTGGGGCGTGTTCTCATTGAGATTTCCCCCGCACAACTGTAAATTATCGCCAGGGCAGCGGGTTGAGCAGCCAGCAAGAGCGATAAAAAATGTTGATTCAAGAGAGTCTGATGCGTAGCAGGTGCTGAACGAAATATCAGGGTAAATTACAACGTAAAAATGAAGATGAAGTTTGTACTTACTCAAAGTAAACTCCTATGAACCGTCGCCCTGGTGCCATGGCGGTGCATCTCTGAGGAGTCATCAATGAATTTTTGCCTACCTCACTAAAGCCTGGATATCCAGATAAAGAGCCTAAACATCTCGAAAAGACAAATGCTCCAATCCTAGGTAGACTAGATGGACTGAGCTGTGTTGATGAAGCTAATATGCTGGTAAGGGGTGAGGAGCTTGTCGTAGGCCTGTTTCCAGGCGTTCAAACTGAGATGGAGGAAGGCGTTGTAAGAGATGATTGAACTGCTTGGGAAGTGACGGATGATATGGACTGCGTGCTAGTAGGTATGAAAGATGTAGGTGTTGTTTGTGTGTTGGAACTGGAAGGTGTGGTGGGTGATGATGCTTCGGACAAGGCTGTTGACCCTAGTGTTGACGATATTATGGAAGTTACGTAAGATGCTGAAGATGATGAAGAAGATGATGAAGTTGTTGTTGAAGTTAATGATGTTATTGTTGATGTTTCTGTACTTGATATTGTTGTCGTGGTTGATGATGGTGACGACGACGATGATGTTGTTGTCGTTGATGAAGGAAGGTCAACTACGTTAAAAAGGACTGCTGAGTCCAAAAGTCCATCAACTTGATCGCACACCGAAAAGGTCAACTCGTGATTGCCTGTAGCGACAAAATCAAATGTCAAGATTTCAGTCGATCGAGCGTATGATAGACCAAAGTCTGCCCCAGTCTTGGATAATAATGCGGTACCAGCGGCAGTCACTCAACCGTTGAGGCCTCTGGAATCAAACCTAAATTCTGCTCCATCTTCATATTGATGGCTGACCATTGCCGTTACGGTTAATCCTAGTTTGATGTCAATATCTCCTAACATTTAGAGTGTTTGTGCTAATGATTTGCTTACTGCTCTTGAGTTGCGTAGAGATAATTGACTCTGATACCTTTCATCTCGGCTGGGATAGTGAACTCTATGTCCAACGGGCTGAATTCTTTAGAAAAGCCAGCAGGATAAGGAAAGTTAACCTGACCATATCCCCAATCGGCACTTGGGGTTGCGCCGCCAACAGGAGCATCAATAAGCCGACCAGTTGTCAAAATTACTCCAGTTTCTAGCCCAGGAGGCCCGTTCGTAAATGATCCTACTGCCTGCGCATTTGGGTAGAAGAAAGCAGGACTCGATATCGAACCAGTAGTTATGCGGTTGTCTTGGAGCATAATACGACCCAACTGTAATGCATCCGAATTTGGAAAAATGCTAATGCCATTAACGAAGCTGACAAGAGCCGCTGATATCAAGGCAAAAGCTTCCCACGAGTCTATCTTCATTATGGGCGATCGTAAAAAGGTCCAATGGTGTGTGTGCCCGCTGATAACTAATAGTTTCTATGTGGGCACTAAGTCACAATGATGTTGGGGAAAAAAAGAAAAAAGGGAAAGAAAAGGGAGAGAAAAGGGTGTCTGCGGGTGGAAGGTTCTCCGTAAGTGATTAAATGAGCATTCCACGGCTTTGGCATCAGCATTGTTTGGAAGATCTTGAGCTTGCATTGTAAGTTGGCTGCTGTGGTGCGAAGAAATGAGGTTGAGTCGCAACCTCCTGGAACATTCCTACAATGTAATGAAGATAAAATTTTGCCCCTAAATTGAGAAATATGGGTACAAGGTCCAGAATGCACATTCCGGGTGGCATTAATCATTCGGATATTGCATATCTTGAATGAGACATCCAGTCTTCATGCGTGTCTCATCTCTGAGAACGATTGAAGGGGTCGTAGGAGATCCCCTATCTGCGAGACTAGCGTTTGAGCATAAAGCAGAAGGGGGGTCTACAGAGTCTCGTGTAGTAGATATCCCCGAGCTTTGGGGTCAGGCTAAGATGTACCATGTTAAATCAGATTGTATGACTATCATAGGACATAGGTATGCTCGGTCGTGTGTTTCCTGTGCCATGTCTATGTGGATGTCCTCAAGACACTGTTTTTCACTCATGGTAGGAGTCTTGGCAGAGTCCGCAGTAGCATTCAAAGTGCTAGCCCAAAATTCCTGACCCCATTACATCTTTGGTCTTTTTCTTTCTTCAGCAACAGGGTGGATATGCAGGGGGAAGTATCGATCAAATTACGCAGAAATAATGCCCATGTAACGCTTGTAGTTGGCTACTTTGACGAGAACGTGTCGTAATCTTTCAGCAAGCTTCAATTGATGTTGCAATGATGTCGCGACAACCTGAATTGCGGAAGAATAAATGCGCAATGAGTGTAAATCAGGGATTTTATGAATGCCGGGTTAGCCCTAGGGATTGCTGTGGCTGAGTCCAGATTATGCCGAATGCTCTGTTCAGTCAAGAGTCGCATCGATTACTAACCCTCCTGATCTTAATGGTTTAAGATACAGTCCGTAATTAGCATACATTTTATCTGACAAACGTGCCAATGCACTGCCTTGTTTGTCGGAATCGTTACGGTAACTCGTAAATCGGTTGATTTTCCTCGGTCAGATGTTTACAAGTATCTCAAGTTTTGAAGAGGGAATGTATCCAACCCAGCTACCACATCATAGGTTGACGAGCTCTCCTTGAAGTTCCGATGCCTTCATGACAAAAGAAGCTGCCATATCACAAACTCCACACCATTTGTTGAATATATTTTGGCTTGGCGGGCAACGACTTTTGTGGAAGCGTTCGAGTAGTAGCGGACGTCATGGCTATGAACCACCGTTCTGTCACACCAATGTCGATATGCTTCTCAGCAGCGGCGTCATACGAATCAGCCAGCGATTTGTTTCGTCGTGTCGTATGGGAGGCGGGAAACACAAGAGAAGCGATGGTCCGGCACGAAGAAGGCGGATGCATTTATATGTCCCCTGGATTGCGCCCGCAAACACGTGAATGAGAGAAGCGCGCACAGATGATGAGAAGCACGCATCGAATGTTTGTACTAGACCGACGGCCAAGACATGGATGGATGACAGAACGCCCGCAAGGACACGGGCCGGTGGAAAGTTACCAGGTTAATGGATCGGCAGAAACAGAAGAAGGTGTGATATAAGAACTATAAACTTCCACCTGCAGCCGTTTTGTGGCTCGGAGTTTATGTTCTTGAGATGCCTATTTCTAGTTTACTCTATTAATGATGTTCAATTGGGGCTTGATAACAACTTCGACAACGAGTCTCATGTCAGCAACGTGTTGTTGCGCTTCTGGGAAGTTTGAAGAAGGAAACAACATCGAATGTGACGGAGGGGGGGCGAGCTTGACCCTGAGAAATTCTGGCAGCCATGGCACTGCTAACTGAATGATAGTGTGCCAAAGGGCGACCAGTAGGACACCAGGCGCATCATGAGAATCAGTGGTTACTTATTTGCGGTATCAGGGATATCGTTTCCGTATCTGTATCAGTAGAATGATTTCCGCTATCCGGCTTGTTCGAGCCGACGGTGCCGAGGCTGGGCGGAGCTAACTGCGCATGTGGACGCGAAGGGGGGCCTGAACATGAGACGATAAGACTTCAATGGTAACCGCAAGATGATGGAGTTGTTGACTTCATAGCAGTGCTCCAATGATAACATTCGCAACGACACGGACGTATGCTTCTAGTTATGAAAGCAATAAATCTCAAATTCACGATGGGATGTGTTGTTCTCTTGATACCCCTTTCTAGAGAAAACCTCGAACATTTCTCGTCGCATTAGTAGACTGCCATCCAAACATCGTAATCTACGGTTGTGTGCAGGTTGCTGGCCACCAACACAGGCTCATTCAAGCCGGGGGGCAGATGCATGGAGACGGGGGGGACCCTTGCATGCTGGTCAGGGATGGGGTTGGTCCCAGGAGTCCCTGCTTCGCCTTATCAGTGCCAAGATGACGCTAAAGAGCTGGCCTCCCTTTTGCTAAAAGATAAGAAGCTTGGGCCAATGGAGAAACACCTTGGCTACAGCTTCTTTTGAGGGATTCGTGGGGTGGAGTCATTCTACTCACCTCTGTCACTTTGAATCCTGCATCGATGTCCACAAGAAGGGGACAATAACGAGCAATGGCCTACCTCCAATTAGCGTTCCTATTCTTTGGGCACAGGCTTCTGTAGAGCCGTTTCCCCGTCTGGATTAACCTCCGATGCCATGCTCCAGTTCACTCTCGGGGCGGCAAATGAGGCCGAGGCCTAAGCGGTAGGCTCTTGTAGTCTAGAAGGTCGGCATTCAGATCGTTTTGAACGGTCAACCGGCGATAATAATTCCTATAAGTTTAAGCCTGTTGAAAAGATGTCAATGCGAGCTCGGCATGGGTTTCCGTGGGTTGGAACATGAGCGTTGGTTGCCCGGAGATCTACCCCTCCGTTATTGTCCCTCCGCACCTCCATAACCCCAACTGACATTGAATCCACCTTAGCCCACAAGATGCAGACAACAAATGACGGGATGGTCCCGCGCCTTGGCTCACCTGTCCGTTGCCCCCTTTAAGGTGACCATGACGACATGTCAAGCTATCCTAAGGTGTAGCAAAGCAATCTACCTACAAAGCCGGGCGCATGATGCACATTCATTCCGTGCCCCCCCTCACGTACCCGGAACTATGAACGCCTAAGACGCCACAGTTACGGAGGTGTCCATCTGTTTGATAAGAGATAACGACTAGGAGCTTAGCATTTGTGCCACGATTTTCAGCTCCCCAGCCCTTGATAAGGCGGTGATAAAGGCAAATGTAAATAGAGATAATCAATTCACTGAAGCAGCTCTCACTGACTGAAGTGACTAGTAGTAATTTGTAGATGGTTGCTTGCGTAAATGGTTGTCGAGATACATGGCTCCCAATCTTGTTCTAGAATGTAATTGGACATTGAACCACCTTGCACAAGGGTCACTTTTACATCCTTTATCTCTTCCAAAATGTTTTCCCTGCCTATTGGTGCATATTGAGGGCTATGGGCATATTCGCCTGCTGCATACTAGCAGGAACAGACCAACAACCACAACTTCTTCTGGCCCTTCGTGAGCCAATGCGGCCCGCAGAACAAACCCCGGCCATGCTCGTCTAAGCATGCCTCGCACATCCTACTTCTTCTGGTGTGCACGGGATAACCCTATATAGCTTGCTCCGATGCTAGCTCAGATTTGCGACCTGGATAAGCCCCTTTAGATTGAAAACACATCTAGAACATGAGAAGAGTCAGTTTGCTCTTTCACATTGATTTGCTTCTCTTAGATACTTGTATAGGCCTAGCATTCCAAGCGGTGTGAGGTCAGTCGACTCAAACGGTAACAACTGGCTAGTAAGGGCTGCAGGCCGCTTCGTAGAGCTGAAATATGTGGTTACGTCAACAAGACGTGAGATTGTGGCGTTTTCAGTCCTGCAAACCATCTCAGCCCTACCCGGAGTCACTTGAAGGTTTAATCATGCAGACTTTTTCAAATCTATAAAAGGGCGCCATGCGAGTGATGATATCGATCAAGTAACTACCGAGCCTACTCCAGGCGAACTCTCGCACACCTTGAATCTAAAGTCTTCCACATCGCCACAACATGCAACCTTGAGTATGTCTCAAGGTCTGCAATATCCTTTTGCTTCATGAGTCTCCTCCCAGTATACAATCCTCGGTCGACCGTGATGCTTCTATCCGAGACTCATTACGCAAGTCAGTGTCGAAGACACTCTTCCGCATCGTATGATAACCTGAATAGCAGGCACTTGACTGTGGGAAGGCAGAGAATAGCAGTAATAATGGACTTGGGCACATGGAAAACCAAGATATGAGACGCCTACCACTGGTTTAGCTTCTCCAGCATCAAGATGCTAACCCCCCCCCCCAAGAGAGTGCCTTCTCATTTCTCTCCTCCGTTTCAATGTCACCTAAGGTACTGGCATAGTAATACCACAGTGCAGCCTCTGCTATGACTGTTCTGATAATTACCTGCGATTTCTAAATTACGCTGCAATGCGGGCGCAAGATGAAAACCTTGACGAGTTCATCTGTGCTAACGGGCGCTAAACCCCGAGGGGCTACCTTGCGCTGCGGTTCAAGGGGCCGAAAGCTTCACCCCTGTACATTTCTACGTATCCATCTGGTAAAATTCAACATGACAGATGATGTAGTATAGGAACCCACGTGTGAGCATAGAGATGTGGTGATTTCTTCTACAGAACATGGGGGGACCAACGGTGCACAAACCGCTCCTGAAACAAGTCTCCCGTCATGTTCAAGGTGTTTAAGCCAGGTCGTTTATGGAGTTAGGAGGTGGTGTGTCTGTCTGTATCCAGGTCAGATAACATCCAATAGCAAATCTCCGAGTGAAGGTTCCGTCGAAGGCCACAACTTACATAGCGCCTCCATTCGAATCCTTTAACCGCACCTTAGACCAACGCCGGCGAACCCCAACCTGTCTCCAAATCCCTTATCAGTACCCACATATTTGACGGCCCACACCCAGACCGTGGTGGAAGCAGGGGGAGAAGCCCATGAGCATGGGTGGACAGGCATGGGATATCGGTACGTATCCGAGGACGTGGGTTGGAGTCTTGGAGCTCTCACAACTAGACATTTCTTGTACCATTACCACGCAGCCACATGGGCAGAGGAACATGCTTGACTTGTCACACGGAGATAAAGAATGATATGGGAAGCTCGTCCCAAAATACCCTTCTCCTCCGCCTGCATGTCGAATGCAGCTTTATGCTTTCGTCTCCACCCCTTGGCTCTACACCACCGGTGTGTTGGTGCTCTCGGCACAGGCCTGTAAGCAATCAGCTTCCTCATTATCCCAGCACTTGACTCCTCCAATCCCCTCCATCACTTTCAACGCACCAGTTCCTTGGGCTGTCTATCCCTATCCTGTTCGGGTTGGCTCCGTATCAAAAGTTACCGTCTTGGCCAGCTTCCCACATGGACCCGAAGTGATCCCCCAACGGGCGTATATTTTCCTCTAGACAAATTAGCCTGTGAAGTCCCCGGCGAAGCTTCATAACTGCGGTCTCCCCCCTTCTTGCTGCTTAATTTCTTCCCTGAAGCTCTCCGTTTCCATTCCTTCGTCTTTTAATTTTTTCTTGTGTTTGACCTTTACTCGCCGCCCACGAGGACAACCGTCCTGGCGAAGTTTGAGACGCTCTAAAGGTTCTACCTAACTCACCCCATCCGAATTTTATCACGTTCTTGCGGGAACAAACCTTGGAGATGTCTCTTTACGCTCTTCCCTACAATGGCACCACAGGAGAGGCTGATGCCGGCTACTCCGCCGATGTCAAGGACCTCAATGTTTTCTACGAGGTTAATATTGTCCTTGATATACCCTAGCCACAAACAACATTGTATCTAACTTTGACTATTTTGCAGTCCGGAGACATTGCTTGGATCATGGTCTGCTCAGCACTTGTGTTGCTCATGATTCCCGGTGTCGGCTTCTTTTACTCGGGTCTTGCTCGCCGCAAGTCGGCCTTGTCGCTCATCCTAATATCCATGATATGCGTCGGAGTGGTGGCCTTCCAATGGTTTTTCTGGGGCTACACGTTGACCTTCTCTCACACCGGGTCCGTCTTCCTTGGAGACATGTCCAACTTTGGCCTCAAGGATGTCGTAGCTCAACCTTCCGTTGGCTCTACTAAGCTTCCGGATATTTTGTTCTGCCTGTACCAAGGCATGTTCGCTGCTATTACGTGAGTCCATCACGCCCCTTTCTCATCTCATCATTGGGCAACTGCGGTGAGAAATTTTTGGTCCGCGCCGCAGGAACGCAGATTTGCGCCCGCTGCGTGATGCGGAGCTGCAGCTACTTTGATTACTTTCATATCTTTGGAGAGTTTAACTGACACCGAAACAGCCCTGCCCTTGCTCTTGGTGCCATCGCCGACCGTGGCCGTATCCTTCCGGCCATGGTATTCGCCTTTATCTGGGCCACCATCGTCTATGACCCCATTGCGTACTGGACTTGGAACGGCAACGGCTGGCTGTTCACCCTTGGTTCGCTCGATTTCGCCGGTGGAACTCCTGTTCACATCTCATCCGGTGCCGCCGCCCTCGCTTACTCCTTGATGCTTGGCAAGCGCACCGGCTACACCAAGCTACATGGCCTCCCGTACCGTCCCCACAACGTCACCCATGTTGTTCTGGGAACCGTTTTCCTCTGGGTCGGTTGGTTCGGCTTCAACGGCGGTTCTGCCCTTGCCTCCAACATCCGAGCTGTCATGGCCTGCTTCAACACCAACCTTGCTGCTGGTGTCGCTGGCGTGACTTGGATGCTCCTCGACTACCGCCTCGAGAAGAAGTGGTCCACCATCGGCTTCTGTTCCGGTGCCATTTCTGGACTTGTTGCCATCACTCCCGGTGCCGGTTTCGTCACCCCTTGGGCTTCGGTCATCTTCGGAATCGTTGGCGCCATCTGCTGCAACTTCGCCACCAAGCTCAAGTTCCTCATCGGTGTCGACGACGGCCTGGACGTTTTCGCTGTCCACGGTGTTGGCGGAATCGTGGGCAACCTTTTGACGGGCATCTTTGCTGCGTAAGTCTGATAACTCCTCCACAGAGGCGCCCCGCTAACAATGAGATACAGCTCGTACATTGCTGCCCTCGACGGTGCCCTCGAAATTGACGGTGGCTGGATTGAACAGAACTACGTCCAGCTCGGATACCAGCTTGCCGGTTCCGTCGCCGGATTCGTCTGGTCCTTCTGCCTGACGTGCCTCATCCTTTTCATTCTGAACTTTATCCCCGGCCTTAGCCTCCGTGTCAACGTAGACGATGAAGATCTCGGCCTTGACGACTGCCAGCTTGGAGAGTTTGCCTACGACTATGTCGAGGTAACCCGCCACGTTTCTGACATTGTCCCCAGCAGCAGTAGCCACGACAATGTTGCCGGCAGCTCCGCTCACGGCTCCCTCCCTGAGAAGACCGTCTAAGAAGGTTAATCAAGGACAATGTGCCCTAACAATAGAAGAGTGGTTTATGTCAATTTTTTGACTACCACTAGTAATCCACAATAAGGAGGCTAAATATCATCTCTAATGCTTTTTTTTATAGTTTTGCTTAGATACCACTTTGGCACTCACTTGCTAAATTTACTTTTGGTCTTCTGCAAATCTTCCCTGATACATTATACCCATGCCTGAAGCGTGGCAGTTGTCCTACTCAGCTGCTTTTGTGAGTGCCTAAACGCAGATGCCACTCTAACGTCGGCGCCCATTTCTGGGCGCCCCCTGTATTTGAGCACCCTATTTATACTAAAAACGCCGTTTTTCAAAATTCCATATGAAACTAACTACTATACTGTGACGATAGTGTCAACGCTCACCGAACATACCGAGGGAGGTGTGTCTACGTAAGCTTAATGAAACGCACACCGCAGACGTGTAAGTATATGCTTTCTCACGCATATGCCCTCTTTCTAAATTAAGTCACTCTTTTATACATTTTCTAGCCTGACTGCTATGTGCCTATTTATCTAACCTATCTTTCTATAATCCACTTATTATCTCTCAGGGTAGTTTAAGAGGGGAGACTTGAAGTGGCCCCGGCACTAAGGTATGTGTCCCGGAAAGGCTTCATAAGACTTGTGTACAGAAGTCCCACCGGTTAAGTCTGATTCACCGTCTACGTTTTCGCCGTCACAAAATAGTTACATAATCAATACACTCTAAGTTATTTATCCATGTGTATATATCTAACCCAGCCTCGACCATATGATACAATTCGCCTGAGACGCGTACCTTGAGGGAGGCCTCTATGAAATGGAAGACCGCGCGGTTGAGCAAGGCCTCTGATCCCGATCCGCCCTCTCGCCTCGTTTGGCAGCGACGACTGCTGCTGCTACCGGCCGGCCTTCCGTGCTTATTATCATCGCTGTTACTGTCGTCGTCTTCGCTCTCGCTCCAGAACCCGCTGTGGTGGGTGTTAGGGCCACCGCTCGGGGTGCCGAGTTCCCAGTTGACTTCCCCGAGGATGCTCTATTGTTTGTCTGTGAACCGGGCTTCTAAGCGCTCTATAGCGTTGTCCCGGTCCGCCCGAAACGCCCGGAGGCAGAAACCTAGGAACCGTTGCCCGACCGACTTGTACTTGCCCATAGACGTCTCCCTGCGGCCTAACACGCGGCTGCTCTGGTCATTAGGCGAGATGCATGCAGCCGCTGGAGCGTCTCGACTGGACGGCCTTCCAGGCGTAAGCAACACCGTAGCGTTGATCCACTCGACCGCCTCGTGGACGGCCGAGAGGTCCCTGGCCCCGAAGTGTCTCGACCACCCCAGCCGGCTGTCAATGTTGTTACGACGCAACTAGCTGAGGTTCTGGCTAGCGTAGCTATATAGTGCAGAACAGGGGGTAATGATACATCTGCGTCATCACCGAAGCTTTTGCTTTGTGGTGCAGCTTGTTAGCCTGAACTGCTAGTAAGATGATGGGTCTTCTTTTGGAAAGTGACGACTCTTTATTACAACTTGGTGCCACGTAGAATGTAGGGGTGCGTGGAATGCAGGTTGTTTGAGTTGTGAGTCACACTTCTGCCAATGGCTAGTTTGTCATGCAAATGAACCTCATATCTTTGGCCCGGGGCAATGCGAAGACTCAGAGCTTCAATCACGCCGGCGCCGGTCAGCCAGTGCACAGCTCGTTTCCACCAATCACCGACTCAAGCTGATGCGAGCTTCCCGTATCTCACAGCTTGTAGTGCCCGAGGATGCATGCTTACGGTCCCGACGGTGCCCACATGATAACGGCGTCGGAACCGAAGGAGGGGCGCGCATGTTGTTCAGCACACAGTCAAGACAATGTTTCTGCTTTTAGCTTCCTGATAGTTAGTAGACTTATAAAACGGACAGGAGTACCCTCAGATTTCCTGCGGGTGAAATCTACTGTGTCAACTGGATAACATTGAACAGTGAGTTCTATAACTTCGTAGCCAGAATGTCGGCGCCATTCGCCTCACTTCCCGCAAATGCTTCTTCTACCATTCAACCATTCACCATCTCCATACCAGAATCCGATCTCAAAGCAATGCTTGACTTAATCTCTCTGTCCAAAATCGGGTCGTCTACTTGGGAGAACTCACAATCATCATTTGGGACAACCCACAGGTGGCTAACAGACGCCAAAACTGCATGGCTTAATCCATCCACCTTCTCGTGGCGTAAGGATGAAGAACGCATCAATTCTTTCCCAAACTTCACCTTGAATATCCCACTTTCGGAGTTGAGCTCAAAGTGGAAATACAGCGGCACTACTTATGACGTACATTTTGTAGCCCTCTTCTCCCAGCATAAAGATGCAACTCCTGTTGTCCTTCTTCATGGCTTCCCGGGCAGTTTTCTGGAGTACCTCCCTATTCTGGATCTTCTGAGGGACAGATTTACGCCCGAAACTCTCCCGTACCATATCGTTGTTCCTTCATTGCCAGGATACGGCTTCTCTAAGTTTTCGCCTGAGCATGGTGAGGAAGATTCGCATACAGAATTCACTCTCAACGACGGAGCGAAGATAATAAATGAACTCATGGTCCTCCTTGGCTTCGGCCATGGATATATTGCCCATGGCGGTGATGTAGGGACGCTCTTAGCCAGATTACTAGCTCAGGACTTCCACGGCTGCAAAGCCTTTCATTGTAAGTGAAGCTAGATCTCCATTAGACCTTCAAAAACTTCCAAAATGGGATTCGAACATTAACAAGTTTCACAGTGAACGGGCTGTTTGCTACAAAAGAGTCTGTGCCGCCCCATATGGACGATTATACTGAAGAGGATAGGCGACGACTAGCGGAGGCGCAGGGCTTCTTCGCAACAGGCTTCGGGTATTCTCTTATGCATCAAACGAAGCCCGGGACCATCGGCCTCGCTATCGCGTCTAATCCTTTAAGCCTGCTAGCTTGGTAAGTCACGGCAAAAGCCTCTAGAACATACCTTCCCTCGCCAGGCTCGCAGGTTTCTAGGCTCTATAATCATTATAAAGAAGCAAAGTTTCAAGGTCCCTAACAAGTGTCTTGGTAGGATAGGCGAAAAACTTCGCGACTGGACTGATGTTCCGCTTCCCCTCTCAACGATTCTCACAAACGTTACGCTCTATTGGCTTACAGACACCTACCCAAGATGCATCTATTCCAATCGCTTTCCTCCAAGTGTGCCCTTACCACAGACCAAGCCCTTCGGCGTATCCAACTTCCCCCTTGAGCTCGTTCCAGCACCAAAAGCGTGGGTCGAGAAAACATTTCCCAGCTTGGTCTTCTACAAAGACTATGAGAGGGTAAGTCACGATAAAAGCCAGGGACACTTGTGATGCTTTTTAGTGTAAGAGCAGGCAGAAGGCTTACGAAAAGGTATAGGGCGGACACTTCCCGGCGTGGGAGGAACCAAAGGCCATGCTAGGCGGGCTTGAAGAGTTCATAGCAAAAGTCAAGCCGGCATTGTGTAACGAGCCCGTCGAAAACGAGTCATGAGCAATCCTGTCGCGAGAAATGCGGCACTCCACATGTTAAACAATCACAATTCGCCTGATTGCGTTAACTACCTAGATAACCACCTTCAGGTTACGGTGTCCTGTGTTCAATGGACCGAATTTAGCAAAGGATTCTTTCAAGGATAAAAAGCAACGTGTAAGCCTTGCAGATAGTTTCCAGATGTGTTTGGATCACCTTGTAGGGGGCATTGCCAACGAAATGTTCTCTGTCGTTCCCGAGATGTACATTCCATGCTCTTTAGTAATATGTAAGACATATTTATCATCGAGTTATTCATATAAGCTCTCTGCCAAGGATGTTAGATAGCTGTTAGAGCTATAAACCTGACTAACCTAGTAGACGTAGGAGCTGTGTTCTCAGTTCGTACCCGGACCGTTGTAAACAGGACAAGGACCTGTTGATCAGAAACGCTCCCAGCTCGTCCCTGGGCCATCCTTGGGTGTGGTTAGCTGTTATAAAACTCTAAACTATTAGCTAGGATAGCTACTGGGTTCAAAAAGATTGCGCCGAGGGGGAATCGAACCCCCGGCTCCCCGACGCTGCTGGATGGCAACGGAGAATTTTACCACTAAACCATCGGCGCAATTTATGATGATGAAGACCCTAGGTGACTAGGTGGATGTCATGGGAGCCGATTCGAGGGACTTTGTTCCAGTTTGTGGGCCGAAGTGGAGTTGTGCGGGAGCATCTATCACGATCAACTTACAGAAGCAAATTGGGGTCGAAACTATTAAATGCTAACTGTATTCGTTGGAGGGATCTAAAAATGCATTCAGGAGCATACGGTATTAGGTGATGTCGATCTATATGTATTTTCTTTACAAATATGATGCCTCAACCAAAAAAGCCACCGTGAAAACCGAGTGGCGGTGAATAGCGTCCCACTGAATCGTGTCATAAGTCTGTTGATGATGTTAAGAAACCAAAAGTGCGGTGTAGATTGGTAGGAGGCAAACTCACATCTCTTGAACTGTGAATATACGGACTAGATGTTTTAATGACCTCATCGCAAACATAAGCCGCAGCTGTGAGCACCAGTCAGTCATAAGATTTCTTGTCGTCAGAACTGCACTTACGAAATCCTTGGTCATATGCGCTCCATTGATCAGAGCAAGCATAGCCGCAGGTGTCTTCCGTGGTCTCTCCAGTATACTCTTCTGCAATAAGTCGGCAGTATGCAGTCAATCCTGAGTCAACGTAGTCGGTGAAGATTGAAATCTTGCCGCTGGGCGAGTAGCCTGCCATATCTTGGTTCACCATCGCCAGAACCGTCTTGTTCTTTGCTTTGTAATCTTTAAAGATATCCCGGGAGCCGAGCAGACCACCTTCTTCCCCAGCGTAAAAATGGAATTCAATGGTGTTCTCGGGCTTATACCTGGCTTGGGCGAAGATTCGGAGGGCTTCCAGAATAACAACTACTCCAGAGCCATTATCATCGGCTCCTGGGCCCCGAGCAGTTGGACTTCCTCCCGTGGAGTCAAAATGTGCGCTAACGATGACTGAAAAGCTGTAAGTGCATGTACATGAACCGCCCTCTGGTTATCGGCATACCGAGATCTGAACTATTACCAGGGATCTTGGCAATGACTGACGGCTGGTCAAAGGCACTGTGCGGGAACTGAGAAACCTCGATAAGGGGATTGGGGCTGCCGATGTCCTTGACCAAGTCAAACACCCACGTCGCCGCAAGCGTGCCGTTGACAGACCGGTAGTGTCGATTCCAGAATCTGACTGTTATTGTCATCACTCATCTTTGGTGGGTGGTCGATTCTAGACTCACTCGGTCATGTTCTTGAGCCAAACCTTGGGACCATCTGTATTCACCCTTGGAAGTAGACATTGTGTTCTGGCCTGATGCGACAGGTGAGTTGGGTAAGTGACTGTCTGTCTCGCAAGTACTGATCTCAGCTCCAGAGAATTGGATACGTCCGAGATATCATCTATTTTCTGCCCAATGTGTCAGTGTTGTTCCCCGGAAGCGTGATTACTACACACGTCAATGTCGGTGATATCGTAAAAGCTGATACCATTAAGCCTCATTCTATCCTTGTCATCCTCTGTGACCCAGGATCCAGGATCAGCCTCGGATGTCTTGACAAGGCGGAGGCCGGACTCGATCGGAGATGGTCTGTCAGCAACCGGAGCAGACGCTGACAGGGTCGCCGATGCAATGAGCGCCACGAGATAAATAACAAAGCGCATGATGAACTCAAGGTAGTGAACATCTATTTGGGCAAAACCTTGGTGTTGGTGATGCAGGAGAGAGGTTGCACTGTTTACGGGGAAATACGTTGCTATTTTTTGACGAACTCGTACCCCCTGGTGACCCTCCCTAGGACATTACGAATTGTGGCCTTAATTGGCGGCCCTTTGCTGCGAGGTGCTGGTAAAAAGCAATATTTGGATCCACGATGTGTTGGTGGCTTGCATAAACCTGCACAGCAGTGTCTTGGACTGGTCTTCCCTTGATGAGGCCTGTTCATGGCCCACAACCCCGCCGATCCCCTGGTCGTGCTTTCTGGACTTCCGAAGTGGGCTAGGTTGTCAACACCGCGAGTTATAACACCAAGCATAGCAACGCGGCTCAAGTATGTTTTCTATAAGGCTGGGCTTACTATTGTAAATAAAAAATACTGCAAGTAGTTCATAGCGTCTCAAGTAACTTGCTAATTTGTGATGCAGCTTAAAAAGAGGAGCAATACTCAGTCACCGCCAGTCTAGCCACCTCTGCTGATTTTCACAGCCACGTTCCTTGACACATGAACGAGTCAAAATGTAATGTGTGAATATGTACAATTTGAGGTTTTGGAAAGTATGTTAACAACGCAAGTACATTGCCTGTGGGATACTGGTACGCTTGAGCTATTTAGGAACAAGACCAGCAAAGGATCCAAGCTGTGTGAGGTACCTGTTGGTAGATGATCAACAAATCTGGTAATTGGTTACCGAGCCCAGGGATGAACAATCAGAAATATCAAAGATTTACAACGGCTTTTATTGTACGAAGCATATGCCAGACACAATATTGAGTATAATAGGATAGCATGAGAAAATGACTATAGATCTTCTGCCTATTTTTTTACAGACTGTGCCCTACCTTACATACCTTACTCCGATACGCCAGGCAGCCATACAGCCCATTTGTTCTGCGGAAGTATCATCTTCCTAGACGCGAACGATTGCAGCTGATATCAATGGTCAGATTCGTTTGATACTGAAGTTGCCCACAATGCTTACTTTGACCAAGTTCCGAAGGCCACTAGCCGAGGGGAACCTCCGTTCATAGGCTGGTGGTGATGCATGTCTGACTAAAGGAGAAGCAGTCCAAACCCCTGCCTCTATTCCAGCCGATTGGTCAATGGTACTTCGAGGTTTCTGAGCTTCCTTTCCTGGACACACCGTAAGTGCTTTTTGTGTACGGTACGAACGGCAGATCACTTAAAAACCCAAACTGTCACTGAAGTACAAATCTTACTTCTTACATTTTCATCCAATTCTGGACCCCGCTTCCCTATTTCCTCAGATCAAAAGATATTTCGAAAATGACGAGGCGCCTAGTAGAAAGACCAGCCCAAATCTTTTCGACAAGCCTCGGCGGGACAATTCGCCCCAAGTACCCCTTTACCAACCTCCAAAATGGGACCCCTGGGCCCGAGAAGAAGATCACCATAACAGTCATCAAGGCAGGCCTCCTAATTCCTGGGGACGGCACCCCGATTCGAGATGCCGCCCTTGTCATAACCGACAAGCTCATTTCCTGGATCGGCCCGCAATCAGATATCCCTTCGCAGTATACCTCGCCCGCTCACAGGTCTTATACTGTGCCATACCTTATGCCGGGTCTGTGGGACTGCCACGCGCATTTCATGATGGGTAGCCCCGACGACGCGGGCAACAATGACCCGTATCTCGGCTTCGTCACCGAACATCCCGCTGCCGCCGGTGCGCGACTCACGCGCGCGTGTTGGTTGGCTTTGCAACGAGGCTACACCTCCATGCGGGATGTGGCGGGCCTGGGGTGTGAGATCAGTCGGGTAATCAACGAAGGGACTATCGTGGGACCGAACGTGTACAGCTCGGGAGCGTGTCTAAGCCAGACGGCGGGACATGGCGACGTGTTCTCGCTGCCCGCCGGTGACGTGCTGCTCAACCTAGGCGTATCGCAGGTCACAGCGGGCCACTTTGGCACAGGCCCGAGTATGCTCGTGGACGGCGTAGATGAGTGCCGGCGGGCGGTGCGACTCCAGATCCGACGTGGGGCTAAATGCATCAAGATCCTCGCATCTGGGGGCGTAATGTCCCGAGACGACAACCCGATGTACGCACAGTTCAGTCCTGAAGAGCTGCAGTGTATCGTCGAAGAGGCAACACGCCAGGGCCGCGCCGTTGCGGCTCATGTGCATGGCAAGCCTGGCATCCTGGCGGCCGTCAAGGCGGGGGTTACCACCGTAGAACACGTGTCGTTTGCGGACCAGGAGTGCATCGACCTGATCCAAGAAAAAGGCACCATTTACGTTGCCACCCGTATGATTATGGATCTTCTCCTTGATAGCGGTGGCGAGGGGATTCCGAAACACGTGTGGGAGAAGGCCAAGCTATGCGCTGAGAACCACCTGGTGGCCTATCAGATGGCCATCAAAGCAGGGATCCCGATTGCGCTAGGCACAGACACTGGGCCAGGATTCAACATGGCAATGGAGCTTGAGGCGGCCGTCAAGGCAGGCATGAGCAACCTAGAGGCCATCAAAGCAGCGACAGCAAACGGGCCGTTGAGCGTGGGTATCCAGGCGCCCAAGACGGGGCAGCTGAAGGTTGGGTACGAGGCGGACGTCATTGGCGTTCTTGAGAATCCGGTGGAAGATGTGAAGGTGCTCCAAAAGATTGACAACATTGGCTGGGTATGGAAGGGTGGCAAGATTTACAAAGGACCAGGAGTTGGGCCCTGGGGTGAGAGTGAGTGGTCAGGAGAGTAAGCTTCTGGAAGGACTGTTTGTTTGTGTGCAGTTCAAATTCGGGCTTCCCATGCATGTTCCCGCGCCAAGGTGGGGGGCATTGCAGAAAGAAATGCTTGACCAATACTGACAAAGAAGCCAAAGTCAGTGATATGCAGGAGATTGGTTCTGGGCCCTGGCTGAATCCAAGCCCCAGCTGATGTCTTCTTGATTCCCTGCCAACACTCCAAATGGCATTGTAACCTGGCAGTCATAGAAAGAGAACGGTTCATCTTATGAATGGATATCTTTGCAAAGAATAAGTCAACAGGTCACGCTGTCTCGTCTCACGTCTCTCAAAGAAATCCCGCCTACATGTACCTGAAGAAAGGCAAGTTGTCTTGGGTTTCATCTCATCTCTTTGACAGACAACTATGATACCTTCGTAGTTCTTCAGGAATGTCTTGGTTGTAGGCAGCGACCACGTCCCCTTTGTATCTATCACCGGCACCTGGGAAGCCTCAGACGCGATGAGAAGGATAGCTTCCGGGCAATTAGCATCATTTCAACGTTTAAAATCCTCATCAATCTCCAGTTCTCTGCCCACCCGCTCATCATCCACAAACCGACACATTCTCACACAATCAACTCATCGGATCACCAAGCAACATTGAGAATGTCCAAAACCAACCACCAAACCCCTGGTCCTATCCCTGAGGATCGTTTGATCCTCAGCCATGGACACGCCTTCACCAACGAATCTCAGAACCTTGTCGATGCCCTCCCCGATAAAGGCTACTATGCCCACGGGGTCCTCGTAGATATTTGTCAAATCTTCCGCAACGAGATCACCAAGCACGCCGGTATTCATTCCCAAGAACGCGAACAGGCAGGATATCTCGTCGGCTGGCACGACGCCTTCCATTCTCTTCGCCACCTCATGTGCGCCCACGAGGACTTCCTCAGGTCAGCGCCGATCAGCGGTATCCCCTGCCAGCCCGCTTTTCCAAACTGGCTTTCTCTACATGAAGCCACAAACCAGGTCATTGAGCGCGGCAACCTCTTCATGATGAAGGGGAAGGACGGCGGTCCGTCCCACGACACACCAGGTCTGTCTTCGCAGCTGCGCGGCGGAAGCGTGGCTGCCAAAGAGCCCATCGCGGGCACGAGCAGCGTCCTGGATATGACCAACGGCGCAACCAAAACACCCATGAACACCCCGTCTACGCTCAACCACAACTCCCCCACCAACGTCCCTTTCAACGACGGCCATCCCCTTCTAAGGGACACCGCCGAGGGCAATCTCTTGAACGCCTTCCCTGTTCTCCGCGAAATGGACACTTCCCAAATCCTCATGCTCTACGAGCGCGAAGCCCGTCTCTCCGAGCACAAGATGGCCGCCGAGCTAGCCAAAACGAACCTCCTGCGCCAGATCATCTTCGAGGACCGCTTCTCCGAGGACGTCCCCTCGTTTTTCAACTCTCCCGGCGTCTCGAAGGGCAAGAACACGAAATTCTACGACTTTGGCACCGAAATCAACCATTCTTTTTTCGGCGAGCAGCAGCAGAACCGCGCCATTCGGGCGGTCAGACGCATTCTCCGGAACTGGCGCCTAAGCGATGTGCCTCTTGAACCCGTCGTCCCAGAGGAGCAACAGGCTCCCGTGGAGGTGTCCGAGCTGGATGCGGGACCACCCCTGGCGAGGCAGATGCCTGGCTGCCGTGAAAAGCCCATGGGTCTTCCGATGCGCGAAGAGACGCTGTATCGAAGCACGCCGACCTTTGGCCCCGTCACGCGCGAGAATGCGCTTCAAGTGCCATCTACCTTGCCCACGGAATCTTCATCCGGCAGTCGGAAAAACGCCATTGATGCTACGTTGGCATTCTCAAAGCTTCAGCGTCTGAGTGAGTACTCGCTCGTTGGTGATCCGGCCTGCGAATCAACTCTTCTCGCAATGCAGGAGGAGCCTGACGACATCTTCATGGCTGGTGGTCGATCATGCTCTGAAACCAGCGACAACGAACCCGGGAGCCCATGTGCCTGGCCCACCAGTGTATCCGTCGTGACGAAGCCTCGCGCTGGCGATGGAAAGTGGACACGATCCAGCAACAATGCTGCATCGGCCTCGATGTCCTCGACGCCGTCCGTCATGTACAAACGCGCCAGCCACCCGGGCTCGAAGCTCGGTCAGGTTTCAGACCATCCCAAGGAGGCCGACCCGTGGAACGAACAAGGGAGAAGTGGCTGGGGCCGAGTTCGCCGGTGCATATCCATAGATGATTTGCTGACGTCCGACGACAAATCGATTTGGTGTGTCGCAGTTGGGGAGAAATCATCTAGCCAGGAAGCGCATCGCCGGGAGAGAACGGCGGAACCGAAGATCCACGAGCCGGGTTATGCCTCACCTCGACAAGCGTCGTCGGACACCCTTTCCGGCGTAAACCGATTCGTAGATGCCAGCAAGTCGCTTCCAAGCGAACCACAGCCGGCAGAGCTGGGCACACTCAGTAGCCAACCCGGCTCTGATGCTGAATTAGCGGAGAGAAAGGATTACCTCCGTCGCTGGGTAAATGGTCCAGCTTCGCCAAAGGCATCGGTGCCGGCTTCGCACAGATCCAACCAGATGCCGAGCAACACGGACTCGGATTCGCGCAATCGCCATTTCAGCCTTCTGCCAGAGTCGTCAGCCAACTGCGAGACCTCCTCTCGAGTTCCACGCGGGGACGATCTGGAGTACACCGCCGTACCTCCACCGAGCCCCCGGCCCGCGTATGCTGCGTCGTCGCACTACTGGGGCCAGCCCTCGACGGCTTCCACCATTCGTATCCCGCCCGTGAGTCGCGTTAACTCGTCTTCGACAAAGTTCTCCTTCGATGACGACGACGGCGGCGGTCAGGCCGTACCTCCTCCAGCTGCGGCGTACCAACCCGGCGACCAAGCACCTCGAGTGTCCATGAACCATCGTCGGACCCAGGTATCGATGGACTCTTACGGACACAACCCTTATCACAACCATGCCGAAGCGGCACCCGCCCTTTCCGGCCCGAATGGCCTCGCTCGAGTAACGCCAAGCTACACCGTTCCCGCACGTAAGCCTCTGCAGAAGCGGCAGTCCGACGCAGACAAACGGTCCTCAGCAGGCGATGCGTACGACTTTCGAGGACACAAATCTTCGGACAGCGACTGGTAAATCAAGGCATATCAAGCGTGTGACATCAAATGGTCTTGGTAATTGGGGGGTATCAATTTCGTTTGTATTTGGGCTTGGGTTCATACGCGCATTGCAGTTCTAGACTTGGGCAGGTTAGCATGATAGATCATCCTTGGAGAGAGAAAAAGGAACAGATAAAAAAAAAAAGTATACTTACGAAGCATGGCCATATCTGCTCCCCGTGAATCCAATTCCATAAATTTGCCCTCTCGAGTCTTAACCAGTAACCATTCCCTCGCGCCCAAAAAAACACGGCAAATTTACTCAATCTTCTCCACCTCCATATCCTCATCAGCAGCCTTGTCTTCTTCCTCGTCGGCTTCCTCAGCGGCATCTACAAAAAAACTGGTTAGCCCTTTAACCCGTCCTCTCCCAAAGACGTATGAAGGTGGGGAGGGAGGGGAAAAGTGTACCCTCCATTACGATCTCGCCCTCGGCCTCCATCTTCCTCCTGATGGCATGCGCAATCTTCTTCTCGAGCTTCTTGGCCTTCTTCTTGCTCAGAGGCGCATTGGGTCCGCTGGTGGGCAACAGGCCGGGGCGCGCGCCGCGCATGGTGTCGACCTTTGCAATCTTGTGCTTGTTCTCCTCCGACTTCTTCTGGCGCACCTTCTTGGCCTTGCTGGCCTGTGCCGCCAGGCGGTTCTTGCAACGGTGGTTGGGGGTCTTGACGGACGGCATGGTGGCGGTGATCGATCGGGCGACGGAGGTTGAAATGAATGCGTGTCGAGGTGGAAGAAGAGAAGGGGATCGATCGTAGGAAAAGGAATAGGATGGCAAAATCGGCTCTAAATCTCAGAGCGACATTCTGGGATTTTTTTTTAGTGGAGCACCAGGTGGGATGCGCCGCCCGGGGGTCCAGATCTGCCCCGCACCGCAGGTCGGCCCCACATTCAAAGCTCTCACACACCGACCAATATGTGTGTTTCCCCTACACCGAGGCGAGGCATGGGCAGCTCGACTAAGAGACGGGACACGACAGGGAATCACAGGGGAATCACCACGAGTCAATTTTAGATTCTGAATTTCATCCCTTGTGCCTAGTTTGAACTTTCCTATTATTGCTACTTCTACCCAACATGAAAATTTGGCTGTCCGATAGAGTTCGTGTCGTAGTAAGCAGATAAGATCTCAGCAAAACAAGGCTTCACTCCATAGCCCCAAAAAACCAGGAAGATTCTTGTCCGTTTAGACGCTTTCCAATCCATTAAAAAGTATGCGGCAACCGGATCCAAACGCCAACCCCGAATGCATAATGCCGACCCTGTCTATCTATCTCACTGCCGCCGAGCTTCGTTTTTTATGCTCTCTCTCACCGCGCCACCCGATCGCTGTTCTTTCCAACCGTACTGGGGCTGCCCAAAGCTTGCTCGTCATCAGTGTCGTCCCGCAGGGGCTTGCGCGTGTCGTCCTCGTCATCACTCATCAGACCCTCCAGCTCAAACTCTTCGGCATCCCGCACCTGCACGCGGCCATTTGCCACCGGTGCCCCGTTGGACAGATTAACTTTGCCGTCGACATTGGTGTTGCGGTCGAAGAGGTGGATAAGCATGTTGGTGAAGAGGAACACGAGAAAGGCGAAGGAGTAGAGAATGAGAATGTACGAGACGTGATCGAGACCAGAGTTGGCAACAAGGTGCATCTGCTCTTCGGTGGCACCCATAAAGAGGAACCCAGAGGCGTAAAGAAGCTAAAAAGGATTAGAGTCGGAAACATGATTAAAAGTTGGCTAAAACTTACGAAGACGGGAATGTACTGGAAGCTGTTGGTCTTGCGTCCATCCTCAGACATACCGGGGGCGTCCTTAACCACAAATGCAACCTCAATAATTCTCGTCAGACCGGCAGCCATCAGGGTCTTGCCGAACATGGCGTGGGTCATGGCACTGATGGGCAGGTCCTGGGGATGCGCAGACATGGCCCAACCGGTGATGAAGATGACAAAACCGGGGATGAAGTTGCGCTGGGGGTTTCCGTCACGGTCGCGGCTGAGCCAGACTCCAGCCAGACCAGCGCACCACCAAATGATGCCCATAGTAGTGTGTTGCCAGTCGTTCCTGACCCATTCGCTGCCCCAGCGGTGCTCGGTAAAGGTGTTAACGCAACCCCACGCCGCAATGACGATGCTGTCGAAGAACTCCTGGGATCGACCAGAGCGTCGGAGCCACACCTGGCCAACGAGGAGCAGCAGAGTCAGAATGATGCCGTACGCAATGAAGGCGCTACCCATAATGAAATGGGCCAGGCACTGGCCAAGGTGGTCAGCCTGGCAGAAACCCAGCGAGGTGATGCCACCGAAGAGGAACTGAGTCCAACCCAAGACGGGAAAAGCCTTGCCGAGGACGCCGTGGATAGGCTTGATGACTCTGCGGATCTTGCCATTGATGCCCTTCTCGAGGTGCAATTTCAAATAGATGCCAACAACGACCTGGATAATGAGGAGGAACATCAACCAGCCCGCGAAGCCAGAGTGAACATTATTGTGGACGAACTGTCGGCCGCTGTGCATGTGGCCTAGGAAGTAGCCGAGAATGGCGAGGGCGGTACCCAGGACTTGGGTAGGAACATGCCAGCGGTTCTTGGTGATCTACAAACCAACAAAAAAAAAGAGGCATCTTGTTAGCAGATGTTCGAGGCATTATCGAGAACCGTACTGAATTGGAAAGGGTTCGCCACTCACTCCGAGAACCATGCCAACGGGGAAGATGACCCCAAAGGCCAGCATCATGATGAAGATGTGTATCCATAGTATAGTATCCTGTTCGAAGCGCAGTCAGCTTTCCGTATCCATAGGCAAGACTGCCATCGCGGTCGGCTGGCATGACAAGAGGTTGTCAAGAAGAACGGCATCGCTTACAATGGGCTCCTGGGAGACCGTCTCGCCCTCCTGGATGTGGCTGACGCCGTGTTCGTGACCGAGAGCCATGGGGAGAGATGTGAGGATGAATGAGGCTGCGAGAAGAGAAGATGGGATTTTGGACGGCGACAAGGCCGTAGAAAACGTGTCTCGCGCCATGACGGGCTGTTTCGAAAAGTACGACGCTCCCCTGTGCACTTGGAGACTGCTGGAGCCAGACGTGTCACAGACTTGAGCCTGGGGGGCGGGGCGACGTCACGGCGTCGCAACGCAATTGGCGAGGTTCGGACGAGGACTGACGAGAAGGGGTGGTGTCTAGGCGGTCGTCTCGACTCTGCGATCAGGCCAGGTCTGGTCTTGGTATGGTACGGCGGGTGAGATACGGTTACAGTACCGTGGTTTGGGTACGTAACGTAAAGGCGAGAAAAGAAGAAGCGCTTGGGAGGCGAGTAGAGCAAGCGAATGCCTACGTGGGGACCCTCGGTCGCGACGGCAAGGGGGGGTCTGAGGGTTGGCTTGGGTTCGGTCCGCAATCTTTGGACGGGGGGTGGGTAACGGGGGGGCTGCCTCTCGGGTCGGACAAGATGGATATCGATATGCGACGGAGGAGTGAAGAAGAGATGGGGAGGGAGGAAGAAAAAAAACAATAAGAAAATGACAGAAATCGAGAGTGAGGCTCAAAGGAGACGGGGAGGAAAGGAGAAAGAGTAAAAACCTATAATACGCCGGCCGGCCAGAAAACGAACGTGGCCTCGCTGGCGACTCCCCCGGAGACTTCGGTAGCAGCCATATTGCTAGTGGGACATCTTGAGGTATCTCCCATAGGAGTTTGGGTGACGAGATACATTACCGTTGGAAAGTGCCCGCAAATGACCGTCGTGATGTGGAAAGAACGGGATCGCTGGGAAGGGGGGCACTGACTCTGCTGGAGTGCATTACTACGTAGCACGAAAGAGCGGAGGTATCGTTCCCTCCAGATTTAGCAGGGGCGGTACGAGATTGACGAATTGTCCTTACTAACTTTTGGGAGTAGCAGCACCTGCATTGCATTGCACCTTCCACTGTTTCTATCTGCACAGGTACCTGCACCTGCATGCTTATCCTGCTTGCTTACTTTGTCTTAATAAATGTGTGCTAATTGCTTCCTGCCTTCCCTGCTTGCTTCTGGTGCTTCCTTTCCACCTTCCCTCCCATTCCCTCCCAGGCCTCCTTCCCACTAGGCCACCTTCCAATCAAAACCCCCACTGTCGCCCCCCCAATTCGGCAACTCCCCCCAGAGAAAGTCCATGCAAACCGGCAGGCTCGGTACGTATCCTTGCTCAAGTTGCCTTCCCATCATGGCAAAACTGCATTGAGTCTATTTTCATTGGCTGGAGGCCGTAAATTCCGTTACCGTTAAAGTGGGTTGCTCAGTAATGCCACGATTTGCCCAGTTGGCGCCCAGCGGAAAACGCAGTTATTTACCCGTTTCTCTAATTAAGCCCAATTCGACCCTCGCGTCAGGAGTCTCGTCCAAGAAATAAATAAAAACACCGCCTCAATGCCAACAATTCCCTTCGACCCCTGCCAAGAGCTCTCATTATACTTTTTATATATGGCTTTCATTTTGCAAACTTAAATCAGACAAGTCTTGGTGCTAAGGTACTGCCAGCTCTGCCTCCCTTTCGAAGTCTGCCAATACTCTTAATAATTCCGACCCGTCCTTGGTGGCAACCCAAGCAGCCCAGAGCTCAATAAAAGACTCGCGTCTTGCCTCAAGCAAGCCGAGTTTGGCTTGCACCGCTTGCTATGACTTGGAAGCAAGGGCAACAGCCGCTCGGTGAGAGACGCGCTTCAATGGTGGTGATACCTGAGTGTTTGCATAAAACCACAGAGCTTGCGCCTACTAACCGCATTACGACTGACGGATATCTTGGTCAACCCCCTTAAAACTTTGATGCGCATTCTGCTTTCACGCCATCAAGGTGGCTGTCTAGGGTCTAGGGTGGTACTGAGCATCGGGAACCGCCAGGAAAATGATGAACCACTCGTGGCATATTCAAAGCATACTCATCTGAAGTTGATGCACGATCTTCGAGCGGGCATGGCAGTTGAGTTGAAACGCCATGAACTACCGAGATACTCACTTACCCATGATCGTTCGTGAACGGTCGTACGTGCTATCAATGCCGCCTCAGATATGAAAACTCTACAATGAAAGAGCCTACCCGGATCACGAGCGGTTCCCACTGTGAGAAACCCTAATTCACTTGATGTTGGCCAAGCAGACATGGCAATGAACTGTTGGCCCTGCGCCGTCGACTCAGTTCATTTCATGAGTTTGGTGTTGGGCCAGAGAAGTTCATTCGTTGCCCGGTATGGCTTTAATGGTACGAAGGTCACGGGCTTCGTGGCTTCGATCCAGGAAACGATAGAGTTCCATCATGTCGGTCAGAGCTGCTGTGAAGCCACATCGCGACCATTGCACTGTCGACTTCATCATGAGTGATTAATTCCCTGCGTCATCGCCCGCCTCTGCCACCGCCTGCCTTCACCAGAAGAATGCTGAAGCGCATTGTTATATGAAAACAAAGTCAGTCGGAGCACATGAGTAAACATCCAGGCCTGCCGCTCCCACCAAGTGTCGGACCCAGATCATCAAACCACTAAACGTGACTGAGAAAGCGCATGTGACAGTCGGTTACCATCAAGCCTCAGGGCGCAAGGGCGCACACTTACGTAGTGTCTCTTATGAACTGCTCGCCTCAACCTCCTAGCCTCCGAATTGGCGTAAACGGCGGAGCGCCCCGGTGTCGAGTGACGAGACCTCGCCAGCCGGCCACGGAGTCATCCATCCAACCAACATGGCCGAACTCGCCGAAACCGCCTAGCGCGGGGGGTTGCCAGACGAGTCTTGCAGCTGCCGCCATGCGCCTCTCGTCTACCCGCGTCCGTCGCATGCCTCGGCATAAAGAACTCGATCACTAAACGGTTCACACACGCTACTCCCACGATGGCCGATCTCATTAAAAATCACGAGGGATGGCACACCGCACATCTTTTTTATGTGTTTCAGCTTCTCTCATTACTCATTTGTCTCACTACGGGTATGTTAAATCAGTCGTTGCCCCCTCAGAACTCTTTCAAAAAAATCCTCAACGTGCTCCCGGTTCCCTCTCATTATTGATATTCATAACATCCTCCTCCCCCCTGTCATTCCCCTAGTAGGTGTACCGGAAACCGGGCTGGGCACCCTCCTGATTATTTCAGTCAGTATTTGCTTCGGATATCATATCGGGACTTCATAACGGGGAAAAACTTACATCTGACGCCTCAAGCTCCTTCTCACCTCTATCCGCCTTGCCGTTCTGACGGCGGAAGTCGAGGCTCAACAGACCGACGAGAATGACGGTCAAGATGCTGCAGGCAATACAAGCGTACATGCCCGGGCGGTAGTGCGGCTTATCCTGCTCGCGGAAGAGCAAGCTGCCCGCAATACCACCGATACCGCCGAACGAGACGAGGGTCGCACTGCAGAACGCGCGCTTCCACTGTCCACGGATGTTGTTGGCCTGGTACGCCATGACGGCAGGAATGTTCGAGTTGGCGCCGGCGGTCGTGAGGAAGACGCCAAAGTAGCGGGCGCCGGTGCTGTTGGCGAAGCCCATAATTGGCAGGCCAACGATGCAGAAGACCATGTTGATAAGAATGACGGGGCCGCGGAACTTGTACTTGTCGCCGAGCCAGGCGGTTCCGAACATGATGATACCGGCGAATGCGTACGGGGGAGCGACTGTGTGAGGCTTGTTAGCTTCCTTCCTCACCAAACCAAACAATTTGGTTTTGGTAATATGAGACTTACCAAGGCATTGAGCGGCACCGACGTCGAAACCCATGTTGACCTGGAGGATGATGGGGAGGAAGTAGGCCAGGGCGTACGAGACGGTGGTGGTGTTGAAGAAAATCATGGCGTACGCCCAAATCTTCCAGTCAAGACCAGCGCTGAGGAACCTCCTGAGGTTGAAGGCGGGCATGTGAGCATCGCCACGGTCACGGTTTACGCGGGCAACAACCCAAGCACGCTCGCGCTCGCCAAGGAAGCTCCATGACTTGCGGCTGGAGTCGGGGAAGTCGACAAGGAGCCAGTATCCTGCAATACCGAGGGCGCAGGTCAGGACTCCCTCAATGATGAAGATCCAGCGCCAGCCGGTGAGACCCTCGCGGCCGTTGAGCTGCATGAGACCGTAGGCGAGAATACCAGCGAATGCAGAAGCAACGCAGCCGAGGAGGTAGAAGACGGAGTATCGCTTTCCGACCTCATCTGATTTTTTTTTTGGTCAGCTCAGCAACACGACATTTAAGGGGGAGGATTTTTTTTCAGGGACGACTCACATCTGGTGTACCACGTGCTAAGAAGGTAGACACAGCTGGGGAAGAAACCGGCCTCGAGGACACCGAGCAGAATTCTGCACGCATACAGGTGGGTGTAGTTTCGTGCGAAGCCCATACCAATCATAACAGCACCCCAAAGCGTAGTTAGACCGCCGAGATGAATACGGGGACCAATCTTACGGACGATGATGGTCGAGGGCGGCTGGAAGATGATGTACGGAATGAAGAAGAGGAGCGAGGCAATGTTCTGTTTCAGTCAACCCGTCAGCAACTTCCACGCCAATCAGCTCATCCCCCCTCCCGACTCACAACGTTGACTTACATATCTGTTGTTGAGGAAAAGTTGCAACTCCTTGGTCATGCCCGCAATGGCCGCGGCAGACAAGTTCGTTCGGTCCATCAGCGAGACACAGTACATGGCGCCAACGGTGACGACGAGACGACGATCGACACGACGGATGATGGCGCGCTGCTCCTCCTTTGTGAAGCCTCCGTCAATGTCGACATCTTGCGAGCCGGTGATGGAGTTGGACCTGACTGTGTCGTCGGCGTGCTCGAAGCCCGCCTTTTCGGGATCCGAAGCGTGATGGCTCATCTTGACAGCTGATTGTCGTATGTTTTCTCACTCAAAAGTCCGACTGGCTGAGTTGAGAGTTGCGGGTGCTTGCAAGGGAGAGAAAAAGGCCTGGGAATCGCAGTCTCAAATACTGTCGAACGAACAAAGAATCGCAGGAAGATAGCTGCAACTACGTGCGTCACCTTTTTTTCCTGGGCGGTCAAGGGGGGTGTGATCGCTCAGAATAAAAGGGCTAGACCTGGGTGATGCGGGTCGCGTAACACGAGACCTGAACCCAGCTGGGCTGTCTGTTTGGTTTTGTATTGGAGCTGTGGGAAGGGGATATCCGTGTTTCGAAGACGGAAGCCAGGGAAAAAAAAAAGGTTTATCAAACCCTAAAAAAGAAGCCGAAGTCTTGGGAAACTGATACGAAGACAACAGAGAGAGGGAGGTAGTATCGGACGACACGACGTTTGTTAAAGATATATACTCCTCTTTTTGTAGGCCCCTCATCCCGTTTACCCCAGTTTCCCCCCAGGTCAAAGTCACACCCCCGACCTCCCTTCCGAAGCTAACGAGAGTCGCACGAAACCATCCAAATCGTTGGCGTCCCTTGTTTTCCTCCTTTCCCCAGAAAAAAACCAAAAAAGAGGACACACACCCGATGCCAGGCGCGAGGGACAAGACATGGACACAAGACCGTCGCCGCCCCAAAATCCTCCCCGCCTTCGTCCGGGGGGGTCTACACTAGAAGGGAGGGGGGAACCACCTTGAATGCTGCCTCTAGGGCATGTCATTGCTGCGGGGGGACCAATCAAACCCAAAACACGACGAGAAGATACCGAGGGTGGCGGTCACATCCAAGATGGGAGCCTGTCACGATGTACGGCGAGGCGTGGGCGCATTAGAGATGATGTGGAAAGGGAAGAAGGATGGCATGCGGCTGCATACAGCTGCCCAGAGACATTCAGGGCCCAGAGAGACAGCAAGACACGCGCAGGATTTCACTCAGCAAAAAAGACACCGCCGCCCACGTTCCCCGGACTTTTCAATTGGCAATCTCCCACCCCTTCCCATGGGCCCATGTTCAGCTCCATCTCGTGCGGTTGGCAGTTGGCAGCCCCATGTTCCCGGACCACCCAGAAACGAACACAGACCAGCGTCAAATCCGGGGTACGAAAGAAAGTGGGTTCGTCCCGACCACTCACTGCGGGGTAGAAGACAATTCGGGATGGGGATAGGGTGTGTGTGTGTGTGTGTGTGTGGTGGAGATGGGATAGCTTGCAGCCGCCGCTCTCCCCTATTTTTTTCCCCCGCCCGCTGACAACCGCAGCTTTCTCCGTATCAAGTGTGTTTGGCGAAAGAGGAATCTCAAAGGAAAAGGTGGGCGGATCAGAGAACAGACAATCGAAAAGCCGGGGTAACGGGACCTACTAACAGCCAAAAGGGGTTCGACTGATCCGAGTGAAATGTCTTGGTTCGGCCGGTCGCCTCGGTACTTTACGCCGGAACGGCTTGGCGAGTTGCGATTGGCCGGCCGGCCGGTTCATTGCCCATTTCGGTATTAGACGCGAAGCTGAGACTAAGGCATGCAAGTCCACGCGATGAAGGCCTGAGAAACGTACCGTACTACGTACTACGGCACCTAACATTCTTCTGTCTTTGCCTGCTTCTACAGCATTGAGGGGGGGGCAGGGCAGAGGGGCAAGCAAGAATGATCGACAAAGCGGGCGGCAGGGCAGGGCACTTGAATGAGAGGGCCACCCAGGGATGGAAGCGCAACACATAATACTCACGCACACACCAGGTAATGATTCACCTACGCCCTCCATGTGATGACAAAACGTGTGAACATCTCTTTGCAGTGGTGACATAACATGTGGAGAGCGAGATGCGTAAGAATGGATCTCTAATCCGAACTGCAAGCTTGGGTAATGCCCCATCAGTCATTCTCTTGACTACCACCTTTTTGTTCTTTTACCTGTCCCTTTTTCTACATGATAGATCGGCAGCGTCTAGGCTGGAATGCTGAAGAAGAACAGTACACCAAAACAATGGGACGGAGTCATGACTGGTGTGTGCGCACTACAACTGGATTCCGCTTCGATCCCCGAGACTAGCCTGTCCGTCAACACTCTCTTCGGGTCTTCAACACTGTTTTGATTCAAGCCCCAAAAACCAACCCGGATAGCTAGTAACAAGACCTCATTAAACCAGTGTCATCCATCAAGAACCCTCGCCTGTCACCGGCGCCAAGATAGCTCCATTGATCTTGGCGTACCCAAGTGTAACCCTCTTTCCGCGCAGGCCGGTCGCCAACAAATCGTCGAATGCATCAAAATGACATGTCGCCGGGGGAGAAGTAATGGCCCATTCCCGACGCAGCGGTCATCGCTTGTGATGTCTCATCCCCCTGATGTAGTAGTCCCTTACCGCCAATCATCACGGAGGAGGCGAAAAAAAATAGAGTCAGAAAATAAAAGAAACACACCAAAAAAAAAAAAAAAAAAAAAAAAAAAGACATCTACATTTCCACTACCATGCCCTTGGCTCAGACATCGCGGTCCAGCCTCCCTTGCGTTGGCACGTTGACAGATTCAGGCCTAGACACAACTTTCTCGCTGCCAGTCTCTTTTTGCGCCTCACATACCACGGCGTATGCAACCATCAATCAAACCGCCGTCATGATTGGCAACGCTCCGCCGCGCATTTCAGATCATGCACCCTTTTTTCTTCCCTCCCTCCCTCCAGGTTTACGAGGATGCATACACACCACCCTCCATCACCAAACAGCCGCCGTCCATCCATTAAAGATCCGACCCAGAGTTGGTGCACGTACATGTGTGATGATCAAAGTCATTCATACCACCAACCAGCCATCCTTACTCCCCTCCCCCCCTCGTCGAACCTCGGTAACGTCGACCATTCTGCGGTATACGATTGGACGATGATCCCATTCTCTGTGTCCGATTGAACGCTGCTTGAAGCTAATTTCAACGACACGAACTCCAATAACTAGAGATGCTCTCGCCCGCCGTGCCGCGCCGTCGGGTCTTGGTAGTGTGTTTTGCTTCCCACCATCTCCTGGCCACGACTACGTGAGCACTCGCAAACCACGCCCAAAACGTACAGCTCGCGTCCAGCCCCCCCGTTGTGATCCTTCGACTTCTTTTCAGGAGAGCCTCTCTGTCGCTGACTGCGTACTCACCGCACGCTGGCGCTTCAGGCCAGGTCCCCAAAAGATAGGGCTGCATGCTTGCGCCGCGCGATGGCCCTGAGAAAAAAAAGCAGGGGGGGAATGACTGAGGCAGCCGAGGAAGGATCATTATATTAAGTGTACGTACCTATTGTATTCAAACCGACGAACCAGAGGTCAAGAAGTGACCGAGCATCCTCGGTTACTCGGAATGGCTTCATTTTGAGGGTTTCGAAGAGCGCCGTTGGTCGTTTGGAGTCCATTGCTTCGTAGTTTCGATTTCTCAGGAAAAAGTCGACTATCGTAAACTATCCCAGACGCTAAAGTGTTGCGGGAAAAAAGCTTTCGAATCTGTTTATTGCAGCAAAAGCTAACGCCTGTAGGCGAGGACATGACCTTGCTTCTGGACACGTTCCCGAAATGACAACTATAAGCTTTGCTAGCACCTTGGAGACTATCCCACGCCACCGAAACTATCGTCTTTCTTTATCAACGTTACGAATAAACGGCTAGTCAAAGTGGCTAAGGTTACCGGTGGGTCACAAGGTTGAGTTTAATAGAGTGAGTTAAACAATATCAAATACTCTGGTGGCTAACCTTGGATCATGGGTACGATAGGGCGCTTGCACCGGACAGAAATCTCGAATTCGCCCATCACAGACATGGTACTTGTGTTATCGATTCATTGCTCGCCTGAAAGTTGCAACCCTTTTCATCTATCGAGTTCACTTTGAGCCATCTACAATATGTGCTCCGCGTGCCGAACCTGGCTCTCAGATCTCCTGAAATAACCTGTCCAGATCAGGCCTCTAGCTACATTACAGGTGCCTAATTTGGCCTTTCAGTCTTAGCCGACTCCTACTATTTTAACCATCATATAACGAAAAGCTCAAACGCCGAGCTACTTATCTTCATACTCAACGAACGATGGTGTGCCAAACAACTCGGCAGATATCTACAACAACCCACATTCTACCAAGCCTGAACGAGACACTCTTGAATAATAATGTACAACAAAGATCCAACTCCTTCACCTTGCGCAGCAGGTCTTTTGGGCATCTGATATTGCAATACAGGGAGCACATGTTTTCCTCCTCTTCTTGAAATGGGTGACTGCCTGGAAGTTTGAGACTGTCTTCGAATGTAACAGTTCTCAGCGATCGGGAGTTGCTACAAACATTCTTTACGTTCGGCACATTTCACTGGCTCCCTCAGTGCCGTAGCAGCTCGGCGTTCTCCCCCATATCTTTTTACTAGTCAAAGTCTTGGGACCATCAGCCACAAGTCTGCCTGACAACCGTTGTGGCGGCGCAAGACTCAGGAAGCTAATTGTACAAGTGTCTACGTTGAAGAGATACTAAAAGCTCCCCTCAAGATCCGGGCGGCATCCACAAGGCGTCGCCCTTCTCTATTGCATAATTTGACATCGTCCCGTAAACACTCTCTGAAAGTCGGAGCGAGTTGCTTGGCAAGAGTGTCTTTAACTGCTGTGTGCTCCAGCAGGTGAACCAGATTTCAGCGATGCGAGATGGTGATTGATGCAGTTTCGATGTACTTGTTTGGTATAATACTGGACAATGCACAGGTCTGAAGCCTGGCGGTATTGCCTTCACTGTGACACGTTTGACTACCTATGTCGTCTTCTTTCGACTCCCCTAATTACTCTCTTCAGTTGCTCTACTCTTAACTTTCGCAGATCTGATATTCATTTTTAGGCTGGTACCCCTTACAAGACTGCGGCTATTTAGCCTCCGGTTGACCATTCGACTCCACAGCACGGGGTTCATCGCTCCCAAGTTCCACCCAAGGCTGATTAGCTTCAAGCTCAGAATGAGCCCCTCCACCACCCAACTCAGCTCTGGGTGCTTCTTCAATATGAGTTTGGCTCTTCTCCTCCTTGAACGTCACATCAACACCCTCTTGACCCATCGGCTGCCCGCCATCCAACTCCGCTATATGGTCCGGGTTGCTTTCAGATACAACAACCGTCTTCTTCTCAGCCACCACACCTTGCCCATCCAACTCTGGCTTCAGGTACTGCCCACCACCTTCGCCATCTGTAACGGTAGCAGCATCTAGTTTCTTCTGCTTCCGTCTTCTCCACCAAACAAAACACAATAATCCGACGAGTCCTAGAAAAACGACGACCCCTACGACAGCAAGCCCGGCTTTGACGGCTGGAGAAATACCACCAGAGTCGGCACCAGACGATGCCGCAGATGTTTCTGAAGGTACGCCGCCTGTTATTGAAACTCCCGGCATTGTTGCAACCGTTACCGTGGCACCTGCACCAGTGGCGCAACAAGCCGTCTTTGCCGTCCCTGACTCTGTAGGGTTGACGGATGGCATTACCGTGAAAGTGTTGCTCTTGCCCGTGGAAGCACTGTTGCCGTTTGTTGCCTCCCGAATCGCAACCACGACGAACTGCTGAGCGTTGTCCGCGGCGGTAATATCTCTGGGGACATTCCCATAACAGGCGATGAGCGTGTTATTGCAAACATCCTCCCGGCTCCTCCACAACCAGTCAGCGCCGTGACCTCCATAGGTGAAGTTCTTCGCTAAAAACGAATTGACGTGTCAGTCGGGCCCAGGAACGCCATCTTCCGGCAGAAAATGACAGACTAACAGCAAACGTTACTTCTGTAGGCTTTTGTGCCCTGTTTGGTCTTTTCCTCGTACTGGGCGTCTTGAAGCCAAATATTCCACAATGCTGTGGTTGAATTGGTGTAATTGTCCGACTTTCCTGCGTACAAGCTAACGGGTAACTGATCTCCCAGGTAGTATTTGTCGTCCTTTTCCGGCCAAAAGACCTCGCCGCTTAGATCTATTCCTTTACAATCGTCCAGCAAGCGGCGAAACAGGGCCTGGAAAAACCACATCGTCAAGCAGTCAAATCAGTCAGTAGATGCTGGCAATCGTGAGGTGATTTGACGTCCAGGAATAAATAGGTATTCAGGTTTGTTTCAGAGAGTATTTAATATTGGGGCGGCAGAGACTTGGCTTTTCTTATGTATACAAAGGCAGACTAGGTGTAGAAAGGTGAAAGCCATCTTACCTTCAGCCGCACATTAGCCTGAGTCTAGATCTTCAGCCATTTCCAGCGGTACACATGCCACATTTCATTTGCCACAGCGGAGCTTCAAGGAAGGTTTATTGTGATGTGTTTAAGTAAATCAAATACTATCTCTCCCAAATCGCTATATGACCTTGGTATTGCTGTAATGTATGGTTTGACGTGCTACCCGTTTCTGATCCCTCTCTCACGAAATACTACGCAGTATTATACCAGGCTTGTTTTACATTACCCCAAATAACTCCACGTAAGTCCGAAACAAGCTCATCCCTTTGGTTAGCATTCCCCGAATTAGCCAGTCATTTTAGCAGTTCCAATCTTCAAAAGGAGTAGCCACAAGCCTCTTCCCACCCGTTTTCCATTTTCGCGCGACCTATAAACTAAAAGAGGCTAGTCTGAAAGCAAATGGTGTTTCTGAGTCAAAAGAGCTTTCTAGCCACAGGTCTCAAGGCTGAGTGGCAGTGGCAGACTGTTTGCGGACATGGCCTTGTGAAACTCCAGTTTCTTTGTTATCGTTAGAAAATAATATCTCTGATAATACCATATGTAAGATCAAATCCATGCTTTAGAGCTGCGTCTTTCAGTCGACAGAGATACTATTGCATGATTACGTGCCTGGGCTGCGACTTACATGCTTGTTACGTTGCTTGAATATTGAAAAAGCTTTCAAGTTCTTCATGTAAGCATATGAGGTTCAATTAGACCGATTTGTCACATATCAAACTGGCAACTCTCTAACGGTACCTTGCCATCTGTATCTTCTGTCGGCGTCACCTTCTACCTCAGAGCGGAGCTATTTCACCGTGCCCCTTGACCCTTTCGCTCTAGTTGTAATACAATGAGAAGAAGAGCAGTGATCAGCACTTTAGATGACTCCAAGTAATCCAATATTGTGTAACGCGTACTGTTGACAATGAAAAATCTCCTGAAAACAGTTTCAGTCTTATCAACTTGGTCGATTTATCATCTTGAACCCTTTCGTGACAAGCTGAGGTAGCCAAAACGTTGACATATTGCCAAAGAAACCCCTTCATAACCCAATAGTAGCCTTTGAGGGCATTTCAGATTTTTTATTACTCTCACATACGAACTTATCATAATAGTCGAGTAGGAATTTTTGACTGGTTGTTCAGCAGTCCGGTATCGTCGAAATACAACGCCGATCTTCTTTTCTATCAGATTGTGCGATTTATAACCTTAACCTTTGTACTCAACCTCCGCATGTTGACTCAAATCGTTTCGAGAAAATAGGTCGAAGCCACGACTTTGACTTCCTATACCAGACAACTATTCACCTCGTCAAATGCACCAAGGTGGGCCTGGTAATTGCTGCCTGCTGTGATAATTGGCTGAGTCAGCGCGACTAACACCTGTTGAGCGTTTATTCGATTTTTGTCTCCCATTGAAATCATCCGGAGAGCAGTACTCACTTACCTTGTGCCCAACGGCAACAAGTTCAAGCAGAGCGGAGTATTAGCACAAGCTTAACTAACCACCGCCATGGAACCACAGACACCCCAGTCGCCTCTCCAGAGACTTCCTTTGCACCTCGTTGCCAATATCCTTGTTCAGCTAGACACGATACAACAACTTGGCCTCTTGGTACTACACCATCGTGTGTTCTACGACGCGCTCACGGACAGCACCCAGACCGTTGCCGGCAGCATCATCACAAGACAGGCCCCGCAGAACGCACTCCCTTTTGCCATCGCATTAGTCGAGTCGACACGAATTGACCCTAGTGACCACGATGCTGTTCGAGAACTCTTGGCACGTCTCGAGGCTGATATTCTCAAGTATCACTCGACAGGTGTTATTTTGTCTGCCAGCCACTATACCATTTCCGAGTTCGCCTATCTAAGCCGCAACCTCTCAGCTTTGGGGATTCTGAGAAATGACATGATCGCCGAAGCACTTCCAATCTTCAACCGCAGGTTCGACGTAGAGCACTCATCAAGCACCACAGAGCAAGAGGATTTCCGGATCAACAGAGCTTTCCTCCGTTATCAGCTCATGTGCAACCTGTTTTGCCTCCCGAGTACAGTTGGCGGGCCGCTAGCAAAAGCGGAGCGGACGCAATTCTTCTTCTCAAAGTATTCCCCTTGGGTCAACACGCAAATGCTCTGCGTATACGCCTACATTGAACGGAAAGTGAGCGAGGGTAAGTAATTTCCCACTTTCTGGCGATATCCTGGACACCATGCTCAAGCCGTACTCAGCATTTGACGACGTTGCCGCTCACAACGTGGAACACGGCGCAATGCGCATACCATGGCAGCGCCACGCGGCCGTCAATCGTCAAATCCAGTGGCATGTAAAGGGATTCCCACTGAACTAGAATCGAGGACGTTGTCAAGCCGCTGACGATAAAATAGGCCTCCCGCGGGCTTCCCTTCTTGGCGTCCATTCTCAGTGCCAAGACGTACGAAGAAAGACTCGAAATCATGCCTATATTCCCGAAAAAGAATCGATTCAGAAAGCTCGACCCCGTCAACCAGCTGATGCTCATGGTGCCGGAGGATGGCCTCAGCAAACCTCTCAGTGTGACTGACCCGTGGCTCGAGTTGGGGTCCTGCTCAGCGGCGATGCTTCACAAATTGGCCGGGCCGCTGGACGGCGAGCAAGACGCGCCCGGCTCAACACCCTACAACTTATGGGTCGACGGGCATAGCCACATCTGGGTTGCCAGACACGCTCTGTTTCCGCAAGAGCGGCACAACATGGACTCAGCGTACGTCATGTGGGACTTGGACGCGCCGGCGTCTGACCTCGAGGGGAAATGCCATGAGGCGTATGGAAGGGTGGCCTCCTACAAACGTGCCAGTACGAAGTGGACAGAGTCCGAATTGACTCGCTCCGAGAAGCAGAGGTCCTACATTTACGACTGCGGAGGAAGAGGGTATTGGCCGCGACGGCAGTCGCAAGAAGAAGAGTTTGACTTTGGCAGGATTTATGGGCTTTCAGACCAGCAGAAGGAGGACCTCGTTGCGAAATTCCGAATGGAAATTGAGATGGGTATTGATGACAGATGGTATTAAGGACGCGATGGCTCATTGTTGCCCGAGACTTGACAGCTCCACTCTGCGGACAAGAGACGCTTTTCATTGTTAGGTATACAGTTGTAAGACGCCTCTACGCGGCCCTTTTCATTATGCTTCCTTCTTTGGTACTGCAACATCCTATTAGTATTATTCTAGTGAATCTGTTAGATCATTCGTCGTATACATGCTTCAGCAGGACTAACCAGTTTTCTACATAATGCTAGAGGGATCTTCGAGGTGGCGTACCAATGCTCACCGTTAGTTATGCATGCCACACGCAGCACACGGGACAACAACGTAAACCTCGTCCGCTGTACGACGCTTGTGTGATTGTGGTGATATCATAATGTTTCTAGTCATCTTGGCCTGTGGAGGTCGACTCGAGACTAGGAAGCTCAGACCAAAAGATTCCCAAGGGCACAACAGATCACGCCGAGGAACTAGCAATTAACTTTCCAGTGGCAGTGCGCCTGTCGCGTCTTGGAATATGAGGGACTTGGGCAAGGGGCGACATGAAAAGAAAAAAAGTGTCAATGGAAACCCAAAGCGGCCCAGACGCGCCAAGCATTCACCGTATACGCCAAGTATCTTGTCAGAATGCCCTGAGCCTAGGCAAGTAAGTATCGCCCAAACCATAACCAGTCGAGGCAGTGTCAACTACACAAGGGAAAGTCGCCTAGATGCCAAGCTGGATACCGAGATGAAGGTGAAGCACTACCACCGCCAAGACATCACACACACATTCACCGCCTATAGACAATGTTGCAACAGCTAGGTTGAACAAAGAAAAAAACTTCTATTCATCGGAACCAAAAAGACACCTAGAAACAATACAACCTCTTTTCGCGAGGTCAAAGTCATGAAGCAGAATATAGCTGCTGCCAGCGAGGACCCAACGCCATTTGATGACAAACACAAAAGAGCCTCTCATGCCATAAAAAAAAGTAGAATCCTGTCGAGCCGTGACTATATTAAACGAGGTACAACTGATGTACCTGATTGGATATCCTACACGCTCGCAAAAAAATGCTAATCGCCCTCTCCTTGGGCGGCCCCAGTCTCATCCTCCTCCTATCATGTAGTTGGCGTCGTTTACAAAGCGACCATGGCGGCACCGACGGCACCAGCGGCGACAAGGTAGGCGCCGATAGCGAAGCTACCGAAGGTGAAGAGGGGCTGGAACTGAGCACCAGCAGCGGCGTTGCCAGAAGCGCTGGAGCTGGGCTTGGAGGTGGAGTCGGGGGCAGAGGTGGCAGTGGCAGCAACGGAGTTCTGGGCGTCGGCGGAGGCGAGAGCAGACTTGCAAGAGCTGTCGGCGCTGGAGGGAGTACCAACCTGGGCCTGACCGTCAAAGTCGCAAGCAGTGCTGGCCTGCTTCTGGTTCTTGTAGTAGGCGTCGAGGACGAAGGCAAGCTTCTGCTCGTCATCGCACATGCTGTAGGCACCGTAGACACCGGTGGTGGTGTTGGCGCTGATGCCAGAGCAGGCGGCGGGGTCGGCACCGCAGATGAAGCCGAACATCTCACCAATGGCGGTAGCCTTCAGGCCAGACTTGGGAGTGCAAGAAAGGCTCTTGACCATGCACTCGCAGAGAGACTTGTTGGGGGTGGGGGGAAGGGACTTGCCGCTGACCTCCCAGCTGTCAGAGGTACCAGGGCACTCAGCAGGCTTGTTGGTGGGGTTGTACGAGTCCATCTGAACAGCGGTGGGGGTGGCGGCCAGGACGCGGGAAGCGAGGACGTCGTAGTTCTTCATGGTGGTGGCCTTGCCGTTGCTGATCTTGACCAGACCGTAGTCGTTGGCCTCCTGGTGGAACATGTAGACGATACCGCCGGAGAAGACGTCAGTCATGTCCTTGGAGTACAGAGCAGTGGTGTCCTGGAAGAGACGGCCCTCGGCACCGTCGGGGATGTTGCAGCCGTACTCAGCAAGGAAGACGGGGACGGAGTAGTTGGCGAAGAAGTCGACCTGGGTCTGGTAGCCGGAGCCCTTCATGTCGTTCTTACCGCACCAGGAGTAGATGTTGTAGCCCCAGAAGTCAATGGCAGTGTCCTGCTCACCGCAGTTGAAGTAGTGGGCGGAGTTGATGCGGATGTCAGCATCATCGTTGGCGGCGTAGCCAACACCCATCCAGCGGTAGCCCTTGTCCTTGATGTGCTTCTTGGAGTCACGGACGGCGGCCTTGACGAAAGCGGAGGCCTCGGTGTTGGTCTTGTTGTTGGAGACCTCGTTACCGGCGAAGAAACCGATGACGTTGTCGAACTTGGCGAGCTCGTCAATGACAGCGGTGTAACGGTCGAAGAGAGCGGTGTTCCACTGCGGGTTGTCACGGTTGATGGAGGTCTTGGGCTCGCCCAAGTCGGAGACGACGTAGATGCCGGCATCGCTCAAGAGCTTCATGCAGGCAGTGTGGTCCTGCTTGGGGTCAATGGCGTAGGTACGGATGGCGTTGGTACCAGCCTTGGCCAGGATGGGGACATCGCGCTTGCAAGCGGTCTCGTCGGCGAGGGGGTCCTTGAACTCTCCAGTCTTGGACTCACCACCAGCAGCGGCGGTGTCCTGCTGGTAGGCAATGCCCTTGATGTAGAACTGGGTACCGTTCTCGTAGAAGAACTTGGAGCCCTGTGAGAGTGGTTAGCAGGTGGGGAGAAAAGTCGACGAGAGGCAACATTGAAAATAGGCTGTACTGTACCTTCATGACGATGGGGTCAAGGGCAGCGGCGTTGCTGGCGAGCAGCAGAGCCGCCGAGACAGCAGTAGCGAGCTTGCCCATTGTGAAGTTTGGTTGATGCTTTGTTTTTTTGTTAAAACGGGTGAAAAGGGTAAAAAAGGGTTTGGCGGATCGAAGTGCGATTGCGATCGAGAGAAAAAGGTCGGAAGAAGCGGCGGGTGGATGACGTTCTGAGACCTATATGGTGTTCTTGACTTGGAATTCGGCGAATATGGCAGACAATTCCTTCTCTTTGCTTTTTTGATCCAAACGGGGGGTTGATGAGAAAATTGGTAGTAGTAGAAATAACGAGTTCTGGTAAAGAGTGTGTGAAGTCGATTGAGTTGGTTTAGATTAAAAGAATAGGGTTTAGAGACAACGACACATTCGGGACGAATATTCTCTTTCTCTCCTGTTCCCCTAAAAAAAGAAAAACGATTGTTGAGTGAGTGACGGTTTAGAGGAAACACACGGGGGGAGAAAAAAGGAGGAAGCAGTAGAACTAGGATAGGAATAGTGACGGGAGGGAGCGACGGTAGAAAAGCAGAAACGGGCCCTGGAATGAGTGGACTTGGCAAAATGTGGATCTCTGGCCACCGTTTGACAGGGGAGAGAGAGAGCGAAGGAGAGCGACGATGCGGTGCAAGTGCCAAATGGGATCGACTGGTGAGGCAGGCTAGACCATCAAGGACGTGGAATTAACAGCGGGTAGCAAGGTGAAGCTGCAGGGTGGCGGCAAGGAAGGAGCCAGGGACATGGACAGGGGCAGGGGCTGGCATGGAGCAGGGGGTGGGGTCAGGGGGCGCCTTCTCGCCTTCTCTCTCTCAGCTGTCATCCATCCAGTACTGGTATTCGTATGGAGAAGCATAGTATGTACGCAGCAAGTACGGTTCTCTTTCCTTCCGCTCCTTTTACTACTACTACTACTACTACTACTACTGCTCACAAGGTAGTCCCCCCTAAGGCAGGCTTAAGGAGAGGTTCCTTCCTGGCACTTCCGCGCTTTCCAGGCGCCTGCTTTCCTTTTACCCGCCCCCATCACACGACTGACCCCATTCCACATCGTGCTTGCCTTCGTTCCCGTATTCACTTTCACTAGGGAGACCAAATCGGTAGCAGCAACCTCGCATGGGGAGGCGCAGCAACAGCCCTAGCTGCCATTTTTTGATTTATTTAGTTGGCAGGAGTTGAGGCGAATGAGACGGTACTTGAAGCCACTGCGCGACACCACTAAACCCACGAGTACCTGCACATCGAGGGCCGTATTTTTACATGGTACATGATTTTATCAAATAACCATCTACCACGGTAGCGAGTGGTAATAGGCTGCTCTGCTTCTCGCCCCCCCGGGGAGCCGCCCAGGCCAGGTTCATCTCGTTTCAAGCCTGTGAGAGACTTTGCACAGTGTGGAAATAACCACTCTCAACGCCGCAATTAGGCAGTTATCTGACCTGCATATACTCCACCACCAGGCAATGTTAGCCGTTCATCTCGACTCTCTACCCTTCGCATCGTCCTCGTTCCTCCCCCGTACCTACACTGTCGGGTCCTGGATCCACCTCCTTACCAAGGCGGTTAGTGAAATGGCGAGAAATAGGGGCAATCTCCACACAGGTGAGCCTTCGGCCTGGAGTAGCGGCTGATTTTCCCAGACCGGGACTTACGGTCGCCGGCTCCCCTTCCCTCCTCTGCTACCCTCCCCCCCCCTCCTCCCCCTCCTCCCCCTACTCCCCATGTCCCCCCTACCCTTCCACCCATTTTCTCGGTCATTTTTGCAGCTATACACACACTACGTAACGCCTATTACGGTCCAATGGAGACCATCATCAATAGGCACACAAACCACCGACTGGTTGCCAAGCACAGATCCCCCATCGCCAGATCAAAAACGAACTGGCCGCCAAGAGATCAAATACCTCAGAGCATTGGCGTTTCTTGTCATCCAGGCCTCTGCGCCTCAAAAACCCTCAACTCCCGCTGTCAAGACTCTTATTCAGATCCAACTACTCACGCACCAAGCAACCTAATGTCAAATTCAATTTCGTATCTCTCTCCGCCCAGCTGCCCAGGCGCCTTGCCCCTCTCCCCCTTCACGCTTCAGGTCTTTTTTATTTTCAGGTCTGCCCGCCCACCACCGCCTCGCCTAGCACCAACCAAGCATCCAAGTCGTGTCCAAGATCTTGGACGAATAACACTGCCCGGCGGGATGTCTTCGGCCCAAAACAAACAGTCGTCGAATGAGAATCGGCTCTAGTGGTGTAGCAAGCCCTCCTTGCAACCATTATTACAATCAACATACGGCGATCGAACATTGCTCCACTATCCTGTTTCCCCCCCTAACTCCCCTTCGGCCTCTCATCTACGAGAACCACCTGCAATGGCAGCATAAGCGCAAAACCAGGAAACCGACTCGTCCAACCCAGACATTGGCTGACCAAAGCAGTAACAGAATGAGCAGTCCAGATCCCCCCCCATCTCAGACTCTCACAGCCACTCCTCCCCATCCACATAGTGTATTAGAGCGGGCCACCCACTAGTGCTAGTGCCGATGTCCACTGTCCATCCATCTCCAAGCATCCAATACTGCCAGCTGCCAGTCGCCAAAACTGCCATCGGCCGGCTAATAACTGGTCCGACCAGAGCGCATTCCAATGAATCCCGTCGTGTCAAGACTCTGATGACGACGCCTTTGCCCGTGCCAAGTTGGCCTAGCTTGCCGAACTTTCGAGTCTCTTGTCTCTTTCGTATTGTGGTGTTGCTAGAAGCTGCAACTTTCGGCCTCATTCTCATTCTTCCAATCAAGCACAGATAAGAGAAGTAGGCCTCGGTCAGAATGACGGTCTCATCGACGCAGCAACGCGTCAGAAATTCTTCTTCAGACAGAGAATACGAGGCATTCTCAAACCACCATCCTGCCTGACTCAACAATGACTACCGTAGTACGTATTTCCTATTTGCCCGATACAGTGTCCCGAATGACGATATTCGTACCGGATACCGGACCGCCCCAGAAAATGCCAAACCAAAAATAAAATAAGAGAGAAAGAAAAGAAAAAACGACAACCAGCAAAAAATAGGACAACAACGGGAATCAATTAACTCTCTTTCTTACGGTCGACCTTAAGTTAATTACTCGCTCTAACCCAAACAAGCGGCCCAGCGGAGTCACATATTGGCCCAGTCGACCCGATTCGACAGCGTGTTCCGGCTCCATTGGCACCATCTGGAATTTGATGTTCATGCTGCTGGACACCGGTGACCAAGGACGTAAGCGGGCCGAATAGATAAAGGAAAAGTGCCAGAACTCTCACTCTCACTCTCACTCTCACTCTCTCAATATCCGTAATTGTGGTCGTTTAGTGGGACCAAAGACACTTGTTCATCTGCCGTGTAGCAACAATCGGCGAACAATCTTGCTTCATTCGATGGATTTGCCATGATCCGCTTTGCATAGATAGTAACACTTTGCTTTGCTTGTTTTTTTTTTGGCTTCTACGTAGTATCGTAATAGGGTCCTAAACCCACCGCCCATCTCCATCTCCCTATCAAACCTTGTTGACGCATCATCTTGTCTGTTCATCTCGGGGGATTGAGGTATTGTAGACGACCAAAGGGCACACCGTTGGTGTGTGTCTCTCTGACCTTTGTTTGTTCCCAGGTCCAACACAATCCCCGTCGACCTCGTTATTATTGGCAAATTCGCGTTTCGCCCTCCATCATGGCGTTTCAATCAATCTCAAAAAAATCCCACCGCCATCCGTAATCCATACCCTGAACCTGAAAACATGCCCATAGCCCACCGGCTCGAACAAGCTCCCTCCCCCCCGTATCGCGGCCTCCCGCGGCCTCCCCGGTCGCGAGTGTCCGTTCGCCTCACGTAAACTGCCCCTCCCCGACCGGCACCCCCTGTCTCCATCTGCACCGTAGTCCCCTCAAGTCCGTGTCAAGTTGATGGGGAACAACGCCCATTCCCTCCAGCCGTGAGCTGATCGAGATTTTTCTTGTATCTTGTATTTTTTCGCACGCCCAGCCTCGACGTCATGGGTGGGCAGTGTTCGAGGTCGATGCCAATCTCGTCCGTCAGCCCAAAGCGACCTCGAGGGGTTCCCTGGTTGGGTCCTCGTGGAGCGCGTGAAGCTTTCTCGACATGTTGATCGTCCAGAGGAAGGGAGGGGGGGGGGTTTCGAAATGCTTGATTTCTTTCTTGGTGTAGGACCCTTTCCCCTTACTGTTTATATTTTTACTGTTGTTGCCCTTTTTTGCTCAGCCTCTTCGGCGGATTATTATCTGTCGGCGAATTTTCTGTTTTGGCGGCCGAGATTGATCGTCGTAGGGAGGACCCCGTCGCCGTCGGTCCTATTTCTGGGCTCTCTCTCTGTTCTCACCATTTGCCGGTGATCTTGAAGTAGGCCTTGCCCACGCCGTAGCAGACGCCGTCCCAGACCTCGTACGTCTCGCGCCAGACTGTTTTGATCGGGTTGCGACCCGACGGCCGGCCTTGTCGTCCGTGTCGAAACGTCTGGTTTACGGTTGTCATTTTTTTTTTTTAACTCTTTTGATGTGTTTTGTAGATTGGCTGGTGTTTTTGTGGTTTTGATGATGGGTGATGGAATTGCTCTCTGTTGAATCTTCTTTTAGAGTTTTGTACCAACGAATATACTTTCCTGACATCCCATCTCACGTATGAGGCCGTTCTTATTTATACATAACCCTTGGGCATGCATTCGATTCCAACAAAATCCCATCTGCAAGTCGCATGTCTGCCTGCCCTCTTGGCGTTAACTCATCCCCGTCTCGCCGCCCGGCGGTGCACACGGCAGTCACGAGCCACCCGCCCGCCTCCCCTCCCCCGTACCGGTCCGCTGCAGCAGCTGCCACCACCGCCGGTGTGTCAATCCGCCTGACAGCGGTTTCCACTATAGCGCACCGCAACCACCACAACACCCGACCGTAGCACACCACCTCTTGTCAGCGGACCGCCTCTGTGCCCGCTGATCAAGTTCCCTTTTCGCTCCCGCAAGCTGACCACCCCCTCTCGTCATTTACACTCATTCATACTGGCTTATGTAGTCTACTAGCACTAGTTATTAGTTCCCCGAGACTTGGCACCGCCTTGTATGTTTCCCGTTCATGTGTGTCGTATCGTGGCAACCCCAAATGCGCTTAATCAGGGTAGGATGGGCGGGTTCCTGGCGACGTGCTCGTTATGCATCCAATTACCGCCGGTCGCTGGTGCTCAGGATTGGACGTTGATGGATGAGCCTTGCTGGTCTATTGAACGACTGCGGTTAGCTGCCTTATGGTCGTTTTTGGTGCCGTTCTTCCACGTGACGGTGTATCCTGCCTGTGATCTTCATCTCGATCTTCCCCGGTCGGGTATTTTCGTATGGTGGTGAATGATTACTTGCCTGGCAAAGCCACGAGGCTCAGATTGTAAATTGTCTCGAATGTCGAAACCCCGTCGGCGGCGGCGATTTGCGTGACTGGATATGTGAGTCTCCTTTTCGTCTGCCTACGATGCTATGACTACGTCTAGAGTAAGCAACGTACGTAAGTGAGGACCTAAACGACACATGTCTCATCACTTATCACGAGACGGTAACTCACCAAGAGGTACGGATGCAGTTTTCGCCACCTTGCTTTGATATCACGTGGATTTGTTCGGACTGAAGCTATGAGGACAACTGAGATCAGGGATTCCGCGACTGTGTGCATGATATTTGTTACTTATTGCCACTGTTTCCTACGCAGTGAAATACATCGTTGTCTTTCTGAAATGCTCTGGTGAGGTCTGCAGCTCACAAATCCGTCACGCAACCCTTCATCGTCCAGTCAACCACGTGAGGTTGTAAAGTAGCTCAGTATCATCCTTGTAGCATGTTTCTCATGGAAGTCTTCTCAAAATATCTTCGTCATGCGCTATGACATCAAGCCAAGTATCAAGCAAATAGTCCCTTGGTCTGTTGGTGAAAAGTCAGCATTTCCGCTGCTGCCTGGCAGGCTGGGACTTACCAGAGCCGTTGAGCAATTCTGTATCTTTCGGTCATATGACCTCGCATCATAGTTTAGGTGCCAGGCAACATGTCTTGTGTGGCTACTCCATTCGCAGTCGCTTTAAGCCTAGTCATGTCAGTGCCAGTCCAGCGCCAGCGGGGACATATTGCCAACTCACTTCGCTCCTCGCCGTTGGCGATCTGAATGACGACTTTGGTATCGCCAGACATGACAGAGATTTCAACGGGCTTGTGGGTGCTCTCCTGCTGGTAAGCCACGGAGTGTGCCTCGTCCTGGGCCGGCTCAAAGTCAAAGACTGTGGTGATAGGCGACAAGCACATGCGACGACGGGGCTTTCGGATCTGCTTGACGGGTGTAGCCGGCGGGCTCGGCAGCCTGCCAAAAACCTCGCTGACCATCACTTTTGCTTGGAAGACTTGCTCGTAGTCCTTGAATGTCTTGCTAGCAACGTAAATGCAGGTGGGGGAGCCCTGCCGGTGTTGTTCGAACGGGTCGTCCTTGGATTCCCATTTCCAAGCCTGCATCTTGCACCAATCACAGCTCACGCTGTCGCAGTTGAGCTTTCCATTTCCCGCGAAACGAAAGCCTGCGCCGGCCATGTCCTCGGGCTGGAGATTCGCGACTGGCCATCTTCCAGGCTCGCCGTTGACGTTGTTGTCGTAGAAAGAGAGAAGACGGTTGCAAAATCCATCCATATTGTCAAAGTTTCAGACAAAAGAGCGAATGGTTTATGGAAAAGAATGAGAGATTCTGGCGACGAAAGAGTGTTTGTGAAGTAATGATGGTACTGCGAGGTTTTGTTTGAGAGAAAGCTGCTGAGAAACGAAGGTTCTGGCGGAAAGAGAGAAGATTAAAAAACCCTTTGCTGAATCAAACACCCAAGGAAAGAGCTCTGAAGGCCTGTTCCTTCTTTCTTTAAAAGAGCTCACGAATCATAAGATGAGTCGGTATTTCCATATCAGCAAGCTAGATGTTGTCGTGACCACCTCTGCGTCAAAACACCAAGGCACCTTTTACGACCTTGCTTTTTAAGTGCTTGTACAGAGACTTGCTAAGAGCTTTAATGGCTCCAGTTGGAAAAGCAAACTTAGACCAAACCGAAAGTGCACTTCACAACCCTTTCATAAAGTATCTTGACTTCTTCACTTGGACACATTTGTCAAAAAGGAACAAAAAATGAAACACAAGATGAAATGAAGGTACTGGAAATCTTTTGTGGTCTCGACTGCCAAGTAGTTAGCTAACCTTCGTAGGCCCAGGCAACACACACCATACAACCTGCCTAAGCCCCAAAGATTGCTTCCAAAAGATCGAGTGTATCTGTTCTCCTAGTCCAGTAATGAATAGACGCCAACCCCGTGACAACCACCATATCAATGTCGATACTCTGCGGAGGCACATACACCTCAAACGTCGGCCCGGTCTCCGATGAGCTGAACCTGCCGTCGGGGTGTTTCTTCCACGTGACCAGCAGCGTCCCTCTCGAATCCTTGAGATGAAGTGTGCTAGTTGACCTTGTGATCACCGACTTCGTCCAGCTGTAGCTCATGCCTCTGTATTCGAACTTGTGTCCCGAGCTCGCCATGTTCCCTTTCATCTTTAGTGGCACACCGCGGAACACAACATCGATTTTGGATGAGAAGCTATGCCGTTTCGCCGTTCCGAAGGCTTGATTTGGAGAAACCTGTGAGCTAGGATTGGCGTAAAGGACGGCAATAGTTTTGTCGTCAGTGTGGAGGACATAGATCGGTGTCGCGTAGCCGGTACGGGGGTCAATGCGGTCAACTGTCGTTTGCGCCCCAGCGAATTGTTTGTTTATACGGAGGATCTCGATGGGGACCTCATTTGCTCCGTGAATTGCGCTGGAGGACATGATGAATATGTGTGAGAGTGTTGACGATGAGGAGAATCACCGATCGAGTCCAACAATATTCAAGTTTGTAGTCACAAGAGGCAGAGCATCTTCAAACATGATGCAAACTTATCATCACGTCCTACGACTTGATAACCTGGCATCTATAGGAAAGAATGCCACTTTATGTTGGACATCAAAATCGGCCATTTTCACATCCTTCCGCGTCACATAGGTACCATACGTCCAGGCGGAACAAGCTTGGCTTTGGTTGCCGTCAAATTTGTCGAGGCACTACTGAATCCGCTTAGACTCTCATGATCATGCTTAACCGAAATGGCCCATCAAGAGATACGCGCAAGCGTTGAACCATCGCAGGGCAGACATGTGCAACGACTTATACTGTTTCTGGATTTCTTGGCCCCCATAGATGACTAAACTGTCTGCTGTCTGCCTTGCAGTTTGCGGTCGCAGACTTGGCATTGGTCAACATTTCTCTAACGGGCCATCTCTGCTGACATGGACGGTGCCTGAATGGTGTATGGCGTACATAAGCAAAGTACTGGTCGGGCGGAGTTTACATACTCAGCTTAGCGCTCGGGGGCTATGCTGGTACTGTGTTGCGCCCGAGAGAGCTGTCTCGCTCAGGGGGGGCAGTACACAAGCTTGCTGTGCCTGGCTGTATTTAGTTAGCAGCCAGCCACTTACGGCCCAGCGGTCTTCTCAATAGGGAAGTTAAACGGCAGTTTCTATACACTGATATGATAGTACGGTCCAAACCGGAGCTAATTCTATGTAATATAATGGTTTTTGATAGCCTAACGAACTTCCTAATTGGAAAATTGTAGAGACTCGTGACCTTCATCTTCCAGGCTCCGAGTGTACTCAAGACTTTGCGCAATTCTGTGTGGGATCATGATAAAACACCACTATTACATACTTATTATTATTCGCAAGGCCGGCATCTATTGCCTTAGTTTATCTGCATCCTATTAGGAGCTGGTCTGCGACTCCGCCGACACACGTTGGTCCATCGCAAGGGTACTGAGGGACTGGACCGAATCTTGTCGGCCAATGTAGCTCATCACACCGACCAATGGTGAGCTGTGCACTGACATTGTAGACACTAATAGAGGATTAGAAAATGGAAATGGTATGAGCAAATCAGAAATCTCAAAAGTTATGTTCTTGTCCCAATTGGGGGTATTATACTCCTCAGTCTGGTCGAACTATGCGATCTCGGCTCGACCTTCCAGCCTTGAATCGCTTCGACATTCCTCCCTGAGCTAGTGAACAACAGCATGCTCATGACAACAATTCAAAGGGGTCATAAGATAAAGTATAAAATAATTGAAAAAGTGCAGTTTTGATCATGTTTTTCTTCCGTTACGTGCACCTCTATTCATCCTTTTCATAAATACTAGTAAGTCGTGTTCTCTTACCTCTAAATCGACGCGACTGCAAGCATCGTTAACTGAACCAAGCCAGCATGTTCTCTGCTAAAAGCCATCATGACAACGCAACAGACCATCAACATCACAGAGGCAACAATCAGCCAACTACAACATGCTCTGTCTACAACAAAGTTTTCAAGCGTCGAGCTTGTGGCACGGTTCCTCCACCGCATTGGGAAATTCGACTATCGCGGTCCTACACTGAACTCCATCTGCATCCTCAACCCTAATGTCTTCGAAGAAGCTCAAGCATCAGACGACTACCGAGCCTCTGGGAACCCTCCACGGCCTTTGGAAGGTATCCCATTTACGGTCAAGGACAGTTTTCAAGCAAAAGGTCTCACAGTCGCCGCGGCCTCCCCGGCATTTGAACACTTGGTAGCGTCATCAGATGCCGCCGTCGTCGAGCTCCTTCGTGGTGCAGGTGCTATACTTTTAGGAAAGACCAACATGCCTCCCATGGCTGACGGCGGAAGCCAGCGAGGTATTTACGGGAGGTCGCTGAGCCCCTACAACCCAGAGTTTCTTTGCACAAGCTTCGCATCCGGCTCTTCATACGGTTCGGGTGTCGCCACCACGGCATCTTTTGCTCCAATCGGACTTGGAAGCGAAACTGTTTCGTCGGGCCGAGCACCAGCTTCTCACAACGCACTCGTTGGTTATTCGCCATCCAGAGGTGTATTTTCTCCCCGCGGACTTTGGCCGTTGTATCCAACCTGCGATGTCGTGGTGCCTCATACCAAGTCGGTTACCGACATGCTATCCTTGCTCAACGTTCTCGTCGCCGATCACCCCCAGCCAGAGGGTGACTTCTGGCACGAGCAAGTGGTAGTGCCTATTCCTCTCGCATCAGAGATACGCCCGCAAGACTACCGAAGCCTGGTGGATGCCAAATCATTGGCAGGCAAAAGAATCGCAGTTCCCAAGTGCTACATTGGAAAACAGACGTCATCTGGGTACTCTGTTGTCTGTACCGAAGCCACTCGTCAGCTTTGGGAGCAAGCGAGAGCGGATTTGGAGGCGCTTGGTGCTGTTATAATCGAGACAGACTTCCCCTTGGTCGAGAACTATTCCAAAAAGAACTTTTCTGGTCAAGCAGCGAGCGTTGTCGGCATGCCAAGCACGTGGATGGACACTGAGCGGTGTCAGATGATCGCCATGGCCTGGGACGACTTTCTGAAGTACAACAACGATCCAAACTATCCTGGCCTGGAAGACGTAGACGGCCGCAAAATCAATCCCGGTTTTGCTCCGATGGACGTCCCGGAAGAGTTCACCGAACAGCAAAACCATGTCCGGTACGGGGAAATGATCAATTTCATCCGCCAAAGACCCGAGAGGCTGCAAGACTTGCCCGGGTACGTTGAAGCACTGGTTGCCCTCGAAGACGCTCGAAAGCGGGACCTCGAAGAGTGGATGTGTGAGAACAACTTTGACGTTGTTGTCTTTCCGACAAATGGAGATATCGGCAGAGCTGATGCAGAAGAGAAGCGAGAGTCCATGGTCCACACGTTGCAGGATGGCGTGAAGTACTCCAACGGCAACCGAGTGATGAAGCATCTAGGCGTACCGGCAATCACAGTTCCAATGGGAACTTTGTCGGATAAGAAAATGCCTGTGGGTCTCACGTTCGCTGGCAAGGCGTGGAGCGACCCCGACCTTTTACGGTATGCATTTGCGTACGAGACTGCAACGAGACGCAGGGAAGACCCTCCTCAAGCACCAAGCCTGATCACTGACACAGTGAGTCTAGTGGAGGGCTCACTGCAAGGTAGCACCAGGCCTGGGCTATTTATCGAAGACATTCATGTGGAAAAAATATCGGAGGGGGGATCTGAGGTTCGCCGTGTCTCAATACAAGGTTCAGTGCAGTTGAACGACTCATCTGTACGTGTCGAGAACATTCAGATTTTTACAAACGGAGATCTCGCAAGCCCGGTCACTTTGAACGGGAGCCACTGGCATTGGGATGCTGAAATAATGCGAGAGCGCCTGGCAGAGAAGTATCCGACCCCAGCAAAAACGCATCGGGAGCAGTTCATGATTGTGGTCGTTGCCAAAGCATCAAACGGTAGATCATCAGCGCAGTTACTTATAGTTGGTTAAGTAAAATGTTACGTGCTTACATATCACTGAGAAGCCTTGTGTTTGGCTCGTTCGCGGTTCGCATCTGGGTTATCGGAGTAGCAAGCCACCACAATGGATAAGTTTCACTCACTAATTATGTTACTCTGCCTTTATTATAAGCATAGTAACTAGTAACCTCAACTGCCTATTCTGGCACTTTGATCAAAGGTTTTGTTTATGTACAAGTAGTCGCATCTGTCTTAAAAAAAGAAAAAAGAATCCAAATTATATCCTTCCCCAGGGTCCCTGATCAGAAACCGTATAGGGATGCTAATCCTTGTTCAGTACTAGCAAGCCATAACTAATTTCATCCTACTGGCTGGTGATCATACCTAGAACTCGAAATATCCCACTCTGCCTGATCTTCACCTCTACCGCGTACCATGTAAGTGCGTTACATCTATGACTCGCCCATAAGTACGTGTTAGTATCTAGACAGAGTGCGGATTCTGTCAGGCGACTAAAGGAGGCGGGGGTGTGAGCATGGATTCCTCTGTTACAAGGAGCTTAAAGTCCTCTTTACCGCTGTCATCCCACCGGCTTCAACTATTACACTAGCCACTAGCATAGAGAAGTAGAGTAGTGAGACACCCGAAATGACTAATGCAGTCATCATATTGATAAGCAAGTCATTGAATTTTAAATTTGTGCCGACGGGATGCTTCGATGTACGAACTTTATCTTCTTTCGTTGGTTTGATTAGTTTAGGCCAAGTTTTACCGACTACCAGGCAACCCCATTTTCGTCAAAGGGCCAAGGGTGGAGGAAAGCCAATCAGGGTTCTCTGCCTGTTGGTATCGCTAGGACATATATTGAGATCTGTAGTACATTTGTTCTCAAAAACTTCTTTTAGGTGGGCCAGATTTACCAGCGGTATCTAACGATATAGAACAATACGGTGCTGATAAAAACACATGGCTGTAAACCTAGATCAGTACAGCGTTGGTGTGGGTGGGACCCTTCTGTGCAAGACATAGCGATAAAAGTTTGGACCGATACCTTAGTATAGCTTGTGTACTGACGATGGTATAAAGCAAAGGTTGGTCTTCAGTGGAAGTTTTCGCCTTGGGATGATATAGTTAGGTATTGAGCAGTCGATGGGATAACAACACTGCGAAGGTTCAAAACCCAAGACGTTATTTTTAGTTACTAGGTTTGTGCTCCATTTAAGCTTCCTCAGTAGTGAAAACCTCATCATTTTACACCCAAGGTGGAGCCGTCGAATGGTGTAAAGATCTAGTGAAATGTAGAACACGCTTTCTCGTAATAATTTGTTTTAACCATAAAGCGTCGTAATTAGGTTAGAGAGGACATATTGCAACCCAGCCGTATTTGGGTCTGGCTCACATAGCCATATAGTATAGAACACGGGATCACAATACAGGCGCATTGTTGCCGAAGCTTTTGCTTTGTGGCTCAATCAGTTGCTCTGACTTACCCGTAACAGCTGCCTATCACGTTCCAGCTACTGTGTGTAAAGAACACTCTAATAAAAACTCGACTAATGCAAAGCATGACTCAAGAGACTTTAGTAATGCTTGTATGAATTACGCTGATCTCATAAAACCTTATTCCCATACGGGCGGATATATAAACTAGCTGAGAGGTAGCGAATTTTAAGACGTGAAAGATTGCTGTGTTGCTTCAAGTGATCTTTTTATTACTTCCAGGTTCTCACATTTGTTACCTTAGTTCCTCACGCTTCCCCCCCCGTTTTATACTCTGGAAAGCACCCATCATGCGTTTCGCAATCATCGCACTCGCTCTTTTCGGAATCGCATCTGCCGCTCCCCAGGATTCCAATGCACCCTCAAAGGTGAAAGCTGCAGTCGCCGATGGAGTTCTATCAGCCAGGCAGGCCTGCTGCTCCTTTTACCCTGACACACGCGAATGTGTAAGTCTTCTTGCAAACCTTAAGATTGGATTGCGAACTGACGCCGGAAAATAGTTTTGCTGGCCCAATGTTTGTTTCTACCGATTATATTGGCGTTCCGCTTGGTATATACTAATGAGATCTTAGCAATCCTGTTGTCTTCAGACAGGTGGTCGTGGGTAATAGTCTCGGGATATCATTACGACCCGTCACGCATGCTTGACAGGGGACGCCAGTCCCACCTGGGTCAGCAGCTACGCCGTGAGACATAGGCAAGGCACATGGAAAAAAAAGGTTACGGAAGATTTAGGGATACGATACTGAGTCACGTAACGATAAGACAAGACTACTAAAACAACTAGGTGCTAGATGGCATATGCGGGCGGCGAGTTGCCAGTTTAGAACCACAGTCCTAGAAACAAAGAAAAAGAGTCTTTTAGTAGCTATTGGTGTTCGCAAGCCTAAACGAAAGAAGAAGCTTATAAGCTAACCAATTCTTTTCCAAGATGAGTATATTAAGTAGTAATCATCTCTACTATCTGTATTATAACTATCTGCTCGTTGTTTATAGACTCCATCCTCACATCTGCATCGCAATCTGTCTCCCGTAATGTTGGCGGAAACCTGGATAGATTGTCTGATTTCGAAACCTCCCGATGTCGGTATGTAGGTAAGAGGATCATCCCCTCGATATCCCACCGGACGTTGCATCATGATATTCTCAAAAAGGAAACCTTCTGTCAGCCTTTCTGCAAAGACCGTGTGGTGTCCAATCGCGGCTTTTAAGCTTTTGGTGTGGACGGGTAAACCCGCGAAGACTAAGCCATCAAAGGCTGCATATACTTCATCTGATGAGATTAGATGAAGAAGATCAGCGGTACTGTTCCATTAGCAGGAAGCTTGGACTTTGAAAAGACGTAAAAGATAAGCGGCTTCAGTACCGGTGGGATTCAATATTATCTATAAATGATGATGTTTTGGAAGTCGTTATCGTTCATACTCACAAGGTTCTACTGCAGCCCAAACCGTCAGATTCGTTCACGCTACACAGACAACCACTCAAAATGCAGTTCTTCGCCTTCACTACGCTCCTGGCTGTCTTAGCCACCGCTTCCTCGGCGATTGCTGCCCCCGCGGTTGAGTCTTTGGAGCAACGTGCCTGCATTGCTGGTGGTAGTAAGTCGTCACGATCACAAAAAGGTTGCATGCATCAGCTGACGATACGTTACACCAGAACCCTGTGTTAACTCTGCTGGGCAATTCGACCCGTCGGTATGCTGCTCTGGGTGCTGTCAAACTACGATTGCTGCCGTCTACTGCGCCAATTGAGCAGTATCAGACCATGTATTACGGCCAAGAAGCAAGTTTGAGGGGTTCAGTGCCATCTATTGGACCAGGAGTTTCAGAATATGGCAGACAGATCGCCCATGGCTGGAATAAAGTTGACGAAGCGAGCAACACCTACCTTCTGATAAAGATAATCAACATTGCGGTGAGCTGGTTCACCAACATGGACATTGGGAATATCTAAACATTTCCATGAATGCGACTACACCGACTTGGGTTTCCCATACGTTGAGCTTCTGAAGATGCCATCTCTTTTCGTTGAAGCCGAGCACCTCGAATTGAGTACCGATCAACACCACGTGAAGCTGCAGCTATTCCGTAACGGCCCGCCAGGCGACTATCGTACCACGAATGCATTTGGTGAAATGCACATTCCGTCCTGAGACATTAGCAACAGCTTCTAAGACAATCAAGTTGGGCAAATCGTCTTGCCCGTCACATTCCATTTGCCATGCCATCCTTACATCCTAACTTTGCTGCCGACGAAAGCTCCTGCATGTGCTGGACTGTTTCTCCCTCATGCGGGGAAGTGAGCTGATCATTCACGAATGCCTCTCAACGCTGCTGCGGCCACAGAGTTTGTTGATGGTGGGAGGGCTTCGAGTACCAACTCATGCTCACCAAGTTGATGACATAATGCCTGTGGGTTCTATCACATGCTTCTGACGGGAGAACTGTGGGCGAAACCAGCACAGAACGCTCAGAATGGGAAAAGTGGTGTTGTTGGTTGGAAGAACTAACTAACTGGCTAGAGGGCTGTGGAGGCTGGCTAAGACCAGTGGTGGCGGCCGTCAGCCCACGTGACGGGCCGGCGAGGCCTGCCACCCACACCCCCTCTCAGACTCCTCAGCGAAAAAGCAGTAGAATAATAGGAAATACAGGAAAAGTCCCAAATCCTCCAAATCCGAGGAGTTCTCAACTATTAGAAAACTCGGTCAATTACCGGTTAAACCTGGCCAATAGGAGGCCGTGAAATCCTCCGAATCCCGAAGTCTCAATATCAATAGTCCCACAGTCTCAAAATCCCCCTCTCAATCCAATCCCTCCGCCATGCCCAACAAACGAACGAATTCCTTGTGTTTGACCGCAACCAGTGGCTTCGTGAGTCCATCGGCGGCCATATCAGCGCCCTTGATGAGTCGGAGTTCGATGCTTTTCGCAGTGTGAACCTCCTGTATGATCCATTTGTATCGGACGTCGATGTGGCGGGTTCGTGCCTCGTTGAGTGGGTTCATGACGTTGTCGTAGCCGTTGGCACTGTCAGTGAACATGATAGTAGGCGTGGTGATGGGTTTGCCGAGCAGTTGGGAGAGGCAACGTCTGATCCACTTCACAGCAATTGCCGTAGGTGTGAGATTGATGAATTCAGCCTCCGTGGTGCTCAAAGTCACGAAAGTCTGTTTCTTTGACTTCCAAGCAATCGGCGCACCAGCGAGGAAGACGACGTAACCACCTGTCGAGACTCGTGATGGCTTGTTGTCAGCGAAAGAGGCATCTGCAGCAGCGTAGAGCCCCAACTCGTTGATCGTGGGGATGCCTCCAAGTACAATACCGAGATAAACGGTGCCCTTGAGGTATCGGAATAAGTGCTTAATAGCACGAAGATGGGCCTTAGAAGGCCCTGAATTCGCCTGTGACAATTTACTGACGGTGTAGGCCATGTCAACGCGAGTTCCAGCCACCAGGAAGTTAAGGCAGCCGGTTTGTTCGATGTAAAGTTGTTGTTCGTCAAGCGAGCACTCGTTCTTGTCCCAGGTGACGGGCAGATCGTCAGTGGTCGCCATAGGCGTCTTGACAGCACTCAAACCATCAAAGTCGAATCGTTGAAGCACTGCTTTTGCGTACTTGGCTTGGGAAACGAAAATCTTACCGGCAGCTCTGTCGCGTTCAATCTGGAAACCGAGAAAATCGGTAGCCTCGCCGAGGTCTTTAAGAGAACAGACCTTCTCGAGGAGACGACGAACTTCCATCATGACTTGCTTGTTGGGAGCGGCGATGGCGTTGTCGTCGACGTACATAAGAACGTACGCTTTAATCTTGTGAGTCTTGCCATCTCAGCAAATCCACTGAACGGATTAGTCGAGACCACCCACTTCCACTTACGAGTATTGGCGATGAAATTCACCTTGATCTCGTTGGTGTTCTTCCCCTATCAACAAAAGGGAACCGTCAGGTTCTACACCTCATGGATAAGTATAGTGGTTACCACTGGGTTGTTTTTCTGCCCAACCACAAGTTTGCCACCATCCTGGCAGCTATCAAGAAATGGGATACTGAATTCTACAGTCTCACCGGCCTCAAGCCCAAGGTTTGGGTTTCTGACAATGCTCCCGAGCTAATCAAGGTTTTCAACGACCCCTACTTCGAGGGTACTCGCCACAACACGACTATTGCCTACACGCCTTCCATGAACGGTACTATTGAGCGTGCTGGTCGTACCATCGTCGAAGGCGCCCGGACACAGCTGATTGACATGTCCCTTCCAGAGGAACTGTGGGATTACAGCATCGATTCGGTGGAGGGCTCAAGTTACCCTTGGAGGGTGTGGGCAAGAGGTTGAGAATCTGAGTCACCGAATCGATGCTGTAATCCCACAGTTCCTCTGGAAGGGACATGTCAATCAGCTGTGTCCGGGCGCCTTCGACGATGGTACGACCAGCACGCTCAATAGTACCGTTCATGGAAGGCGTGTAGGCAATAGTCGTGTTGTGGCGAGTACCCTCGAAGTAGGGGTCGTTGAAAACCTTGATTAGCTCGGGAGCATTGTCAGAAACCCAAACCTTGGGCTTGAGGCCGGTGAGACTGTAGAATTCAGTATCCCATTTCTTGATAGCTGCCAGGATGGTGGCAAACTTGTGGTTGGGCAGAAAAACAACCCAGTGGTAACCACTATACTTATCCATGAGGTGTAGAACCTGACGGTTCCCTTTTGTTGATAGGGGAAGAACACCAACGAGATCAAGGTGAATTTCATCGCCAATACTCGTAAGTGGAAGTGGGTGGTCTCGACTAATCCGTTCAGTGGATTTGCTGAGATGGCAAGACTCACAGAAGAAAGCGTCAATTTCTGACGTTGTGAACCGAATGCCAACACGGCGGCAAGCCTCCACAACACGTGATGGGTGGGCGTGAACCAGCCGGCGGTGCATCAGTTCAAGAGACGGTCGCTGGGTAGCCCGGAAGGCGGCGAGGCTGACAGCAATATCTCGAGGCACGTGATTTCCAGTATCATGAGTCTCAACGACGCAGACGTCAGAAACCCAATGAACTTTGGCAAGGGAAGTGCGCTGTGTCACGTGTATGAGGCTTGAGGTCTGCCAATCATATTCCACGTGATCACGACGAAGTTTTCCAGGGCTCAGTAAGTTGGCTGGGCTGGAAGGGTTGTACTCAACGTTGTGAAGTGTCCAATCGTGAATAACGTCAGGGTTGGTGGGGTCTTGGGTCTGGAAGAAGACGGTGCCCACGCCAAGTGACCGGACTGGGGCGCCGGAGGCAGAAGTGGAAGGTGTCAAATCGCTCTTTTCAGCGTACTTGACGAAATATCGCAAGTTGTTGAAGGTTGAAGTAGTACAACCAGAATCGAGAACGATATCGTCTCGGGTGATGAGGTCATCGCGGGCAGCAGTGAAAACTGCTGGGCTGGCGATGGAGGCAAGGGCAGACTGACCCAAGATGGCAGGTGACGCTCTGACAACAGTCTGGCGGGTGCCATCAACAGAAGTAGGCTGATCCCAGCGGCAGCGATCGCCACACACGTGCTTTCTCGCTTTTTCAATCAACTTATCCCGGTTGACGTAGTGTAGAGGGATGAGATTGGGGTGGGCGACATAGCACTTTGTGGTCTCGTGATCACAGTTGCAGTGGTCGCACTTCTTCTTTTCCTTGGAGGCAGTGACAGTGGAGGTGACGGTGGTGGTGACGGCTGGAGAGGCAGGACCCCCACTGCCAGCAGACTTGCCTCCAGGTGTGTTGCGAATAGTGGCATAACTGCGCTTTTGATCCTCGTCTTGGGCAAGCGTGTAAATCGTATCAGCCACCTCATTCCACGTGGGATGGGTGGCGCCCTTCGATGTGAAATGCTTGTACGTATCGGGAAGTCGGTCCTTAAAGAAGTTAAGGAGGAAAACAGCGAGGAAGGAGTCTGGCAGACGACCGTGAATGGTCTCAATACGCTTTCTGAGGTGGTGACAGCGATTGAGGGCATCGTGAAGAGTCTTGTGATCGTTGGCGGTGGTCTTGGCAAACTCGTCAACAAGGGCAGCTGTGGCGTCTTGTGAGATTCTCGGAATGTGCTTCTCGAGCGCCTGCCACAATTCGTAAGGGTTTCCATCGTCAACCCAACCCGCTGTGCAGAGTCTGTCAAGAACCGATTCGCTGGCGTTCATGAGGAGACCATTCGTGACGTTACGGTTCTTTCTCCATTCCTCTGCAGCGATAGGGTCAGCAGGGCGAGGGACGTCAGTCTCGAGGAATATCTCGAAGTCGTATCCTCGCAGGGTCGCTGTAACAAGCATGCGCCATGTGTTCCAGTTGGATTCACCTTTCAGGCGAGGAAGAGGCGTGAAGACGGTCTTGAAGTCGTTTTGAGACATCTTGAAGTGAAAGTGAGGGTATCACAACAGTGCGGGACAGACTTATAGTCGCACCTCGATCACAGGCGTTTCTCCGAGGCCGCAGCTTTGGAGGCGTGTCTGTACGTTAGATGGCTTACTTTCGCTGCCACCTACGCGTGCTGTTGGATTGTGTAGGAGGGAGAATCTTGCGTAAGAACACGAGAAATGGGTGGAATTGTGAGATCCGACCGTAGAAATACGGTGAATCGAAGGGAAGAATGAATACTCGTAGAAGATACGAGAAACTGATGGGCTGGTTCGAAAAACCGAAGCTGAAATAGTTGAATTCTCGTGAAAAACGAGGAATCGAAGTAAAAGTTGTAGTTGTGACTGAAAAGTCTGTTGTTGACCGTGGTGTTCGTGAAAACCAGTGGGTTGTGGTGGTCGGTCGCGTGCCACGTGATATTCGTGCGCGCCAGGCAGCCAATGTCGCGTCAGAAAGTGAAATTCGTCAGCGAAGAGGAAGGAAAGAAAGCGAGAAAATCGCACAGAAGGGTAAATAAAGCGAATAAAATCGCAAAAATTCGTGAATCAATAGAAAATTGACAGACGAGTAGAATAATGGGTAAAACGACGTTATTCCGAAAGAATAACGCTGGGCTCATAACCTGTGGGCGAAACCAGCACAGAACGCTCAGAATGGGAAAAGTGGTGTTGTTGGTTGGAAGAACTAACTAACTGGCTAGAGGGCTGTGGAGGCTGGCTAAGACCAGTGGTGGCGGCCGTCAGCCCACGTGACGGGCCGGCGAGGCCTGCCACCCACAAGAACAATCTCCCCGACTCAAGCCCTTAACAATTATGACTAAGGTACGGCAGTCCGCAGGGCGCACTGGGTCAAAATTCAAACATTGCTTAATTAGGATGTATAAACGAGATAAGCATATACTACCCGTATAGATAGTTAAGCTTCTTATCTTTACTATATAATTATTATAAATTTAAGTAAATTTGTTAGAAGTATAAGTATATTATACTTCTATTTTACTTATTTATCCTATTTAGTCTTATCTAAGACTTAGTAGGACTTACAAAAGTAACTAGCTAAGAATGGCTGCTTGCTAGTTTAAACATATGACATTCAGATCCCTATGGAATACTCTCTTTAACCTTATCTAAAAGTCTATTTAGTTAAAGAAGATTCTAGTCTGATTTATAAGCTGCTTTATAAGCTAGTTGACGTATATACTTACGTATACTAAACCTAGCTTATAGCTTCCTATATTAGCTATTATAGGCGACGTTATACTACTATATAACTAGCCTAATTCTCTCCCTTAGCTAGCTATTAGTTCCTCAACCAACTCAGCTTCAATATAAGCCTATACATTCTTTACTATTAAAGCCCTACTTCATAAGTACAAGTTCCCTTACTCTAATACCCTGTTATAAGGATATCGTACTATCTACGAGATTCCTACCTACCGTTCCAACAAAATTCTATATTTCGTATACGTATATATATAGAGTTTTACGGGACCGTATAGGAGTATATTCTTAATTCTTAATAATAATATTTACTATATTTTATACGAATATGTTTTTAAGGTGCCTTAAGCAGGCTAACCTAGACTACTTCTTAGTAAAACTACTATAGAAGTAGAAGACGTATGTATTTTGTTTAATCGATTTATCCTAAGTATAAGAACTAGACAAAATCGACCTTATAAATACTAACGACTTCGAAACTCTAACAGCTACGATTTCATTACGTATACGACTTTCTAATACTATAACTAACCTGATCGAATAAGTACTTTATATACTAAATATATAGCTAGATAATAGTCTCCTTACTATTTTTATTAAAGGCTTAAAGGAGCGTATAGCTAGTATCTAGCAAACCTAGAAGAAACTAGTTCTAAACCTAACTATAGATATTATTATTTACTTATAGCTTATATCTTTCTATATTATAAATATAGATAGAATCTCTATTCGAATATATACTTAGGTTTAGTTTATTAAAAAGTTTATTAAGAAGTTATAGTTCTTATTAACTTCTAAGTTTACTTTATATATAGATATAATAAGTAAAGTCTTAGTAAAGTTTATGTTTAAGAAGTAATTCCTTAACCGAAACTAGAAGGTAATGCTTATTATTTTAAAAAATCCTATAGATATATATAAGTTTCGTAAGGTAGCGTATAAAGCTAAAGACCTTTTTACTTTTCTTTATAAAGCCTTAATTACCTTAATAAAGACGTTTATACTATTATACTTATTTTTAAAAGTTAAATAGATTTACTTATTACTAAACTATAAGTATTAAAAAGTTATAACTAAAATAATATATACTTAATATAATAATAACTAGTATAATACCTTTACTTATTATTAATATATTTATAAAAACGCTTACGCTTAAACTTTTAACTCGAATTTAAACTTAAACTAAACGAAAGCCTTTTCTTAAAGTATAAGAAGTAATAAAGTAGGAAAGAGAAGGAATAAAGTTATATAAGTATACGTATTTATAAGTTAAGTAGTAAGGCTATATAGACGTTATTTAAGAAGATATAACTTTTAAAAGGGGTAGCTAGGAAGATAAGGAAAAGGATAAAATAGTAGTATAATAAGAGGAAATAATCGTTTAGGTATACTTTATATACTTAAGTTTTATCTATTTCTAAACTATTATTATTTCCTAATAATAATATATAAAGTTTATTTATACTAATCCTATAGCTATAAAACTATTCTTTTATTTATTTAATACTTTTATTTTATTTTAATAGTAAGTAAAGTTTTAGTTAAATCCTAGCCTTAATATATTTTTTAAGACGTTACTATAGGAAGTTATATACTTTAATACGTAGATATTATATACCGTAGAAGTTTATAATTAGTAGAAAGGTTTATATAGGCTTTATAATACCTTTATAAACTTAAAAGACTTCGTACGGAAGGAATTAATCTAAATTAAGTTCTTTACTTCTAAGTAAGTTTTAAAGTTTTTAAATCTTTATATAATCAATTAGCTAAGCAAAGTCTTATACGGTTTAATAATCTAGATAATAATAAAGTTTCTATAGTTAACTAGAAATAATATATAGGCGACTTTTTTATAAGCAAATACGATAGTTATTCTAAAGTTAAATAAAAGAGGTAAAGTCTTTATAAATAAGTAGTATAAAGATAAATAATAAGGCAATATAGTTAGAAAGCGATTAGTTATAAAATAAACCTAACGCTTATAATCGATAGAAATATACTTAATATTATTAGTAAATAAATAGATATAAAGGTAAATAATATATACTTTCTAAGTTATAAACTATGCTTAACAAAGTTAGTTTTACTAGCTTTTAATCTTAATATTATAAATACTTTTACTAAAGATCTAATAGTTACGGAACTAAATAGGAACGTCTTAGCCTAGCTATAAAAGGCTTTCTTTATACGGTTTTATAATAGATATTAATAACTATTAATAGTTAAGATAGTTTCTATACTACGGTCTAAACAAATAGTTTATAATATAATACCTCGTAATAGAAGTATAGATAGATATTAAGCTAATATAGAATAAGCTATATATATAGAAAACCTAACGTAAAACTATATAATATAACGGGAGTATATATTAATACTAGTGTTGGAATAACGATAATCACATGACCGTACGACAAGGCTGTCACAGGCAAAGGGGTGTATAGGTGGCATGACTAGCACCTGTAACACCTAAATGTCTGAGGAAGGGATCATGGTTTATTACCTGTCATGCACGACTCGTGTCTAGGTATGGACAGAGATATATCTGTTCGTACGGAAGGCAACATCTAGTTAGGAAAGGTAATCACGGAAAATAGAATCTTTGGTTCACCCTACATTTATGACAGTACGATCGTACAGAGAGCCCATTCAACACTGATCAGTGATTGCTTGGCAGTCACGAGTGATTGCATCGTGCGATCACAGATTAGCAAGAGTGAAGAGACAAGATCGAGGTTTTACGGCCGGGCTACCGGGTAGTCTCGTACGCAAGTACGAGGCGAGAAATTCGAAAGAATACCTAAGGGGTCACGCTAGGAAATCTCTTGTGCTAAGAGCCTTAGCCTAGTTGTTGTCGCTGCGGTGAGTCGTAACCGGACAACTAGCCTGAGAAGACGGTTTGTTATAATATCGTACGAGACAGATTCTTGTTGTCGCTGCGGTGAGTCGTAACCGGACAAGAATCCTATCGTGCAATACTTTAGCAAATAGTGTGCGCAACGGCACATTTCAACAACCATCCAACTAGATACCGTACGATACGAAACGGTTGCCAACATGACGACATCAGGAGAACCTGATATCGTACAGCAAGACCTCCTCCAGGAGGAGGAAAATGACTATGAGGTCACGTACGAAGACATGAGTGCAAAGAGTACTATTCCTATTAGTATATGGAAGAAGTCTACAGATCCGAAATACTGGGGAGACTTAGTCGATATCGAAACAGGACCTTCGGAGAAACAATTAACAACATACGTCGGCTACGTAATGATGGAAATCATACACCTAGACCCTCCACAGGAAGTACTTACTACGAAATTGTACGAGGACTTCCATCAATGGTCGCCATACCAATGGGACTTAGTTAACCGGACGTACAAAACCGAGTTCGCACGACTACTTAAACTAAAAGGCTTTCAACTACCTAAATCAAGGACGGTTTCAGAACAATTAGTCGATATAGTCTCAGACATAGCAAAAGGATTCGATTCTACGGACGACCGGGATAATTCCCAGACAAGAACATCAAGCCGTACGAACATTATTACACGCACACCGGTCCGAACCCCAGAGACAACTACACGTCAGACTTTAGCTGAACCAGCGATAGAGTCAATCGAACCTTCGTACGATACCGAACGAGCAAGCAGGAAGTCAAATACTCGAGATCAATCAAGCACACAGAATCTACCCCCAGGGGCAAGATATACCCAGGAGATCGAGAGCTTCCCACAGATACAGGATCGTACAACAAGTATCTATAC